GCCGGCGTGTTCACTACCAGACTGGTGTGAAAGGGAGTTCCGCGTGTCATGGCTAACTTGAAGGCTTGAACTGCCGTAGAAGGGTGGCATTCGATCACCATACTCTTAGTGAGATTAAACCTGGTAAGAAAGGCCTGGAGACGTTCATCCTTGTGCTGCCGCATCGTGAAGAGGCTCGAGATGTCCTTCGGCGGGCGTTTGTTCCCATAGTACTGACTTATGAACCGATCGCACAGGTCTCTGAAACTGCCAATGGAGCTCCTAGGCAAGTTTTTGAACCAGCTGAGCGCCGGTCCGGCCAGGCTTGTAGGGAAACATTTGCACATTAAAGAGTCGTTTTCCGTATTCAGGGCCATTTTCAACTGGATATGATACACATGATCGATCGGATCGGTCGTTCCGTCAAACAGAATAAAGACTGGCATAGCAAACTTCCTTGGATGCGGCGCATTCAAGATCTCGTCGGTGAATGGTGAATCCACCGTCCGAGCCGCGGATCGGAGAGCTTCATTCTCTCTCTGGAGTCCAGCGGTAGCTCTGTGAGTTACGGTTCTGCCCTCCGAACCGTGATGAGTGACAGTAACCATGGAGGGCCGGTAAGACGGATCGAACGACCGTTCCTCTATGAACTCTCTTTGCCAAGGTGACGCTACTCGACGGCGATCAACCTCCATCACTTCCTCTCGGTCAAACCTTTCCCGCTGCGGATCAACGTGAGTCGATCCTTCGTGATCTTCAACTCGACGAACATTTGGCGGCAAATTGTCCATCATCCTTTCGTCACGGTGGTGAGCTGACTGATTGTTCTCGTCCTGATCGCCTTGATGCGCGATATTAGATGGAACACCTCCTTCTCCGACCGGAAGTGGATGCGAAACCGCAGGTATTTGCCGATGCTGCAGTCCAGCTTTCAATTCTGCATTTTCTTTTCTGAGAGCTTCAATCAAGTTCATTAACTCTTCAAGCTTTGTTTGCTGGACAGCCTCCATCGGATTGGAGCTTTCACCTATCATTATTCCCGAACGGAGTAAAGGCATTAATCTCAAGTTCGCGAGTAGATCTGAGCTTCGTGAGTAGGAATTTTTAGATCTGGCTTCTAATTCTCCGAATTATGCTCACTGTTTACAAGATCTGAATTGTCTAAACTCTAAATCCGTCAGATCCTGCCACAATCGAGCAACTCGTGGTTGCGTAGATCTGAAGTCACTCCTGCCAAAGCTTCAAGAATCGTAATTCCTCCAGAGTAGGTCACAATCGCTCAGATCTGGATTCAAATCCGCAAGATCGAGTCTCGATCAACCGAATTGGTTTGAATCCATTCGATACTCCTCATTGATCAACCAAACTTTCATGCGCTTCCCACAGACGGCGCCAATTGAAGATGCAAGAAACTCCTTCTATTCTTTCTCTCTCTAGAATTCTTACACCTCAACCCGGAAAGATCCCTCTCCTCTTCATTCCAACTCCTATTTATAGACACTTACAAGATATTTACAAGATATTTACAAGATATTTACTAATTGCTGGACCTGGGCCTATTCCTCTGTAAGCCCTGGTCACCCTTGATGGGCTTACTCCCGCTCGGCCCATATGGCAGTGTCTTTCTATGGGCTGACCCAGCTGTTCGGACTGAAGGTTGTGTTTTGCGAGTCGGACCTGGCCCATGTCATCCGGGGCCTCCTCAAAAATATATACATGTATGTATATATATGTGCGTGTGTATGTTTTATATATTTATGGTCTTTAGCAGTGGTGGAGGGAGACCATGGTGGAGAGAGAGAAAATTGCAAAGAGGATAAACAGGGGGGAGAAAGCAATGCAATAACAGAGAGAGAGGAATGAGAGGGAGAGAGAGTTGTGGCAGTGGAGCGATGACGACGTAGCTAACAATGGCAGTGGCGGTGGACCGTGGTGCTTTTGGAGATTTATATATATATACTTTGATAAAACTATGGGCAGTTTGGGAATAAAAGGATAATGCACAGTAAAATTTATGCTTCGTTTGGTAGCATGAAAAAGAATTACATGGAATGGAAAGAAGAAGGAAAAGATGAGACATCTCTAGGGAAGCGATTATGAACTTATCTCGTTTTACTTGATTGGGTGGAAGTAAAGAGAAGAAGTTGACAACTTCATTTGTTAGTTTGGAGATCAAGGAAGTGATAATTTTAAATTATTTTTACCCTTCTATCCATCAGTATTTTTTTTTTATCTTTAATTTCACTCATATTTGTTGTTCGTCTATATATATATATATATATATATATATATATATATATATATATATATATATATTATTGCATTAAACTAAAAACAAAATCTAGCATTCCAAGGACTACTATCCCTATTATTATTTTTTTTTTTGGTATTTTTTATCATTATGAATTCGCGCAACTTGACATCATGCTTTATGAGAATGTGGAAGACATTGTCATCAGATTAACAATGGGGTGAATAGTCAAGGAGTAATATTAATAAATATTTACTATTTTTCTCCGATCATCTTTGTACTACTAAGGCAATTATAAAACAAACAATCCATATATATATATGGTCAAGTTCAATCCCAATAAACAATCCTTACATATATATGGTCCAGAACTTGACCAAATAAGGGCTACAGAGGTCAAGTTCAAGGCCAACGTAGGTCCATAATAAAGGGAAATGTATATATATATATAAGACTGTTTACTTGCTCACTGGTGTACAAAAAATTTATACACGAATTAAATCTTAACCGTTAGATATAAAAAAATAAACTACATTTTTAACTACACAATGAAATCTAACGATTAATACTTGAGGTGTGCATTAATTTTCCTGCACACCAAGAAATAAGTGAACAATTTTGTGTATATATATAACACATGAATTAAATAAATTTGTAACACATGAATCAATCGATATATGTACAGAGCAAGAGCAAGAGAGAAGGGTTTTGAGTAAGATGAGATGTGTAGGGATTTTGAAGAATAATATTGTAATTTAATATTTTTATAACAACTTCACTTATTATCTCTCATGTCTTTTGCCCAAATTTGGGCGGATGAAAATTTATATAGGAGGAGGGATGCTATTATCATTTCTCTCCAGGCTCCTTTCTACCGAACGAAGGAACTTTGTTTCTTTCCTCCTATTTCCCTTCCACCAATTTTTCCTTCATTTCTACCGAACGGAGCATTAATGTCTTGGTCAGAGTTTAATTGTTTTAATGGGGGTGGTTAAATTGTTTTATGGGCGAAGGTTAGGATTGAAAAACCACATGATTATAGGATGAGGATGGGGAAAAGTCACCCAATCTGGCCCGTCTCGTTTGCAGTGATAAATTGTAATTTTGTTCTTATACTTTATTTTATATTTAATAATATAAGATACTCCGTCTGTTCAATATTAGATGTCCACTTTCAAAATTTTGACTCACTATCATCTTTTATTTTTGAATCATTTAAAGTGATTTATAATCATATTTTTTATATATATTTATATACTAACCTACATCTAATCTAAAGAACAGCTAGCTGAATCAAGCCGTTGGTCCCTGTGGACGATCCCGAATAAAAAACATACCCTCAATAGCTGAGGAGCCTGAACCTACACCTTGGCATCTTTATTCATTATTTAGTACTTATTTGTACCTTCTTCTATTACTTCTTTATTTTCTTCTTCTTCTAACAAAAGATATCATTTATCAAATAGAAACAAATGTGCATTTTTCACAGAAAAAAATATGCATCAAAAGTAAAATAAATGATCAGAAATAAATTAGATTCTAACAAGATTTTAAAAAGTTTAAGAAATAGCATACTATAGACTTCGAGTTTTTTTTCTTAATAGCCAAGTGATAGGATTGAAAAACCACATGATTATAGGATGAGGATGGGGAAAAGTCACCCAATCTTGGCCCGTCCCGTTTGTAGTTATAAATTGTATTTTTGTTCTTATAATTTATTTTATATTTTATAATATTAGATACTCCCTCTGTCTAATATTAGATGTACACTTTCAAATTTTTAACTCACTATTACTTTTGATTTTTGAGTCATTTGAAGTGATTTATAGCCATATTTTTTTTTTATACTTATATATTGACCTAGTTTGTACCCTTACATCTAATCTAAAGAACAACTAGCTGAATCAAGCCGTTGGTCGAAACATACCCTCAATAGCTAGGAGCCTGAACGTGCACCTGGCCGTACTTATTTGTACCTTCTCCTATTACTTCTTTATTTTCTTCTTCTTCTAGCAAAAGATATCATTTATCAAATAGAAACAATGTGCATTTTTCACAGAAAAAAATATGCAACAAAAATAAAATAAATAATCAGAAATAAATTAGATTCTGATAAGATTTAAAGAAGTTTAAGAACTAGCATACTATAGACTTCGAGTTTTTTTTCTTAATAGCCAAGTGATATGTATAGTTATTGAGAACTCTTGATAAATGATGACCATTAAAAAAGTGATAAATATCTTAGTTAATGAATAACTCAAATTTTCTTATCTTTCCTATTGATAGTTTACCATCATCTCTTTTTCTGGGCTTTCATTCAATGAACAATTTTCATCCTACTTTTATTTTTTTATTCCTTTTAAAAAATCCAAGTTATTGTGATTTTATTGCCAAAATATATATAACTTTTTATCGAACTTCAATATTCAAAACATCCCCCAATTAATTCTTAAAAAATCACAAAAGAAAAAAAAAATCCAAACTCAAAAGCTTACAATATGGGGGAACAAAAAAACAAAAAACAAAACATTACCATTACCATCGAAGACGGAGGTTAAAAAACGTGAGAGACCACAAAAATATTAAAAATATTGAATAGAGAAAGAATCGAGATAGTTTTCTATATATATATTTTATAAACAACAATAATTTAATTATAAAATTATGAAGTTATGATCAAAAGTGACTATCTCCTTTTATATATATATATATATACACTATATTTTTTCTCTCTTTGGTTTTTTTAAACCCAAATACACAGCCATATGTAAACATTATAATACAGAAAATAACACGCGGTTTCTCCCAATAGACATAGTCAAGCTATTTTTATTGAATTACGGTATACACTGATAATCAAACGCATTACATGAAAACCATTTTTTTTTTTCAAGACATTACATGAAAGCACACACTGCAAACAAAAACACTATAGAACAGAAAGACAAACTAGAGCATAGTCCCAACGAAAACATTGTAGGTCCTATTTCACACGCTAATATCGGACATTGACCAGCACACATGCATCTCTTCTCTCTCAACGATGAGCACCACCAGTTCCATAGCCTTTGTTCGTGCCAGCACCCACATTCGGATCTGTCCCGACAGGGTGGGACCCCACCACACCCTCAGTCACCTGCCCCGTCGTCTGGCCCGTGCCGTGGCCGGGCAAAGCCGACATTTGGTGCATCCCGGTTGGTTGACCGGTGGCTCCGGTGGTGGAGTAGGTGTGCGTCCCGCCAGTGGCCGCCGCTTGCCGCTCCAGGGTGTGGCAATCACGTGCCTCCTGCTTGTCGAGCTCAGCTTGGTTGACCCTCTCTTCCTTCCTCTCCGTGGCCATCTCTTTCTGAAGAGGATCCCGTGTAGTCATTCTCTCCACCTGTACTCATCCACACAACAACAAATTAATCTATAAACTTAAAACATTAAATTAAACCACCACACAAAAAGTGATCTCAAGACATATTTTAAAATAAATCGATCGGACACAAATTATATATAGAATGAAATTAACCTTCTCTTGCACGTTGGCCTTGGTCTTGTCCATGCCAGCCTTTGCGGACGCGGCGGTGTTGGCTGCCGACTCCTTCACCGACGAAGCGACATTCTTTCCGGTCTGCATTTTCACTACAACACTCTTTGTTTTTGATCTCTGTTTTTTTTTTTTTCGACACTTTTAAGATCGACCAGTGGTATTTGATATGTATGAATGCAATGGAGTGATTTAGGATGGTTTAAATAGATTTAGTGGGGGTACTGATGTGGTGACGCGTGTAAGTAAAATAGCACGTGCAAGCTCATGAGAACATCGTTATTCTGCAGCCTACACGTGACAGTACGTGTCATGGTATGTGATAACTACGAGAGGAGGAGTTATGGCAGTTTTCTAGATGTCATGTATGCACCTGGCGCCTTTATATCCTCTCTGCGGCGACAAGAACGCATCCTAGCTAGGAGTAGGACACGTTTGGTGTTTCTTACGCAATTTGTCCGAGGAACACAAAAACTGCTTATATTTCTGAGGTTGGAACTTAATATTTAATCTAAATTTTTAAATAAGTTCAATATGTTTTTTTTATTATTATTATTTATATAAAACACACACACACACACACACAAATATTGATCGAGATATAAAGAAATCGAATATAGTTCGAAATCCAACTTAAATCAAGTATACTACTCTATTAATTGGACATGAATAACGTGTAGGTAACTCAACTCGAATTTTGGATCTGAATTTGGTCATCAACTCACATTATTTACTCCACATTCACTCTATTTCATCCTTAACCAAATCCTTTCAAAATTATAATTGAATTTCAAATAAAATTATATTGTCACGTTTCAAACGAGCTGCAATTTATAAGAATTTTATACTAGAGAAAAAAAAAAACAATATATTTATAATTTTATGTCCAGAGCCAATAAATAACTAACTTCGTTCAATCGTTCATTAAAATAATTAGAAATCATATTTTAAATTTCAAATTCATAAAATCCATTATTCCAAACTTTAAGAAGATAAAAACTAAATTTGCTAACTTAAACCCACAAAAGTCGGTTGAAAAAAATATATACTTAAAAGCAACAAAAAAAAAAAAAAAATGTTGATAGCCGTTCAACATTGTTTAGATAGTTCAGTATGACAATTCAATAAAGTATTTAGTAATTAAATAATTAACTAATTAAGTATGCTCGATAACTTGAATATCATTTAAACGAATAAAATTCACTTAAAACATACCCTTGGTGAATTTTTTTGTAAAAAAAACTTTACATCGCTGAACTTAAATTCATACAAATTTCAAAGTAATTATTAATTTACAATTGCTATTTAAAACTTAATTTAACACGTATTAGAAATTTAATTTAAAGGAAGTACTTAATTTTTAATTTTATCAAAGACTTCATTAAGGGGTTGTTTCATTAAACTGATAGCTAAATACTGAAGTTTTATGAGTTGAATTATATAAGAGCTAATTATTAATTTAAATATAGACTAGGAAAAAAACACAATTATATATATATATATATATTGAAGTTTTATGAGTTGAATTATATAAGAGCTAATTATTAATTTAAATATAGACTAGGAAAAAAACACAATTATATATATATATATATATATATATATATATATATATATATATATATATTTCAAATGGAACTTACTTGAATTAGCTTCGCCGTGGGCCCTTTGGAGAGACTTGTTTCAAATTACTTTTATTTGGGCCATTATAATGTGCTGCTTTGTTTGGGTTGTAATGCCGTTAGGGCTTGATGGTCCATTTTGTTCATGGGCCTATTTTAGGAGAGAAAAAATCGAATGGAAATTTTCTACTAAGTGATATTTAAATTACGATATTAATATCTATTAGTTGAATAATACATGAGAAAGTGCAGCAAACACTCCTAATATTTTGCATAGTATTTTTATCCCTATTTGAAAAAGTGTGCAAAAAATACCTCTAATCTTTTCACATTGTGCAAAAATAGCGCTCAAACATAAATTAGTATTGTAATACCCGTTTTGTCTTTTTACTCTTCCAAAATGCCTAAAGGGGTATATATGTTACTAATCTCATAGTATAAGGATATTATGTGCACATTACCATATATATATATATATATATATATATATATATATACACACACACACACTGCAACGACCTAAATGGATACCAAAATAATAATAAAAATCTATAAAAATTTCAGCATGACCTCCGCAGAAAATGTCTCTAAACAACCTGTTGAAATACAAAAAATAAATACAATGGCCTCACTGGGCCTTAAATCTAACATATCATGTCCCAACGCAATATACATATATTATATCACATCTCCAAAGTGACTACATACATACAAAATCCCATTCCCCCATCTCATCCAACAAGGAACATACTTTGGTTACATCAAGTTACAGTCCAAAAAGCGTAGTTAGAATTTAAAAGTCCATGGCTTACAACATTATACTAATTAAACTAAAGTTTTACGAGTTAGTTAATATTACATTTACAAAATATTAGAGAGTTTTAATACAAAAGATAGCAAAAAATAAAAAATAAAATAAGTCTCCGTGCTTATCTAAAATCGTGGTGGATCGTCGTCCGTCACCTCTTTTCCATATCCTGAAAAATGTTAGAAATAATGGGGTGAGCATAAGGTCAGTAGGAAGTGTCTAAGACACACTTCTTATATCCCCGTGAATCCATACAATGAATAGATAAAAAAGTGAAAGGGATCATGCTATAAGGAAACACACACTCTTAAATACAATAACAAGTATGTAACAAATACTACCCAATCACAAGTTTACCACAATGTCATGAAGTGCAATATGCAAATGTTACTCCCCATTTTCCGAAACATTTCCGTTTCAACTTCCAAAACCGTTAGTGTAATCCGACCCAAGGCACCTCCAAGGCGTCACGAATGGAGGGTTGACTAACTATCCACGACCACAAGGCACCTCCAAGGCGTCGCATCCGGCCTAGTTAGCTCAACCATGATCCCTTCTAGACTACACTAACACCACGGACCACTAGGCGCCTTCTAGGCGTCCGGTTTTCACAAACTCCTTTAAAAAAAAATATTTTCCCCAAAATAATTTCGTTTGTTCAAAAAAAACATTTTTTTTCCTCTTTTTCTTTCCCAATGAATGCATGAATGCGCATGCTTCAATTTATCAATTCAACCATAGGCTTTCATACATTCCATTTACATCATCATCACAATTTAATAGAAATTTATAAGCATTCATTTCTTTTATTTATTTATTTATTTATTGACCATAGCATCATTTTCTTTCAAAGTAATAAATAAATACATAATCTTAGGACATACAACATGTCAACACCAAACATGCTCAATCACCGTAATAAATCTAGTCATATATATGAATTCAAATAATACATTGAACACATTTAGCATTTTAATTAAACATGCTTCAACCACAAACTAGATAATCAAAATTAGCATGCTTAGGATCAAATTTAAGGGGCAAAATTCACAAAAAGAGCTAAGAAGTTGTAGATTAGAACACCCCTACCTCAAATTGTTGAAAACCCCCAATTTGAGCCCAAGAACCCTAGAATTTTAAACTCCCTAGAGTGCACCAAATGATGATTGGCTCCTATCAAATTAACGGGCTCGACGAGCTCAACAACTTTGCTTCACAATGTTCTACCAAAATCCAATTGGTGAAGATGAGATCAAAGCTTAAAATTACAAAAAGAGAAAAAGAAAAGAGATGCCGAGAGAAGGCCGGAAGCAGAGAGAGAGAGAGAGAAATATATGTCTGCATAATGGCCTGATGGCCTTTAGTCATGTTTTTAAGTTATTGGTCGGGCCCACCTACTTTTGAAAAAAAATCTTTAATTTTAATAGATATACATATACACATATATAAGCATAACTATTACACACACACACATATATATCTTCTTCTTTTTTAAAACTTTTTTCTCTATATATATATCTAAACATTTTTTTTTTTTAAAAAAAAAAACTTTGAGAATTTGTAGAATAAGGATTTGAATTTTTTGAGATTCTAATTTACTCTTTTCTACTATTTTTTTTTTTTTTGCACACCAACACTGTTTTTTTTAAATAAAAATAAATAAAAAAATTTCAGTATCAGTGTACATTAGTTTTCGGAGTTTAGAAAAAATTTATTTTCTTATGTTTCTCTTTATTTTTATATTTTATCTTTACTTGCCAATTGCCAGCATCCTCCAATAGTGTCATTTTCGGTCACTTTATAAATTTATTTATTTTTACATATTTTATAAAATAGTTCACTAAGGTAATTTTGTCAATTTAGAGTTTAAATTTGTTAATGACCTATTTGCACCAAATTAAAACTTTAGGGGTGTTTTTTGGATGAGAGGGGCATCCTTCAATAATGTATTTTTCGATCATTTTATAAAATTATTATTTTTATATATTTTATAAAATAGTTCAGGAAAGGTAATTTAGTCAACTTAGGGTTTGAATTTGTCAATGACCAATTTGTACCAAATTAAAATTTTAGGGTTGTTTTTTGGACGAGAGTGGCATCCTCTTATAGTGTCTTTTTCGATCATTTTATAAAATTATTTATTTTTATATATTTTATAAAATGGTTTAGTAAGGGTAATTTAGTCAAACTTAGGATTTAAATTTATCAGAGGATCTATTTGCACTAAATTAAATTTTTAAGCTAACGTTAAAACAAAAAATAAATAAATAAATAAAATAAAATAAAATTATATATTAAGCTGATCTATACTTTTGATCACTCAAATTCAATCACACCTAACATGTTGCGTCACACATCAAAAGCCTTTTGCTGCGACACAAAATCAATGCGTAATTTCAATGAATGATAAATGTGAAAAGCAAAGTCCTTTTAAGTTATGGATGGACGGGAAAAAAATGAGCTATGGATGGAAAATGTGTTAGATCGAGAAAGCATTTGTTGATAAAAATGTTATAAACGGAATAACCAATTACTTGCACTTTCGTTTTATGGGTTGTTTTTGTTGTTTTCTTTTGGTCAAGAAAGATTTAGTTAGAAAACATGTGTTGTTTGGTTAAAATTTTGAAAATACTTTTCTTTTCTTTCTTCTTCTTCGTTTTTTTTTTTTTTTTTTTTTTTTTTTTTTTTTTTTTTCATGCTCTGAGAGTGTTAGGTAAAGGATATAATTGACAAATTTGGGTTGGATTAGGATAGACAAAGAAAATAAAACATATTACAATATTTTTCAATTTGTATTTTCTGAATTAAAATGGATTGGTGACAACAAAGTCTATGCAATATGGGGATTATAGTTACATCTTGAGTTTGCAGCCCCAATTGTTGACCATGGGTTTTACGCAATATGTTTGAAAATTTGGGTTGCACGTGGTCAATAACGAAATTCAAATTGCTAAGGGAAAGACTAGAACGGTCGCAAAAGTTTTTCATCGTAATGAATTCTCATTGCTAGAAATTCTAAAACTTTGGGGTTTGCTATGATATTTGGTGACTGGGCATACTAATTTCTTGAGCCCAATGCATTATCAGATTTTTTCTTTTTATACTATTTTATCTTTATTAATTTATTTTTTTTTTTAATCATATACCCATAAAATGGTACTTTTGTCCCCACTTGAAATTACTAAAAATTTTACTATTGCCCCCACTTAATTTTCTGAGTCCGGTCCTAATCATACAATAAAAATTGTCTCATTTATCTAGAAAAATTCTATTCAACAACTTAATAATTAAAATGATGAATTACTTACCCAAAAAAATATATATGTGGTGAATTTTTATTAATTATTCATGCCACTGCTCGCTCTTAAGGATACGAGATTTTTTATTTTTGAGACTTGTATGGTGTTATTCCTAGGTCTTCAAGTTTCAATATATTTTAGCTAGTTATTTTTTATAAAAACCATATATAATCAAACTTTTAATTTATTTTTGCCAAAATGAAATTTCAATGTGATGATATTATTAACTATTATCACAAATTATTTTGTGGCTAATAAGTGAGATGAAAATTAAAATTTATTAGTTAAAAAATAATTAATTTTTAAATTTATTTATATTTTTCCTTTAGTTGATACTCACCCATCCCCAAAAAATTTTATTTGCACCCATAATTCTCAAAGCCTTACCAAACAAATAACCAAACAAATAAACACTTGCCTCCACCCCTTGCTATGTCTAAACCTTTTTTTTTTTCCCCCTTGGGTGTTGAGATTTCTAACTTAAATTCAACTAAACAATTAATTTGACTCCGCAACCCTTTAAGCAAGATTAACGTAGAATTAGACCTAGTAAAACATGCTAGAAGTCTGGAGGTGGATATATTTGTAATTTACCTTGAGGTGGATCGAGGTAATTACATTTGAATGGGCATGGACATGCTATTGAGTTCATTTATCGGGGTTTTTTTCGTCATTACACTTATTATCGAGCCTAAGATATTTCGTCTCTCAAGTGCTACGTACAATCTTTACAAATATTGATCTCCGAAAACGAACGGTCGTAATCTGCCTGCATTAACTTGGACGGTCGTGATCGATTCTTTTTCACGGGGAAACAAGTTACGGAGCCATCGCACATCAATACGTGTCTTTTATGGGACCCGCTTAATGGCATTGATTTAAGAGGGAAAGGCCGCCACTCCGCCAGCGTATAAAAACCGGCCTTTGGCCAAAGTATCCAGTATAATCGGCCGGCGTTTAAACGGCCAAACTAGAGAGAAACGCATTCAGAGATTTTAGAGAGAGAGAGAGAGAGTCCTCCTCGGAGGACAAGGCGAAAGAGCTTCTCTTTCAGGTATAATAATATCTCTCACACATAAACACACATTTATATTAACTGCGATTTAGTTTTTGAGCTTCAATTTCTATTTGCAATTTCTGTTTAAGATCGGAGTTTTTGGTGGAATGGGATTGATTTTCATTAGGTGAAATTTTAGAAAGGTTTTAATTAGATATATATAGAATTTGATGTATTTGAGTCTGTCAATGACTCTAATGAATTAGAATTGAGCTTCTAATTTTTCTGGTTTTTAATTATAATATGAGAGATTGCGGTGTTTCACACATGGAGATTATTATTATTTTTTTCCTGGTTTTAGAGCTAGGACCTTGATTCTCTCATGTCCCTTATGTTGGAAATTTTTTATTGATTTTTTGATGCACAATATAATACATTGAGAATTTCTCATTTAATAAAAAGACAATACGGGACTAAATTTTATACCATGAACAAGAATCTAAAATTACAAATAACAAACATATAACATCTCTATGCAACAATAGAAAGAACAATAGCATAATTTTAATAAGTAAAATGAAGAAACATGAGTAATATATATATATATATATATATATATATTAACAGTAAGAAAAACTGGCCTTTGAGATAGAGTGGCATGCTAGGCACTGCCCTAAAGGCTATAGTTCATCCCCACGTGCGGGTGTTGGTGGTAGTACCGGTTCCAAAATACAACCCAAGAGCTCGAGGTGGTGTCCCCTTCAGGCACGGCCAAAGGAAGACAAGGTATCAAATAATACTAGAGAAAATATTTAGAGAAGAGAAGAGAAGAGCAGAGTAGAGAGAATAGAGAGACTCATATAATAATGTAGAAATATGTATTCTTTCTCTAACACTCAACAAATGATATATGACCATGTATACATAATGATTAATTTGTATCACATATTGATATATTTACACCTAATAATATAGGTAATAAAATATAATAAACCATAATAAATAAAGTTTTTTTATTAAAATATCCTCAACACCTTACTCCATCCTGTGCACTAGCAAATCAGCTATGCAACACAAGATGCAACACTTATACAACAACGGATAATACTTGTGCATCAAATTTACATTAAAGATACAGTAGCCATGCAACATATTACATCGTGTTAAAACATTACAACACCATTAAATCTAGAATTTATCACATTTACGTAATTGTTGTGCTGCTGATGTAAAGTTGTTGCGTTGTCAATGTAAAATTGTTGCATTGACGATGTAAATGCTCAGGATAGACAAAGGACAAAAAACACACCGAGAGATTCCTGATTCTTTAGACCTATGATGAAAGCAATGTGGTTTTTTTTCTTTTTTGGTTGTGTGTGATTCATTTTAGGCATGTCAAACTTTGTTTTTTGCAGACTCCACATTTTATTTTCATATGCCTTTTTTTTTCTTTTTTTCTTTTTTTCTTTTTTTCTTTGTTTGCTGAGAAAGCATAAAGAAAAGGAAATTTGAATCTAATTCTTCGCGTTGTTTTCCTTATCTAAATATGAAAAGCTAAGCTCAATTTGGCCAACTATTTGTATTTAGGATTGATTCCAGAGGTGCCAAATCTTCCTTTTCCCACCTTTTTTCCTCCCTCGGCTACCAAACAGAATAATCGAGCTTGATGCCATCTCTCTCTCCCTCTCTCTCCCAATTTTTTTTTTTTTCGTTAAATCTGACACTATTTAATACAAAATCTCTTTCTTCATTTTTATTTTAAATTTAAGCTTGACATCCTGTAATGGTCATCCCTTATATAATGTGTTTGTTAAAAAAATAAATCTATGTTTTTTTTTTCTACTATAATTTGATTGACTCTACCTGTTTCATAGGGGTTTGGCTTGATTGGTTTTCTCAACACGTTTAATTTTTACTTTAACTGGCTACCATTCATGTGTAGTTGCAGAAAACATCTGATCCCAGTTTTCCCTCAATTTATAGACAGCTTAACTCAGTTTCATGGACCTCTGGAGACTTGTTAGGGGCCTTAGGGCTGCAATTCACATGCTCCCGGTTTACCAAAAATATGTTGAAGAAAAATGCTTTTCAAATTAAAAAACATAAGCCAACTAACAAACATGGATATTCTATTGGTCATTTTCATTTCCCCTGTTTAATTAGTCTATGTTCCAATTTGAGTAGCTTTACTCTTTTTTAATTGGACACAGGAACATTTAAGGTCAATTTGCAAATTCATTTTTTCCATGCTTACATTAGAAAATGAGCAGTATACCTTTTAATGCTGAGTCAAATCACATCTGAACTGTCCGGATGCACCTAATCGCACTTTTCATGTTCTATTATTACATAGAAATATTTTTGTTTGCTCTATTATTTTATTAAATTTGTTCAATAGATTGCATTTTTCTATCTTGGTCGTGTGTTGTTCAACAGTGTCTATACTGTTTTATTCAGTCTCGTTGGTCATTCTAAGCCGTTTGTTTTTCTTGCTACTAGAATGTGGGACTTAAAACAGTATACGACATTTTTGGTTTGACCCTCTGTCTTGTGGTTACCTGTTTTTCTTTCTTTAAATTTTCATTGGTTAACGCTAAGTTGCTGGACTTATTAATATGATGGTTCTTACACCAAAAAGTTTGACAAGTCTACACCTTTGGTATACCATTGAGTGGTAGCTTCTCTACTAACTTTCATTATCATAGTACTGCTGTATTGACACAATTACAAAAAGGTAAGAGATATCGTATCATTAATTTTGTGAGGTCCAATTTGCCTTCTTCAATTTGTGCACTCCAACTAGCGACCCGAGGGGTTGTACTCCCTTAGGATTGATGAATGCTCTTCTTTATCGCTGATAGGGTCCTTTCATAAGAAGTTCCGCTTCATTGAGTTTTGGACCTTTTGGTCCCTGTCATATTGCTCTCCTTAATGGGCAGTGATCCTTGTGTGGACTTACCCCACGTTCGCTCTCATGGTGACTACACGTCATCCTACCATTTTTTCAGGATTTAAAGACCTGTGGAATTCTGGTGGACTGTGTTGTGCTCCATCTTATTCAAATACTAAAAAAAAAGAAGAAATAATTTGAGATACATAGAAAGATTAAATACAAGTCGATAATGCTGCTTGATTTTTATGATTGCTCTTTTTGTTCTGACTTTGTGTTTCAGCAAAAGTGATTCTTGGCACTTTAATCCACTGTAATTGATATGACTATTTATTTTTGTTTTTTCTAAATTTTCTTTTTTTTAGAATACTTGAGAAGTAAATTCTTTTAATGGAGTATGCAGATGTTTAGCATGTCTTTTAACACGACCACCTAGGCCATGCTTCAACATTTTTTAAATTTGACTAGCGCGTTTACTTTGTAGACTGCATTTCAAAGTGCTCTATAAAAGTTATCATCTTGATTTTATTTTACTTTATTTTTTCCTTGGCAAAAAAATCATGCACCCATTGCTCCTATGGAGACTTGAATGACGACCTTCCACTTTTTGAGGTTGAGGAGATATTATTAGGCTATAGTCCTTGGTATCTATTATCTTGAATTTAGCCAATGTTGTGAAATTTTCACATTGGAAAACATGGTAAAGTTTGCTAATTTATCAGAGTCTCAATTAAAAATTATAGGTTTTTTAGTTGACATATGAATTCAAGAAATTCATAGTGTTTGCAGTTCAAAATTTCCCACTATAGATTCAATTTATAATCTCTGGATCAGGAACAAAAACTTTTGGTTAACTTCCGAACAAAAAAAAAACAAAAACTTTTGGTTAATGTGGTTCAGTTGTAGCAGTTAGTATCCTGGGTTTGTTGGTGATGGGCCTCTGTGACTGGGCCAGGTTTGAACCTAGGCCTGTCTGAAACTTCTGAGTTTGGCCCAAACTCAGCCATGAATCAAGAGATTCAAGCCTGTACTGCCAAGCTTGACATTGTCTTTAAAGGGTACTAGTCCTATGACACATGTTTAGTGCGCGGCCCAGCTCGGCCAGCCTGAGAATCAGGGAAGTTCCTGAAGCTGCAATACAAATGAAATTGACTCGAGGGACTTCTGCTGGTTATATTGGAGGTTGAAAATTCATGAAGTTAGTTGGTCAATTAAAGAGTTAAATAATTGTCTAATTCACCGGAGTTGAGTATAATCGCACACTGTTTTCCATTTGCGCTTATTTCCATATAATTCTGGGATATTTTTGGCCATATTTGTTTCTTGAATATTTTATCCTTAATTTGCATTTCTTATCTTGCCTAAACAAATTATTACAGGTATGGCCTCTTTATATTTTATTTTATTTTTTCTAAATCCTCTGTACCTATTAAAAGCTATTCTTTGTTAAGGGTCTTTTTGAAATTGCATTTAAAACAATTGTATTATACTCATTGTTCTATACTTTTTTCCCAAGGTTGTTGAGCAATGGGTGCAGGTGGTCGAATGTCTGTTCCCCCTAAGAGCAAAAAGCAAGAATCTGATGTCCTCCAACGAGTACCCTGCTCAAAGCCACCTTTCACACTTGGTGAGATCAAGAAAGCTATTCCATCGCATTGTTTCAAGCGATCCCTTCTCCACTCATTCTCGTATGTCGTTTATGATCTCACCATAGCCTTTCTCTTGTATTATATTGCCACCACTTATATCCACCTCCTTCCTGACCCTCTCTCCTTACTAGCCTGGCCAGTTTACTGGATCTTCCAAGGATGTGTCCTAACTGGCATATGGGTCATAGCCCATGAATGTGGCCACCACGCCTTTAGTGACTACCAATGGCTCGATGACACTGTTGGCCTCATCCTCCACTCTGCTCTCCTTGTCCCCTACTTCTCTTGGAAATATAGTCATCGACGCCACCATTCAAATACTGGTTCCCTTGACCGTGATGAAGTATTTGTCCCCAAGCTCAAGTCCGGAGTTTCATGGTTTGCCAAATATCTCAACAACCCGCCTGGTCGAGTCTTCACACTTATTCTCCAACTAACTATTGGCTGGCCCTTGTACTTGCTATTCAATGTTTCAGGCCGACAGTATGATCGGTTTGCTTGCCACTATGACCCTTATGGCCCTATTTACTCCAATCGTGAGCGAATTCAAATATACCTTTCTGATGCTGGTGTTCTTGCTGTCACTAGTGGGCTTTACCGCCTTATGGCAGCAAAAGGACTTGGTTGGGTTGTGAGTGTGTATGGAGGACCATTACTCATCGTGAATGGGTTTCTTGTGCTGATCACTTATTTGCAGCACACTCACCCTTCGTTGCCACACTATGATTCCTCCGAGTGGGACTGGATGAGAGGAGCTCTTTCAACAGTCGATAGAGATTATGGAATTCTAAACAGGGTGTTCCATCATATAACAGATACTCATGTAGCGCACCACTTGTTCTCGACGATGCCACATTATCATGCAATGGAGGCCACAAAGGCAATTAAGCCAATTCTCGGAGATTATTACCAGTTTGATGGGACTCCAGTTTTCAAGGCAATGTATAGAGAAGCAAAGGAGTGTATATATGTCGAAGCGGACAATGGTGACCAAAACAAGGGTGTTTTCTGGTACAGAAACAAGCTTTGAGCCTTATGTGATGATAAAGATTGCAAGTAAGATTACGAAAAAAAGAATGCAAAATGCAGGTATGGAAGTTCTATTTTATTATTGTCAGTGAAAAATAGCTAAATTTAGGTGGATATTTTATTCCTTTGTACTGAACCTCTAATTTAAGTTGAATAAAGTTTGCTAACCATCATGTTAGGAACAAATGTATACAGGTTACAATTTTGGGGTTCACTGTTTTTGACATTAACTTGGTTTTTAACTTGACTGTAAGAAAGACCTAGGACCTCTGTTTTATACCATCTGGACACGGACAAGCTCATTGTTGCTTCCCTTAATGTATGGTCTAATCAAATCCAGATCTTCCAAGGCAGATAAATTTCTTATCTGCAGGGTGATTATATTTAAATTTGAACAAATAATTGCCAAGCCTGCTTGTCTTATCTTCATGTATTTCGATTCTTTGATCAGAGGTGTTATTTGGGCCGATAAGGCGATAACCAGTAAAAAATTGAATATTAATTAGTTGTAGTTAAATATTATTTTCTTACCAATACGTAGTGAAATTTATTAATAAATGGTGAAACATTACCATTGATCATGCTAAGCGCACAAAAATAAATAAATTTAGCGCACGTTAGCAAGAATATAAAGATTCCAGCTTCGTATTATCGTATATAGCACGACTGTCTTGGAATGGGAGACACGTCAAAACAAATCTTAGAGAACATCATAAGTGCACAACGTTACCACCAACAAGAGCCTCGTGTGTCCTCTCCTTTTACATATCATGGTGATGTAATGTAATCTGCAAGATCTTTTTTGTTGGGCCGTTCATTATTGCACGAATCTCCAAACACATATACCTTTTGATATATAAGCCAATTTTTTGACGGATTCAAAAATTATTAATAGAGTGGGTAAAATTTTTTTTGAGTGAGTTAATATTAGTAATTTTTTATTTTATTTTTATTTTTTAAATCATTTCTAGGCAAAAACTTACCAAAAAAAAATCATTTATTAAAATGTGGACGAATTTGAACGATTTTGCGGGTCGCCACATATTGCCCAGAGTGTAAATATACTCATCTCCAAGAAGGACTTGGCAAAAACCAAAAAACAACCATGAGCATTTTTCCTTACGGTTTTGAAGGAGAAAAATAAATGAGCATTCTTCAAACACAAACTTTTATTTATTTATTTATTTATTTCGATAATAAGGGTGTTGGGGGTTTACCTTGAGACTAATTCATGGAATTCGTGCTAGGTGTTCTCACATAAGTATGAGTAAAATTTAAAATTATTTGCACATCAAAAAAGTCAAGACATGATGCATCTTTATGAGGCAACAAAACACAAGTCTTTTTTAATTAAGCCAATTCCTTCATGTTAAATCCAAACACAAACTTTTCATATCTATATCTACATATATATATATATATATATATATTTTGAAAGTTATATCTATGTCTATATTACTATTAAAAGTATACAGAAATCCAGTACATTAATATATAATATTAAAAAAATTATTTATTCAATTCAAAAACTGAAAATCTAATTAGAAATATATATAATATTTAAAACTTATTTATTTATTTAATAATAATAGTATAGTTGTAGGAAATTAATACTGATATAGAATAAAATATATAATATTAAAAATTTTAATTAGAAAATGAAATATATAATATTAAAAAATTAAACTACTGAAATTCAATAAATGAAATCTAATTAGAAAAAAATATATATAAAACTAAAAAAATTATTTATTTAATTCAATAAAATGAAATTTAATTAAAGAAAGAAATACTGATAATAATATAGTAGTAGTAAATACTGAAATTTAATAAATGAAAATCTATTTAGTGAAAAAAATATATAAAAAAATTAAATTACTGAAATTCAATAATGCTCCGTTTGGTAGGAAGGAAGTAAGAATGGTAGAGGGAAAATAGGTAGGAAGAAATAAACTTCCTTTGTACAAAAGAAGAAATACAAGGCTATTATAAATATTTTTAATTTATAAAATTTTCTTTATAATTAGAGCTTTGTCTCTTCTTCTCTCCTACTAAACAAAATAAGATATTATCTTATTCTATTATCTTCCATCTAACCAAACAAAAAAAGGGGATGAAATAATCTCTTCTCTAGAGATATTTCAGTGATCTTTTCTTCTCTCCCTTTTATGCAATTTTCTTCCTTCCCACCAAATGGAACATAAAAGGAAATCTAATTCAAGAAGGAAATATTTAATATTAAAAAATTATTTAATAATTGTAGTACAAACTGTAGAAAACACTAATACTAATAATAATAATATAGTAGTAGGAAATCTAATTAGAGAAGAAAATATATAATATTTAAAAATTTAATTAGAGAATGAAATATATAATATTAAAAAAAATATTTAATAATAGGGAGCTATATTTGCACTCCACAAATAGACTTTAGCGCTCTACCTTTTTATTTTAATAAATATAATGACCAAATTAGCCTCTCAGTATCCTATGTCGATTAGGAAAGATATTGCTAAAACTATGAAAGTTACTCGTTGTTTTTGTATGATGTGATGTGATTTTGTTCATTTTTTTTAATGGAAAACTCTTATCTTCTTTCTAAAACTTGACTTCATCTTAGTGTTAAAAAGTATTGAATCAAGTAGAAAATAAATTGAGTTGCTTAAGATTAGAAGAATAAAAAAAAAAATCTTGGAAATTGCTATTTTTTTTCTAATAATAATTTTTTCTATGTTATTGTGTGGGTAATTTTTGGAAAAATTAAATGGTATCCAAATCCAATACCCGTGAGAAGTTCAATACAAAAGAAGAAGAATAGTGAAGAAACATCAATGTGGAGACAACAGACCACCACCACTAACTTAGGTGGCTCTGCTAGCCCCGCTACCATTGGAGCCACCATGTTTTTCCTCTTGCACTCCAACTCTTCCAGGCGTCAGTTCAATCTCTTCTGTTCTTTTTATAAATTTTTTATTTGGTCTTCTAAAATTATGCACATTTACATTAAAGAGTTTATACCTTTTTTTGGAGGTGTATCTACACATGGTCCAGCAAATTTTATGAATGTGTCTGTTCATGTAATGAAACTTTTTAGTCTAAATCATATGCGAATTTTAATTTTAATTTTTTCTGAGTCTTCTATAACAGCAAGTATGCAACACAACTTTTTTCTCTATTTGATTCACTATTTTCGATCACTGAGATGAAGTTAAGTTTTAGTACACAGAGTAAACAAATCACAACACAACAAAAAGATAAAAATAAATTTCATAGTTGTATACTAAAAGGGTACTTTAATCATTATATTTACTAAAACAGAAAGTTGAGTGTCAGAGTATATTTATGGAGAGTCAATATCAGCTCCCTTAATAATATTGTAATAGAAAATACTAATAATAACAATAATAATATAGAGTAAGAAATTTAATTAGAGAAGGAAATATATAATATTTAAAAAATTATTTATTTAAAATATAATTTATAATAGTAGATTTTAATAAAATAAAATATAATTAGAGGAGAAATAGTAATAATAATACTCAGTATTATAGTAGTAGGAAATATATATAAATTTAATAAAAAAGAAATCTAATTAATTTGTTTTAATAAATAGATAACAACAATTATATATCAAAATATACCAATAAAATCCTAAACTAAGAATTATATATTGGGTTACCATCAGAATCAAATCATCTTCTTGGGATCCAGGGAGATTGCGAACAAATGTTTGAGTTTGATGTATTGCGTTGAGCTAACTATTGACAATATATATTTTTTCTTATTACAGAAAAATAAAATTATTGTCAATGTTTTGGTACCTGAGTAATTTAAAAAAATAGTATTTTGTTTTCCGAATTCTTAAGTTTTAAATTTATTTTAACTAATTATTATTCCTTTTTCTTTCTTTTTTTAAGTGAAGGTTGAAACATTAATTCCTTATCTATAACTATGAGAAACATATCCTACTTTCTACAAAAAAAAAAAAAAAAAAAAAAATTGAAATAAAACTTTTATAGTATATTTGACTAAAAATAAAATAAAATAATCCAGACAGAGGATGTCCATTAAATTAAAAAAGGTTTTTTAGGCAGCTTGGTGATCAAGACTTTTTTTTATTATTAAATATATAATTAGGTATTCCTTGATTTTTTAGAATTTAGCTTATGAATATCGTTGGGTTCAAATAAACTCAAATACTAGTGAGTTACTACATCCGGGCCGGCAATTGTATCTTACAATTTACGCTAAAGTTATTTTTAAACTTACAAATGAAAAAACATGGAAGTGGATATATACTTATTTAATTAAATGTATATACACAGAGAAAAATAGAGTTTTTTTCCAAAAACAAAAAAAAAATTAAACTAATGATGTAAAAATTCATAAGCTGTATAAGAATTTTTGTATTGTTATTTTTTACGAAAATACCCTTCATGTCATAGGGCTAGCTCCGTTAATTCAAACATGGGTGATGTGATTTTAAGGAGACTTACCTCCACCAATCACTCATATATTTCCAACTCCAACCCTCTCCTAGACTATTAAATGCATGTGTGTCCATTTCATTCTTTTATTTCAAATGAATGCATCGATCTGACCTCTATGGTATTATGAACAATATCAGCCAATGAGTTTTGAGGGAGACTAGTTTATTAATTAATGCAAAGACTTCATTCTTGTTCAATAATGAAAGGTGTAATTGTTTGTTTTCCAACAAGGAAACAATTTCTAGGGGTTATGGACACAATAGTAATTAACGAAACTTAATTAGCAATTAAATAAAGCTAGATTGAATTGCTTATAGTTTATAATACAGCTTTCACAAGGATATACCTCTATTTATATATAGCACAACTCTAATGCAATAAAACTAAAGATGAATTATGTATAATTTTGTAGGGTGTTAACAATGCTTAAAAGTGATATTCCACATTATGTTAATTTGACTTAACATTTTTTTTTTTTTTGTCAAAGTACAATTTGAATATTTAACATTCGCTATGAAGAAGACTAATTTATGATTTTAAGTTGTATTAGGATCAATAATATACATATTACTCTCCCTCTCTCTATAGAAGTATAAAAAATATATATAAATATTGTAAAAGATGATTTAGGGACCATTGAGTTGTAGTATTACTTCATTGGGTATTTGTCTCCTTCATTTTGTCAGAATACATAGACAGCAGCTAGCAGCTAGCTTGTTTTTCTTATCAAATTTTCATTTTTGTCCTTCAATTTATACAATATTAATATATATTTCTGCTGTCAATTCCTACAAATTTATCGGCTAAATTAAAATAATAAATTAAGCTAGCATCCCCCTTGTACATGTTGTCAACAAATACACCACCAACCTCAACTTGATATTTATTATTTTACCAAGGAGAGGAGGGGATGAAGGAGAGACAAACTTGTGATCCAAACACAAGAGCAGGTGTAGGCATGCACAAGAATTCACAAATAATGTCAAAAGCGAAGCCGAGTATTCGCATAATTCACATATACGCACCACAGATCATCAAGACAGATGTTGCAAACTTCCGACAACTGGTGCAAAGACTCACTGGCAAGCCTGCAGTAGTCGATCAGACGAAGCTGAGGAAATCAAGAAATGATAGTCCAACAAGGGAATTACAGACGTCCTCAACAGATTTGTCCAACCATAATTATAAGCCAATGATGATCACCAAGAAAATGGAGTACGTTAGAGCCAGCTTTGAGAGAATTAAGGAGGAGGAGGAGGAGGAAGAAGAAGAGATCATGTGGGGTACTACTACTGATCATCAGAATTCAGCAGGTGGTGGTGGTGGTGGTGGTTTCTTAGGTGGGTTTGCAGATTTGGAATATGGTTTCATGCAAGAACTTGGTGGTGGATTCCCATTGCTTCCTTTCGATGCTTCTCACATGGATGCCTTTGGAGAGACCACCGATCAACTCGCCTCTTGTTGAATATATATATATATATATATATGTATATATATATGGTTCATCTCCCTCTAATATTTTTCTCTTTCTAATTAATATTTATGGCTTAATTATTATTAAACATATGCTTTGATGAGTACTTTTTTTTTTTTTCCTGCTCCTTTTGCAGAGAAATTGCCCTCACTTGTGTCTTTTGGATGGCTTTTAAGTAATTGAATGTTCTGTTTGATTTTATTTCAAGCTCCTTTGTAAGCAATTAATAGTCTAACAATAAAATTTTAAAATTTGTTCATCTGATTAAAACCCAAATTAGTGGTATATACCCATGTTGTTAAAGAGTTTGAGCACCTTATTTGATCCAGGTGCATATATTGTCTTAAGAGTTTAAACAAAGGAGATGGTTAAAGAACATTTAACATTTTTGCATTACTTAATTTCAAACACAGTTTTCATAATCAAATTAGATGGGTATCTCCTATCAAATTTATGCATTTAGATTGATTTTATATTAAAATTTTGCTATTTATTTATTTATTTTTGAAAAGAATGCTTGCAATTTTTTTATTTATTTTTTTTATTTTTTTATGGGTTTTGTTTTCAATTTCATGTACGTCAGTATCAGTTTCCCTCCATCTGAGCCCTTCTCCCTCTCTCATATAATCACATTGATTGTTTGATCCACCATTCAATAACTTTTAAAGGAATTCTGTTTGGCAAATCAAATAGGACTCGGCCATCCAAATTAATGTGTTCACTTTTTCTTGCAAGACTCACTATATATTCCATTAAAAAGTTTTTCTTTAAAGCAACTCACCCATTGATCAAAAGTTGGTATTCCTTTGTGCAAACAACCACATCTCCTAACTTTAGTTTTTCAAAATTTAATAAAAATCTCAGGTTCAGTGTTTTTTTTTTTTTTTTTTGGATAATATTTACATAGTGTGAAAAATGTAGAGAGAAAATGGTGTAATTGTGTGTTTGACAAGCATACATATTAAGATATGAGAGGCATAAACAAAGTAAGAGACGCATTCACTTGCGATTTTAAAAGTCGAAAACCCAAGTCTATGGACAATATGTACAATTAAAATTTGACTTACGCACAGCCTCAAGTCCACGTTATTGGTAAATTTTATTCGCAATTTGCAATAATAATAATATCTTGGGCGGCTCATACCTATACAATTAAATTCAAGTAGGGATTGGGACCACCAAAAGTGTAACATCACATAACGTGTTGTCTTCCAAAACAAAAATTACAAGTACCACTCTATTTTATCCGCTATTAATGTCCACGTCCCAAATAATTATAAGTTTATATGATTGAAACATTTCTTCCTCTCTCTCTCTCTCTCTCTCTCTCTCACACACACACCGTGTTTGGTGCAAATGAAAGTAAAAATTAGATGCTCTTCGCTCCGACTGTATCCTTCCTCCTGTTTGAATGATAGTGTTTGTTTTGAAAAAAAAAAAATTGAAAGTAAATACAATATTATGATTTTGTGATAACTGATAACACGTAACTAACACGGTAACACCTAACTCATCTCTTCTCAATTCAACAAAAATGTCCAACACTAACGCAAGCCGTAGAAATCTGATATCACAAGAAAATAATCAACATGTCAATAACAAATTATGTAACTATTTTTTCGTACAAAAAGACTGACTTCAATTTTCTCCACAAATAGTTAGATAATTCAGAATACCAGCAGTACCAGGAATTATGATAGGATTCAAGACTAATAAAAGTAGAGATTTAACAACAGTTCACATTGTCGATAGCCGATGTTTACCAGCTTCTGCCGAAAGTCAAAAGGCACCCAACAAGGAGGATAAGGTTGTTTAGAGACAAAATGATGTGTTTCTAAACACGGAGGCAAGGCAAGAAAGTTTATGAAATAAACAAGATACAAAGAAATCTCTCCTTTTTTGTGCAGAGGACAAGCTTTGAGAAGTTGGGGAGTGCGTAATTGACCGGCACGCCAAACCAAAGTCAATAGGCGTGGCAGGTTCAGGTCAAATAGGTCCACATTCAACACCAACCTCAATAATTATATTTCCTTTAGCTATGTTGTGCATGTAATCTGTATTTTACAAGCTTAAATGATACAAGATGGAAAATTTCTTACTGGTGACAAATCTGCAAGATAATTAGAAACAATACACATACCACATATAAGATTAAGCTTCGATACTGACCCTGATAACTACCATTCCAAAGTTTACTAACATCAACCGCTTGATCTCGGTCAATTGAGGTGAATTTCACACCAATGAAAGCGTTACCAGTTCTTTTGCGATAAGGGTGCTCATCCTCAATGCCAGGGAGTGTACTGAAGCAAAGCAGAGAGAGGAGCGAGGAGAAGTAACTTCACCCAGATTCAACACCGTAATTCAGATAAAGAAAGCAGTTCTCTACGCAAAAAGGGAACTCTCAACTCTCATACTCCGCGATGGGTTCTACCATGGGAGATGGAGGCGCATCCAACCTTGTAAGAACTTCAGGAAACCCAGAAGTGTCTCTAATTATCTGCATCAAGTCCAGCAGAAGATTAGATTTGATAACTTTGAATGGATTTGGTGGGCAGTTTAAAGTTTATTCTAAAGGTGTAAAACTCAGGAATACCTTCCTTTTTTTTCCCTTTTTTTTTGGAAGAATTATAGTTAGCACCAAAACATTAAACAGAACCATGATGCCAGAAAAAAGAAATTTTCAGACTAGCATGGTTTTTTGAGATTATTAATGTAATTTAATTATTTTCCCAAATTAGTGTCATTTGTCATTATGAATACTACAAAGAAGTGGAGAAGTCACAGTTGTGTAACATGCATTATAAAGGTAAAAAATTACCAAGACTTTAAAACAACGAAAAAACACCATATGAACACTATTGCCAAAAAAAGTCAATGCCACAGAGACAATCTTAGGCTTATCTGGGATGGCCACAAGATATGATTAGTGTAAAAGGAAAAGATTGAATGAGTAAAGGGAAATTGAAGTACAAAGTCAACATTTTAAATGCAAGAGGGATATTGACTGAATGGTTTTGATCAACGTTGAGTCGGTGGCATGTGTAAACAGGGTTGACATTGTCAAGGACAATGGTTTTCAGAGACTACATGTTCACACTTGTAATGACAGAAGTGTTATGGGTCTTCAGAAGACACATCTTTTGACATCAGTTGGGACAAAAATAAAACATTATGCACCTCTTTTGGCGCTTGAAATGAGTGCTCTTTTTTCCATGGGAAATGAGTCCGTTTATAATCTGTACAATGAATAATAACATATTCTGCAATGAAAAATAATGATACCGCCTCGCTGAAAATGCTATGAGGGTTGGGAAAAGACCAACGGGATATGGGCTTAAGATAACAGAATACTATTTTGCAGCTAATCTAACAACCACCACCAAGCCTTTTCCCAATTACTTCGGGTCGGCTTGCAGCTAATCTAAGACAAGTACTATTAAACTTTAGTAAGCCTATTAGAAAAGAAAAAAAAATCCAATTTTTTTCTTCTGCTTTAATAGATGGATCAATTTTTGCAAATGCCACGGAAAACAATGAAATGACTTTATTTCTGTGGCTTCCAAACCCCCACTGCCAATCAACTTAAAAGAAGAAGGGGGCTCAAAAACAAGCAACAGCCACATCAACACTCCGTTCACATACTTTGTTGCTAGTTTCACCTAGAGCTGATCACAGCAACAACTCTAATACAGAATATTTACTATGACTACACCATTTTCATTGCTACAGCAAAATAATATACATAAGAAATTGAAGGGCATGGCACTAAGTATAAAAAAACTCACCAAGATCTCTTCATCCAGATAAGAAATCATAAATAGTCTCTGGAAAGTCCCACCTGAACATGTAAAACTATAAAATTTAGAATATGTTCATATGAGAAGAATTTTTCTTCTACTTCTTTTCCCTTTTTCTTTATGTGGTGCAGGGGGAAGGGGAATTGGAAGCTGTTGGAAGTGACCAGGTGTAATGTACAGGCAAGTGTGAAGAAACTAAACCAAATCAGAACCAGAAGGCAGAAATACAAAAACTAGAAGTCAGGACAGAAAGAATTTGTTACCTTGTGATGGTTAAGTCAAACAACAGGGATGAAGAAAGAGTGAAAATTGAGTTTAAAGAAAGACTTGCAGTGACTATATATTTTATCCTAGATTTTTCAAAGAATGCGAAAACATTGCCCAACAAGTTACAAAAAAAAGAATGAAATAAAAACTTGTTAATGGAATGTCATACAATTATAGAAGACCTGTTAAGTGAGAGGACTCTGCTAAATGGTCGTAAGGACACTAAAGCTCTATTAATATAGAATGCTGGGTAGTCAAGTAACAGTTCTAAATGTACGGCTGAATAAAGCGTTTGGGATGGATAAAACGCACTACTAAGAAGCTAGAGGTGGTATAAGTGAGGACAACATGATAGAAAGTCGTCTAGAATGTTTGATCTTTTGCAATGAAAATCAATGGATGAACAAATAAATACAAATAGTTTGATATAAGTTGACAACACAAGGTAATAGTTTGATATAAGTTGACAACACAAGGACAGGAGAAATGCCAGAAAGCGTGTGCCATGAAGCAAAGAAGATATGGTGACCCATAATTTAATAATAAATGCCGTTGGATAGAGTTAGACGCAGGAAGCATATTCGTGTACTTGGCCAAAAGAGGTTAATTTTTTAGCATCTTGTTGAGGTCACTTGAGTTTAGAACTTAATTAAATCAAAACCTTTGGGGAGTACATGTTTTAGATCTAACCAGAGTATTGACAACAACCACGAGCAAGGCCATTAGTACCTATGAATCTGATGACTGAAAAGGTGGGGAAGATTCTGAATCTAGACAGATGGCAGGATTAGAAATAAGAATTTCAAGCAACAAAAGCAGTGGAAACACTGAGCATAGAGCCATAGAGTCGACCAAGACTGGAAAGAGCAACAAATGCATGCATGTCACTGGGCTAAGTATAAGTGCATGTCTTGGTCAATTTTTGCAAATATTTTATCTGATAAGTTACTGGAATTTGATGGGCTAGGAAAATAAATGGGATTACTGTAGGAAATCGTTGCAAAAATTAATGGGCTAGCTGTTTCATCCTTTAGACTGGTATCAATTTACTCATATTTACGGGCTAGATATTATAATTTAATGGGGCTTTCAAGGCCCAAGCCACCGCCACTAGTATTGCATACCAGGTCTGAGAAGACAACAACCTGCAAAGCAATAAAACCATATTTCAAACCTAAATCTCTATCAAACCTTATGTTTTTGACAATTTTCTGGCACTCAACCGATGACTTTCTGATAACCTTATAACGATTTACCAATCATTCTTTGACGTGACTTCCAGCAATTTCCCAAACTTCCTGCAACTATTTGACAAAAAATAAAAAAGTCCCCATTTATGATATTATGTTATGGGTTGTATTTAGTAAGCTCAAGCTCCTAGTTTTAAGTGCACATTAATTTTTTTCTTATAAAGTTCTAGCATTAATCTTCCATATACCATTGCTAAAATAGTTAGGCAACAAGTTAATCTTCCAACACTTGATACAATAAACATATACGAGTACAAACTAATTGAATATGAGGTTCAAGAAATGAGGTTAATTTTTTTACTAGACCGAATAAATAAGTGAAAGAAAAACATTATAATGCTTACTCAAGGGAATTTTCAGCCCACTGGCCATAGCATCCCTGATAGGAACAGGAAGCTGCTGCACAGTACTAACTGCCTGACCAAATGCCCCTCTTAGCTGTTCAGGTATTGTTTCTTCATAGACTTTTGGTGATTCGACAACCCCTTCAACGTACTCTTCTTTCATTCTAAGTGGTCCCTCGACGGATAACTTGGTGGAAACAATAAATTTGCTTTCTATCTGTAATTCACCAGAGAGCACTTCATTATTACTCAAACTTGTTGCCAGCAATTTCATGATAACATCCAAATCAGAGTAAGCTAACAATGGCAAGTAAAAGCGAGTTAGCACTAATTTAATCACTTAATATGATGCACTCGACAGGGTAATTCTAAGAATATCTTGCGTCAAAAGAATTTGTCAGACAGCGGATACAAAAATTATCACATACCATGTTTCAGGTGTAAATTCTAAATTAATTGTGTCACCAGTTTCAAAGTGAAGATTGAAGATCCTTCAAGAAATGAGAAAGCATGGTGACCGTACTTTTTCTCTTTTATCAAAATATCATTAAAACTCCGCGCGTTATTGCTTTTTTTTTTTTTTCTTAGTTGGTACTCACACACACACATGCCTCCACTTAGGCTTGAACCCCTGACCTCCCTTTATTGCTTATATACAACCCAAATATTTTTTATTCAATTGATGCGGCCAACTGAGCTTATATCTACACGAAGTATAGCTTTAAAAAAATATATGAAGCAAAATTATTCAAAAAAATAAAAAAATTAAATTAAATCTTGAAGTGAGACATCTAGGAATGCTTCTTTGCAAACATAGAACAAAAATTTATACACTAAATGTGCATGTATGTGAATTTACCCAAAATATTTTACCGAGTTCAATAATTTTATGTTTGCTGTAATCTTTGCATATCCATCTTTGATCACTAAATCCATGCTTGACAGAATTGCCAGTGTTGATGGAAATCTCCTGCAATCATACAAAATTTTCACCACAAAATTAGATGCCTCCAATCAATTCCAATAATACTCACAGTTATCTTTCAGCATTTACAGCTCACAACAATACATTCTTTTTTCTTTTCTTTTTTTCTTTTTTCTTTTTGTAATTCTCAATCAAGAATAGCAGTACTCACTGAAATACAAATTTGGCAACAAATAATCCTGGGCTTCCAGATCCAAACCACTCAAAATTCCACCGGCCTTCTAGAAAGGGCGACCTGAATAGCTGAGTACACAAATAAACATCTAATACAAATCTGAACAAATTGGATGGTCTTGTTAGAATAAGCACCTACGTTGTTGGTCGAGGCGCTGGATTGAGCCGCTCAAGTCCAGTTATCCTCTCATTAACGTCAATCTGCTGCATATCTGTTGTCTTTCCAGTGACTAAAGCCTCAAATCCTCCAGCATCCTTAAACTGAAATAAACATTCCATGAACTACTCATAAAAATTTAAGCTGGTAAAACAATATTCCATCCCGTGAAATGGATAATTTCCAAAACACAAACTCTCCAAAAATGTTATTATTGTTAATTAATATATCAACATTCAATGTCCATTAATCAATATAAAAAATTACCTAATGCAAAGCACTTTTTTGCAGTTCTACTTGAATAATTTCAATGTCATAAAATATTAATGTCACAATTTTTACCAAATTAATGGATAAAAAATTAGAAAATTCAACAGAAGAGGGAAAAACTATTTGCTCTTTTACACCCATAAAGTTGCTTGACTCACAATGTGGAGTGGCTACTAGACGCATTCTGTTTAACATTAAAAATTGTACTTCAGGAAGTGAGTAAATTATAAAATCAAGCACGCAAGTTAGAACAAATCTGCAAAATATAACATAAAATAAAGTAGTAAAAATACCATCAAAGAACAAAAAACTTGTTCAGCGTCTAAACCGAAATTAATTGCACGAATCACACTTAAAATTTTTTGAATTATATTCTAAGAAAAAAAAACAAATTAAAGCTGTGAAAAAATTTTCAAATTGAGCTCACAGCGAGAAGTAACGATTCCTTGGCAGAGAGCCTCTCCATTTCCTTGGCATAAGCAGCCGAAGCTCCTTGTACCGTCTGCTGAACCATTGCTCTGCAGACTCTAGAAACGCTCAGATTCCGACCAATTTTCCGACCATTTCCCGGGAAAATAGTGACAATAGGAGAAAACGAAGAATGATACGAACGAAGTCCAGAAAATGGTGGGATTAAACCTTGAACTGAACAAGCCATTAACAACAATCGAAAGCAAAAATATTATATATCCCAAGAGATTCAAATTGATTTGATGAAAACCTAATCTTCTGATACTTGAAGGTGTGTGTCGGTGGAAGCTAAGTATCGTTCTTAAAGGGCAGTTTCGTCAAAAACAAATAACACAAAACAATTAGTAGTTTGACCCTAATTTTTTCTTAATAATTTTTTATTTTATTTTATTTTATTTTATACTTTGAGTTTAGCTTTTATATTTTTTATCCGAATGTAAATTTTAAGAATTAATTTAAAATTTATTTGAATATTTAAGTTTATCTAATTTTGATAAATAAAGTGTTAACTCTTCTGACAATAAAATTACAGGACTATAGATTTTGTGAAAAGAACAAATAATAATAATAATAATTAAAAAGATATGGTATTATATACAACTATGACATGGTATGATTTATTTTAAAATATTTAGGGTTAAAATCATAAAACTTTCAATACTTTCAAATTTTGATAAAAAAAATCCTAACTTGTTTCAAAAAACCCTTAAACTTTTAAAAAGTGGCAACACTACCCTAATACAGTTAACTGGGCTATCAAATGACAAATTTAACCTTACTATTTAATATTAAATTAAAAGGTCAAAAATATTTTTTAAAATTACAAAAGTACCTTTTAAATCTTCTTCTTCACCCCCTCTCTCTAAAACTCTCACCCCCTCTCTTTCTAACATAATTTTTGAAATTTAATAAGGTATTTTTGTAACTTTTAAAAATAATTTTTAGTTTTTTTAATTTAACATTAAATGGTAAGATTAAATTTATCATTTCATAGACTGGTTAACGATTCGGATACGGATATTGGGACAGTGTGATAAATTTTAAAAAGTGTAGGAATTTTTTGAAACAGGTTGGAATTTTATAATCAAATTTTAAAAGTGGTAGAGATTTTATGGTTTTAACCCAAATATTTACAAGAAACTGTTCTAAATTTAGAAAAAGATTTGCCATGTTTAGTAAATACAGTATAATCGAATTCATAATTTCCTATGAATAAAATTTTTTGATTTGAATAATTGTGATTGATTTTACCTTTGACCGTTATCCTAATATTTTCAGTTGAATAAATTTTTTTTTTGCTTGAAAAAAACAATAATAAGAAAGTAAATGAGGTAAGAAAAAGAAAAAGTTTATGGTGAAAAGGGTACATATGGTATTATAGAATGAGGGAGGATGAATTAATGAGTTTAATAACTTTCTCGTTAATTTCTTTTTTAAATAAATATATAGTGCAATTTGATAAAAGTAATTTGTGAATTCGATTAAATATATTTAATAACAAAATTTGAATATTAAATAAAATAAAAAAGACAAACTTCTTATTGGGAATGGCAACGGGGCGGGTTTGAATTGGATTTCCCTAAATTCTGCCCCGCTCCTTTTAATTTTTGTCAAGTTCATGTTCGCCCCAAGACCCGAAACGGGTTGAATTTTCATGTCCAGTCCCGTCTCGTTGGGAAATACTGTGTCTCCTTGTCCATCTCGTTAACAAATTTTTTTCTCTCACTTTTTGAAACTTAAGCTCCTGTTATTTAAATGTAGAAAGTTTGGGAATGGCACAACATAAATAAAATTATGCATCCCAACAAAAATAAGAAAATACATGCACATAATATAATTAAGAGAACATAATAAACAAAAATAAAAGTTTAATACAACCAAATCACAAGAAGTTGTAAGCTCCAACTTCTACCATAACTAAAATAAAAACAAATTTAATACCAAGTTTGCATCCCAAATTAGGATTGTAAGAGATGGGTAATTGGGTAAGTCGCTAAAATAAGTTATTAATATTATATATATATATATATAAAATAAAGTTATATGCTTAACGGGGCGGGGCGGGGCCACTAGGATATGTATATTGAACCCTTACCTGCCCCGTGACCCATAATGGGTACAAAATTTGTATATATGCTTGTCCCAATAGTATAAAAAGTGTTCCTATATTCGTTATTAATAAGAAAGAACGGGCGGTAAAAATTGACATCCCACTTCTTACTATAATTTTTCTATTTAAAATGCAATGATACTGGCTCCTTAGAATGACTGTACTGTTGAGTTATTTACAAATAATCTTCACAAAGTATTTGCACTGTTTTACATGGGCAGGATGGATAAAATGTATCAAAAGACAACCTTTTGATAAGGTCGCTTTCAAAGTGCTGAGTAGTACATTTAGGGCTGCAGCTTGGGCAGGTTAACCCAGCCTAACCCAAGCCCAACCCAGAAATTTTGAAATTGGGACATATATTCACAAATCGGGTTCATGTTCGGGTTGGGTTTTGTCAAAACCCAGACATATTCGGGTTGGGCTCGGGCTCAACCAAAACCTAACCCAAAACCCAATTTTTTTTTTTCCTTTCTCTCTCCTCTCTCTTCTTTCTCTTTCTCTCTCTTCTTTTTCTTTCTCTTTCTCTCTCTGTCGGCGTCCCTCTACTGCCGCCACCGGCGTCCCTCGCCTCAGCCACTGATCCATTGCCGCCGCTGTCCCTCCGCCACCGTCACTTCCAAAAATTAAAACAAAACCCATACATACAAGTTAGCAGTTGCAGAGAGAGAAAGAAAGTCCATAGGTTTTGAACTTTTGATTCTTGTCTACCGATGGATAAACAGAAATATATGGGTTTTGAACTTCTGATTCTTGGTTGATTTTGCAACTTGCAGTTGCACAGAGAGAGATGGGGCAATTTCAGAGTTGAGAACGAGAAGAGAGATTGAGGTGATTGGGGGGAGGTGCCCTAAAAATATATATATTTTTAATAATAATATAATCAAATATATATAATATACACACACACACACACATATATATATATATATATATTCAAAAAGAAATTATTAAAAAAAAAAAAACTCAACCCGTCAACCGACCCAACCCGTCCGAAAATATTCGGTCCGGGTTATGACCACAACCTATGTAAGGTACAATTCGGGTTGGCTCAACCCAACCCGATTCGGGTTGAGGCTGGGCTGGGTTGGGCCAGCCCAACTTGCAGCCCTAAGTACAGTACAACAATGTGCTGTGACTTGTGAGCAACTTAGATATTCTTAAAATTGTACCACCATTTTTATTTTAAATATATGGACTTAAATCATTGTCTCATAACAGGTAATGATACTACTAATGTGAGACGCCGATCAGAAGAGGGATTGTACTGTTCAGTTATATTTTGATAATCTTTACATATATTTTGTCAGTATAGTAGAATAAAAAGTATATAGAGAGACAAAAAAACACTTAAAAAGAAGGTCTTTTTAATTGTTAATATGTTATTTAAAATTTTAAACAATACTGATCAATTTTTTATAAGATTATTTAAAGGTCATTTTTCTCACTTTTGAGATGAAATAAATAAATAAAATAAAATGTTAGTGTGAAGAAATGAGATGCCCAAAAACGTTTTCATTGTGACACTGAACCTTCGTACCAAAAGAGTAGATAGATAACTTCTTTCTTTTTTGACATTGACTCAAAAACAAAAATGGATAAGACTTCGGAGTACTAAAATAAATCATGTCCTACTCTTTCTAATAAGTTCTTGTTACGTATACGCAGTAAAATACGTGGATCGGGACGTTTTCAATGTGTAGCATTGATTTCAAATATAATATCCTTCTTTTTAATAGAAAAAACAAAAAAATTTCTTCTGAGCATCTCATCACTGGAATGGCAATCACGCATTCTACAACTCAATATTCAAAATGTGTCTTACTTATCTGGTTTACCGTGTTTGGATAGAACGCAATCGTCGAATTTTCAAGAAGAAATCTCTCTGCTAATTCGATTCTGCACCTGACAATAGATTATGTTATATCCAAATTGCTTACCTCCTCAATCTCGGATACATTGAATGCTCGAAGAATTGCAGATGAATGAGAGCTTCCAGATGTGATTTTCCAGTCAGCAATTCTCCATAGCTATCAGAATGTGTTGTGGACCTATTTAACGGTCTTGAAAAAGAAAAAAAAATTGTGCATGAGCTAGCGGAGCGATAGGCCGTGTATTGTTTGGCCTGTGTTTGAAACTCACTAACATAATTTATCTTTTTCCTTACATTTAACTCCCTAACAACAGTGAGAAATATATATATATATATATATATATATATATATATTTTAAAATTTTTTTGTGTAAAAAAGCCTCACTGAATATAATAATTGATAAATTCCCTCAAAAGAAATTTAAATTTATTTTTTTTTGCACAAATTATTTTACACTCTCATTTGATATACCCGACTTAAATTTTTACTAAATACTAAAAAATAAAAAAATTTACCTGAAAAAAAAATATAACACAGACCTAAGACAAAGCTTCCAATGAGGCATTTGATACTAATTCTATAGTCTACTATTCCACCCTAGCCACTCTTTTGCCTTTCAAATAAATTACTCATTATTACTCATATTCCCTTCCCAATCACACCAAAAGCACCCACATTTTACTTAAACCATACATCACATTATCAATCATTTTTGTTCTATACAGCTAACAAGAAAAATATTTGAATCTACCTCAATATAAAACGAGTAACTACACAATTAAAACCCGTATGAGAAATGATTATTTATTTTTTTGATTGCTAGATCATTTCGTTTATATAACAATTTTGATTAGTACAGATATATTTTTCTTTCTTGTCACTAAACAAAGTTAAATACGAGGGTTTAGATTGTTTGAATTAATTTTTGAAAATAATTTCTTTCCAATAATTTAACTAGAGTAAAATAAAAAAACTTGTGCGTGTGTCATTGTGTGAGTGGAGGTGTGTATAAAACAAAAAAAAAAAAAAAAAAAAAAAAAAAAATTGTGGGCCTTTTCCCAACCGGACCATTTTCCTAATAAATTTATGAAAATAGTTGGACTATTTTGGGGCAGAGATGTGTGGGCTCACAAAAACTGTTGAAATGGGCCGATTCGGCTCAAATAGCACAGTCATAAAAATCTTTTGACCTTAAGAATCACTTTCTTTCACAGTCTTAGCGTTTCCCGCCATGGATGCCGTGGAAGTCGACACAGAGAACAACCTCCAAAGAAAACAATCCCTCTATCAATCCTTCGTAAAATCTCTATCATATTTACAATATTCAATGTTTTTCTTCTTGTATATGTATTGAATTTCTTGATTTTCAAAATCTCTTTTAGAAGTTTTCATACTATTGATTCCCTCTCTATATCTCACTGGCTCTTTTTCAGGATGAGACGTTTGAGATTCATAAGGAGAACTATAGGGGTCAGCAGTACAGCCAAATATACTTTGCTCGCCTCCACGTGATGAGAACACTTCTTTACTCTCTTATTCCATCTTGGAAATCTCATTTGCCCGGTAACCCTACTTTTCTTCTTTTTTTTTGCCAAATTTATATTTTTGCTAATTTCACTACTAATCCTTTTGACCATTATGTTCCATTTGGTTTATTGGGTTCTGATTAGTTTTTGAGTTTTGAATTTACATTGCAATCATACGAGTTTTATAAGGTGAGCTCTATCTGTTGAAACCCTGGATGTGGTTTTAATTGGATGTCTATTGAGTGAAAAATTGGGTTTTTAGTATCATTGTTTTCGTGGGTTTTTAGTTATTTTTTCAATGGATGGCTGTTTAAGAGGGAATTTGAATTTCATTGTGCTTTAGGGTTTTTGTTATTCACATTTATATACAGTTCCTACTCTTGAATTTTTTTATTTTTTTATTTTTTTTTCTGGTTATACAAATGTCTGGGTATTTTGTTTTGTGCTCTCGATAGAGCCACATTATTTATATGAACTTTCTATTGGAAACCTTGATTTTGAGCTTCAGGTTTGAGTTGACTGTTATCTGAGTGATAGTTTTGGGGTTTGGTGTTGTGTGTATCTTATGGGTTTGGTGGTTATGTTTTTAAGAGGGGATTTGTGGTTAACTGAGTTTTCTGGTATTAGTGCATTCATATTTGGTATTAATATTTTTTTTGGGTTTTGTTGATTTTTCATGTAGTTGCCATGAAAAATTTGGTTCAGCTGAACTATTCTATAGCTTCCAGTCCATCTATTTCATTATATTTACCACTCATACCTTGATTTAGTGGCTCATGATCATATTGGCTACTTCTCTAGCGAAATTTAAGGTTATGATATTTACAATTTTTGCAGGGTTTTACAAGTTCCTTGATTTATGTAGTTAAAAGATCAAAAATAGTAGCGAAATGTTAAAAAGTGATAGCACTGCTTTTAAAAGGGAAAGGTGGGTTTAGGAATTCAACTTTTTATCACCTCCGATAGATGAAATTTGTGAATTAAGAGGGAGAATGTGATTGATAAGGATGTTAAGTATTTGGGGGTCAGAGGATTGAGAAAAGTGGGATTCTGATAGGGCAGTTTTTTTGGTAATTCATTATGATAGATTATATATTATGTCAGTTCAAAGTTCTTATGCCGTTGGAGAAGTATTAAGTTAAAGTTTCGCCCTGGCCGTGATGTTCTGTGAGATTTTGCTTTCATATATATGGCTAGGTAAGTTCACACACATACTATTTGCCTTGATGGGACTTGAACTTTCAATCTCCAATGTGGGAGGAGGAGGAGATACCACTTGACCCAAAGGCCCACACTTTGGTTTTTGCAGTTGTAGAAGTGCTTTGATGAAAATAATTATTTGATGAGATTTTGAATTCCATGCTTTTGTTTAAAATCATCTGGCTGGTTTTGTTTTGTCACAGTCTGTACAGTTTTGGGACTGGAAGAAGGCAAAGAATGCATCATTGTAGGAACTCTCTACAAACATATGAAGCTCAAACCTTGTATTCTTGACGAGTACTCCAAGGAGGTACTGAGGTTATTGATTACTGAAGTTTTATGCTTCTTCTGTTTTGCGATTGTGATGCTGTTTAGCTGAAACTTAATCTTACAATTTGCAACATACAGAGATCTGCAATCCCTCTTGTTAAGCCTCATAACTTTACACACCCAGATGATCAATTGGTTCTGGAAGATGAGAGTGGAAGAGTTAAGCTCACTGGAACTGTACTATTACCTTCTGTATTTGTGACAGGTTTGTATTGTGAATGTTGTCATTAAAAAGTAGGAAAATTAGTTTCAGGGTGGATGTTAATGTTGTTCTTAATAGAGGCCTGTCTATTTTAATGTGAACTTCCTGATATGTTTTTCCCTTTAACGGATGCTTTTGATCCAAAACAAGGAAATTGTTTAATTATCCTATAATTTCTTTTATCACTTCTCATATTACTCAAGATTATCGTAGGTAATAATAATAATAAAAATACATGCGCAAATAAGTTAGAACCATTTGAATGCAGTATCCTGTTGTGTTGTTGGAAGCACTACATGCTGATCAATTCTAAAATTTTAAGTACCCACATGCTTTAAGCATTTATGGTTTTTCATTGATATAATGTGTTTGATAGGGACTGTGGTTGCGTTACATGGAAAGGAAACTGGTGCTGGGGATTTTTTGGTCGAAGATATCCTAGAAGCTGGCCTACCACACCAGACAGAGTTGCCACTTAATTCAGGTAGCATGATACTGCCTGTTTAATTTTAAACTCATTGCCTTTTCATTCACTGCGATTACTTTGCAACACACCATGTAACATAATTTTCTTGTTGGTCACACATCCTTACTATTTTCAAGAGAGGGTTTTTTGCCTTCTAGCGAGATTGGAACTTTAGCGAGCCTGGAAGATAATCCATTATATGTGTTTTTAATGATTACAGATGGAAACCATGGAAGTTCTGGATATATTCAGGATTCTCAGAAAAAATGGAAAACTGAAACTGACATCTAGAATATGAAAATGTGAGAAAATATTAAGAGCATGTCTATATATTTATATATATATGTAAATATGTCCTTTTTTTTTTGGGTTTGAAATTGGAGTAAAAAGTTAAAGTTGCAAATCATAAAATATGTAACAATTGGCCGTGAGGTAGTACATCTTAAAAGGGGTAAGTTTTGATGGGAATCCACAGCTACATGATTTGAAGATATTGCTTAAAAACTAAAAATAAATGCCATTTATCTTCATTATTTTCTGATTTATTGGGAATGAAACAGTTCGTGGACATTTAAAACCTTGCATTTAATTGGATTCTTGGGCCAATTTGAATTTTATCCATTTTGAATTTATTTTCTTAAGGTTGAAAACAACATTTACTCCTTGTTATGTTCTATATGTTTTATTTCGTGAAAGTAGTTCCCTGCCATGTATGAACTGTCGTTTTTAATTATATATTTAAGTATTTCATAATGTAAAAAGTCTGTTTAACCTCACACTCTGTAAAAGGAAATTTGTGATAAGTTTTGAGTACTTGGACCTTTCCTATTTTGATTTTTGGACTTAGCTGCTGTGAATGTAATATAGTGCAGCCACTTGTATTATATTTTATTTGAAATTACTTGAATTGTATCAATTGGTCTGAAACTGTTTTGTGTTGACTGCATGCAGAAGAAGACAAGTATGTTGTTTTCATATCGGGTTTGAGCATCGGGAACTGTTCTTCTAACCCTCTCCAATTTCAGCTTCTTGTTGATCACATAACAGGACATCTAGGAGATGAGAAGGTTAACACATTTTTCTACCTTCCTTTTCAAACCATGCTACTTGCTACCATATGATGATCTATCTTATCTGGCTTAGTTATATGAATTTATCAATTTAACAGGAACAAAGTATTGCAGCTCAAATAGTTCAAGTAGTTATTGCTGGGAATTCTGTTGAAATTCCTCATGGATTACTTAATGGTCAGGTAAGACATTTAGTTTCTCCTCTGTACACAGACCCTGTAAATTTTCTTTTATCTTTATCATTGGTCTCTCCAAATACTTCACATAAGGCAAAGGAGAATGACGTTCTGCACCTTTCTATCCCTTCTACGAGGACGTCTCCCTCTCCAACACCAAAAGTTATCTATCACTGATACCGATGTATTCCACTCCACACCAATCAAGGAATACAAGGACCCCAGAATTCACTTGCAATTTAAGAAGTGTGTATACTTTTAAGAGAAAGCACATCAAGGTACAACAAGATACCTGATACAACATAGTATAATAAAGAAAAATACAATAAAGCATGAACTATCAACTGTAAATAAGTAAAGAGAAACCATCAATAAAAATCATCAAAGCATAAACCTCCCCGAACTTTGTGACACTCCCTCTCAATTTCTATGATTTCTTAATCCAAGAAGATTTGTAAATCTATTACTTCATCCAAAATGTTAAATATTTTTTAGTCTGCATATTTTAGATTCTATGAATTTCAAATCTAATGACATATAATTTCCTTAAGCCAAATCAACCATATGATTTTTCATCAGGACACGACAGTCGTCCATTTTCCTAAAGGCGGCCTAACTTGATTTTTGCAGAATTTGGCTTCAAAGGATCAATCAAGATTGTCCGAGCCAATTAAAGAGTTGGATATCTTCTTGACTCAGGTACTTCAATGTCATGTTAACCTCGATATTAGTGTGAATCAAGATTTTCAATGATTGAAGTTTTGTGCAGATTGCTGCGGGGGTACCTTTGGATATCATGGCAGGACCCAATGACCCGGCAAATTTCGCCTTACCGCAGCAGGTTTCTCTCAAATCCTTCAATGTCTATATGGATAACACATTCTTCTGCATCATCTGATTAGTTCTGTTATCCCTTTATCTACCAGCCTTTGCATAGATGCCTTTTCCCTGGATCATCAGCTTATAACACTTTTAGGTCCTGCCATAATCCTCATTCCTTTGACCTCGACAATGTCAGGTAAGATATATAAGTTGACTGTAAGTACAAGCCTGAATTAGATATATGACATGGTGGTCATGTGATGTTCAGATTTCTTGGAACATCTGGTCAGAACATTGATGATCTTGAGAAGTATTCAGAGGCAAAAGATAAACTTGAATTTATGGAAAGGACATTGAGGTGGAGGCATCTAGCACCAACATCACCTAATACCCTTGGTAAGTAATATGTCCTGTTATGTCTTTAAGTTTTTTCTTGTACAATTTCATTTTTGGTAATTGTTTCAAGCCGTTTGGTTTATTTTATTTGGCTTGGAAATTCTGTGTGGCCTAACAGCTGATCATTATGATGTGAATTAATGTGATGAGGGGATAGTACAATATATGTTTAGACGTTCTACCAAAACATTCAGGAAAAAATTATTGGTGTATTAATTTTCACAAAATCCTTATTTTTCAGGGTGCTATCCCTTCACTGATAGGGATCCTTTCTTCATCGAGAGCTGTCCTCATGTTTACTTTGTTGGTAATCAGGACAAATACGAGACTCGCTTGATAAAGGGTACTTTTTTTTTCCTTTCTAGATTCTGACTATCAGCTATGTTCATATAAATTTGCTATTGATCAATATACTAATGACAACCGTTAAGCGCAGGATCAGAGGGGCAGGTGGTAAGACTCGTCTGCATTCCTAGATTTGCTGAGACCGGAGTTGCTGTAGTGGTAAACAATTCTTTCTTCTAGGTCTGCTCAAAGAATTGCAAAGAATTAGGGCCTAGAAAACTCATGACAGAAACACGAGTTTGTGAGAGTGTGTGCTTACAATATACAGCTCAACCCAGAGAAAAGCTTTAGTTCCATATTTAAGAAACTGACAAGCTTGTTGATTTAATTATTATTATTATTATTATTATTATTATTTGTTTGTAAATAGTAAAACTGTAAATTATATAAATTTTGTGCTCAAATGATATTATGCATGAATAAAGGACTCCTCTTACAATCATTTGCCATTTGGAAAAGATGCCATGTACTCATTAGGAATAGTGATTCAACTAAGAAAACGTTCCAGACGTTTTAGCATTCACCTCGTCACAAGGATACTATATAATGATTTGTCTCTTCTTCCTATTTTTATTTATTTTTCCTTGGACTACAATGAATTTCATAATTGTATTTCTGCACACAGGTTCTGTATAAATTGAAGGTTCTATATTTTGGCTTTCTAATTGGAAGACGTGTCTCAACTATTGCTTTACCTGTTGACATATTCGTTGAGTGATGCTATATTTATGTTTGCTTTAACATGGAATAGTTTGTACGCAATATTTATTCTTCATTTTTGATCTATATATATATATATAAATATATCATGTAGCATTAAATTCACGATCATTCCACCCTTCATGGTTTTTGGTTGCTCACAAGGAATTCATGGTTTTATTTTTATATCTTCCTTATATTTTATGCTTGGTGTAGTTAAATTGCGATCACAAGGTTTTTGTTTGATGACATTTTTTTGCGCGTTTAAGATCTTTACTTTCTGTTGTGCAGTTAAACATGAGAAATCTTGAATGCCATGCTCTCAGGTTTGGGACTCAGTTCAGCTCATAACTACTAGGTATGAGGTTATTATTTCATCTATGTAGAGACACGATTGCTGCTTATAATCAATCTTTTTTTGTATACGAATAGTGACAGGCTGACAGCTTATGTCCACTTCAACTAATATTTTCGAAGTTCTTTAGCATTATATATGCTCTCATGTTTCAGTATTGCCTTGCATCTCACTATGGTTTGTACTCCCATGTGCGTGGAACCCTTTCTGCAAGTCCTTAATGCCTTGGCATACTTTTGATTGAGGTTTTAACCTCGATTAAGGTTTTTGGTAATTCATTCCAAATAACTGAAGTTAATATGCCAATTTTGTGGAAGTCTACAACTCTGAAGTCCCTGCTTTTGATTAAGAATTAACATGCATTTTTACTATTATGATGAAGTTAGCAAAACAACCCAACACAATTGTTATATTACCTGCCTTATTTTCCATAATTGTTATATCAAGTTCTTATTTCTAAATTCAAGTCGACTTCTACTCCTCAAGCATAATATGAGGCTTGGACTTCCAGATTTATAAAAATATTGGAAATTTATGTGAGCCTGTTCACAGTTAATTAAAATTATCATATAAGTAGTTGAAATTTAAAATGCTGCCCCTTTATAAGTGTTTAAAATCTCTCTACATATGTGGATGCCTGATGCAGGAGGTGTACTAGCTTCCCAACAAATAGCTTAGCTCAAACACAAATTTTAACTTCAAACAGAAGCAAATTCAGGTCGCACCCAAGTTTATTTAACTTCAAAGAGGAGCTGGCATTGGTGCATTTATCCACATTAGCACAGCCATGTTCGTGAGGATTTGCACGAAGAGAAATGCAAATGCAAAGAGATGAAAGTGTGGCCCGAGATTGAGCAGGTCTTTTTTTTCTTCTTTTTATTACCCCAAAATGTTTGGTGATAGGACTTCGTGTTGAAATGGCTTTTCCATGTATTAATCATTTTAAATTCCATCGAAATTGAATTTTATGAACAAATATTAATCGTCTAATTTTATTGACAATTAATTTATGGGTTTGTCTTTCAATGTACCATGCTAATACGGAACTATTCCATTTTCCTTTAATTTGATATACTTGTGACCAGTGTGTGATATGCGCGTGTTTGTTAAGATTTGCGCATTGATTATGTTAAGATGTGCTCATGAATTGTTTATCGCCATCAAAATCTCAGGTGAATGTCCAATAATTCTTGAAGTTCTCAAGGTTACCAAATTTTGGCCAATATCCAGAAGCATCGCTAGTTTATGCCGTGTATATTTTCAGCAAAGCCGAGTGTGTTACTTTTGTGTGTTTGTTTGTTTGTTTTTATTTATTTATTGTAAAGACCCCTGTTCATAGAGATTAAGGCACTGGCGACAATGATGAAGAGATACGAATCATATCAAGAATATTAAACAATTAAAATATCATCAAATAATGTTAGCAATAAAATAAATAAATATATATGAAAACAGAAAAGAAAAGAAAAGAAAGAAACTTAGATTTTTCATATCATGATGTTTTGAGCAGTTGCGATTATCTCTTATTTGCGAAAAAAAGAAAAAAGATTATGTCTTATTTAATTGCCCATTTGCTGTTATTGTGGTATTCACTATTCACCTAGCCCATTGAATAATTACAACCGTCCTTTCAACGTGCAAAATAATATTTTATACAACTAAAATGCTGACTTTTTTATTTTGATTTATCGGAGCTAAAATAAAAAGTAAAATCATATTCAGTAATTTCTAGTGTTCTTAAAATTTTAAAAGCAAAAAAGAAAGGAAAAAAAAAAAAACAGAATCCGCGTTCAATATGGCCCACATGACCTGTGGAAAAGCAGAATAGGCTTTGCTCTTTTTTCCTTGCCAAAACCAAACTGGACCCAGATCCACACACGCATTACGCATATAAATCCACGTATATTAGTAGAGTCGCAACTCTGCAAGGTTGTCAGCAAGAACGTGAAGGGCGCGTTATACAAATCAAATACAGCCAACACAGTTTTGGTATTTTCTTCTACTCTTGTAAGCTGTAACCCATCACATGCCAAACGTATATAATAATAAGTATATAAACAAACAATGCTGTTAATAGCTTCATTATCATCCTCAACGGCTATATTCTCCAATTTCTCACTGTTCAAATCATTCAGCAGTCCGCCCTCCAACGGTCCATTTCCCACTTAATAAGGTCACCTCACAAATTCCCTGCCCTAACATATCCACATTGAAATATCTTCTCTCTCAAACTTTATACTTTTCTCTGTCTCTCTCTCTCTCTCTCTCAAATGGACACTGCTAAAGTTCAGCATGTAACAAAAGCTTCTTCAGATGAACTGCTTAAGAAATTTGCAGAACTGGGTTCTGAATCTGATGACAAGGCCAGTGCTAAGAGAGAACTAAGGTTGTCCAAACGCCGCAAAACAAGCCGGAAAATCCGAGATAGTGATCATTGTGATCAGAGCCCATTACATTTTAGTACCGCCTTAGTGGAGAAGAAGTCGCTTCTTCCTCCCGCCGGCCGGAGATCAATGGTGTTGATTCGCCAGCTTGGGATTGGGAGGGCAAAGCTCAGGCCAAGAGATTTCAACAAGAAGTCAATTTTGGGAACAATTGAGAAGGTGAGTGTGTGTCTACTGTCTATATATATATGTTCTTCCCAGCAGTAATTTAATGTGGTAATTTATGCTTCAGATTAGTACTAGTATTATTTTGAAGACTAGTCTAAGAATTGAATTTTCATTCTAATGGATATAATGTTGTAGTATACTAGTAATCATTAGGCTTGTTTGATAGGATTATTAATCATTTAGGTTTGTTTCACGTCTTGGAATTGTAATTTTAAACTCCCATTTTAGGAATTAAAATACACTCAATAGGATTGTTTCAACACTCTGGTAGTGTCATGTATAAATTGGAATTGTAATTTTAAACTCCCATTTTAGGAATTGAAATTCACTCAATAGGATTGTTTCAACACTCAGGTAGTGTCATGTATAAATCATAATTACGATACAATCTAATTCTGCCAAATATTAGAAATGAAATTGGGAGCCTGACTCAAATTCTACCCCCAAATTCCAAACCTTTTCTGTGTGTTGAACTGCCAATTGGGGGCCTAGAAAAAGCAGAATTCTTACAAATTCAAAAGGTTTTTTTGTAAAAGAGTCCACCTCTATAGCCTGTTCAAAGTAAAGGCTAAATTGGAACACCGTTAGTCTATATATATAGTACAAATGAGTGGATTTCAGACTCAGATTTGAACTACAGTTATTCGACAGACTGAAAGACACCAATTTTGGTACAGTTATTTGGTATTGTAGACAAACAAATTATTAGACAATTAATTTGCTTAATCTTAATGAAGGAGAAGATAAAATCATCCTTGTTCTAGTTGGCGTCATTTCTCACTTTATTTTTGGCTTCCTATTTGTCATAATCATCATCCTCCTTCAACCATTGCCGCCTTCCTAGCTAGCATGCCACTCTTAAGATGATAGAGAAATGACATTCTTACTAGTTGTAAAACAGGACAAATATGAATAAGATTCTTAAATAAATGAAGGCATATGAATACCGTCTATGTAAAATGCTCATGGTATTAAAAATGTAATCCAGAATAAGGAATATCAGACCTGTTTATGAATTTGAAGTGTCTACAGGTTTCTGATGATTTGATTACGTGTGGCCATGCATTTTTTTTTTTTTTTTTTTGAGTTATTTGATGAAAATTGCATTTTATCAGACCCTAATTAGAAAGGTCCATACCAGAACCATTTTGATTTAGAAAAATGCTCATGGTATTAAAAAAATGTAATCCAGAATAAGGAATATCAGACTTGTTTATGAATTTAAAGTGTCTACAAGTTTCTGATGATTTGATTACGCGTGGCCATGGCAACACTAACTGCATTTTTTTTTATTTTTTATTTGGTTTTATTTGATGAAAATTGCATTTTATGAGACCATAATTAGAAAGGTCCATACCAGAACCATTTTGATTTAGAGTTGAGGCAACAATGACCTAGTATATTTGAAGGAGTCTTAACTAGGATCTGGTAGGACACATTTAGGTAGGTCTTTAGTAAAATGTTCCCTTAGGGAACGACACTGCAACTGACTTAGACCAGAATAGAAAGTGACATAGAGTGGTTGCTAACTGGTGTTGACTATGAAGGATTTTTCAATTGGCATTAAGGATCATGTTTTGATCTTGTGCTAGTATACTGTAAAATTAGAGTCAATTGCATATCTCATGTGGTCAACTGATCAAACTTTGATTGCCGGCATAAAATGGGAGGTCATGTAGACCGATGGGAATGCTATGGCAAGAGTGACCGCCATTGAGATGTACTGCGCGGCGCAGTAGTCTAGAGGGGGCTTGGTTTGACATAGTTTAAGAGAAAACGATAATATGCACTAAATTAAAATAAAAGATTAGTATTGCTTATAAAAGGGAAAATGCATTATCATCCGCAACATTTACCATTGCCATTGTGAATGTCACATCATCCTGGTGCAAATGCAACCATTGTGTTCGTTATCAGTTATCACCGTCATCCGATCCTATTCTGTCAATCATCAGCTACTGGCACAACACCTTTTTTTTTTTTAAAAAGTATAACTGTTATTCACATTAGATACTTTCACATCATCCTGGTGGAAATGCAACCATTGTGTTCATTATCAGTTATCACCGTCATCCGATCCTATTCTGTCAATCATCAGCTACTGGCACAACACCTTTTTTTTTAAAAAAGTTTAACTGTTATTCACATTAGATACTTTCACATCCATACTTTTGTTTAGACTTTCTTTGTTGTCATCAAAAGTAGCTCAACCAAAATGATGATTTTATTGGCGGGGAAGTATTACACACCAATTTAGGAAAAAAAAAAAAAATGTATTACACACTTCACTAGCTCGTCAACAAATTTGTATCAACAGTATGTTTAACTGACATCACCTCTTCCGTGCCTTTTCTCTTGTGTAGACATGGCGTAGAACTGTTGAAGGGGCTTCAAAGGTCTTCATGGAGAAGCATTACAACCGGCACAAGCGTTTGATAAGTGACATTGCGTAGATCCAGCTAGCTTGCCACGGGTTGTTTCTGGAAACTGTAATCTGATTTTGGAGAAGAAGGGTAAAACAAGCTCAGTCCAACTAACTTGCATTAGTAGTTATTCAACTTATTCTTTGTATTTATGTTATTTTTTACCACAGCGAAATAATAATTTACTTTTAAGTTATAGAAGTTAAGATCTATCCCCTGATGTTCTATTTTACAAAGCTTGTGAAGTTTGTTGTGCTCGATTCATGTACTTGCATTATGTATTGGTAATATAAATGATGATAATATATATATATATAATGTACTGGTTTATGCACCAAGGTCAGATAACTGATATCTGAAGTCTGAACCATCTGCTTTTGGTGTCAAGGGAATGAACTTTAAATATCATACTAATGCCCAAATTAGCTGTGATCAACTAAGCACAACTTCCATGTATTAAGCTTGTACAAAATCAATAGGGACTTTAACACAAACGTGTCACTGTAATAGATGAGAAATGTCAAAAAAAAAAAAATAATAATTTAAGGTTGAATTGAATTTATATAAATTTTATAACTCGTGAAAGAACATTTGGGAAACAAAATTTCATGAGAATTGCTGAGTGCAGTTACAACTTCACAATTTCAGTCTTTAAATCATGTTAGGGGATTTATAAATTTATTTGACCGTGATTGTGTTAAGCATAACTCAAATTTCTTTACCTTATATCAATTTTAAAAAATCCCTTCATTCCAAATCATCGAGCATATAGAGGGTGAAAATCAGCATTGTAGATGCCATAATCTTTATTGAACACGAAATTTTGATGATTAGAGCGCTCATGGAAACTTGACATCAAGTCGACTTCACTGTAGCTCTTTATCAAAAGGAAAGTAAACCACCCACAAACTTTCTAGTGCACTTTATGTGATCCTCTCACCCTGATTTTCAGTCCATCCGATCTTGACCATGCTGTTGGATCACAACCGTCCGATCGGTCAGCAGTGTCATTACCCAATGTCGAATGGTGCAACCGCAACTTTATTACTGCTGTACCACGGCTCTCATACGGATTAGATAATGCAGGTCAACAATAATGTACAACAATTGAAAGCCGTTGTGATTCTAATAAATTGGTTCACGAGTCACTTGTGCCACCTTAGTGGTTTTAAGAAAACAACATGCCTCTACCAACACTATACTTTGCTCACACGTGTCCCAAAATTATATAACAACAATATCCAAATCAAACAGTCCATTTCATGAAAAGCGTACTGAATATCGCTTTAAATAAAATAAAATATGCAATTGTTTTGTAAATTAATTATATTTCGTATTGGTGTATCTATATGACTATGGGCTGTTATCTTGTTTTCTTCTTCAATAGTGTTGCATGAATTCTTGAAAGTTGTATATGTCAGATTTATGATATTGGTATAGACAAGAGACTCTACAGAATCTGTGATTAAACCATTAGTAAATGTTTATTCTATAAATATGATAAAACTCTCTTATTATGCTTTCACATTATTATTTTAAAATGCGTAAAGTAATTATGTTGAAATATAGAATCAGGGAAAATTTCGTGAGGTGAGGGGTGACCTTTTAATTTGTAGGGGAAAACTTATATAGTGGGACTATTTTTGTAATTTCAATAGGGTTTTTTTTATAAATTTTTAAAAAATGTAAAGTATAAAATGCAAAAAAAAATAATAATAATAAATTAAGTGGGGTGAATTGTAATTTTAGTGGGGGCATCTTCATCAATTCTAAAAAGAAAAAGAAAAAAAAAAAGAAAAAAGAATTTAGTAGGGACAAATCATGGACGTCTTCATAAATTCTAAAAAAAATAAGATATAAAATTAAAATATTAAAAATCCAGTGGGAATACTAGGTCCGTGCCTGTATAGAATATTGTTTTAATCATAAAAATAAAAAATTAAATAATATGAATGTTTAAATGATTTTTTGTATTCTTAAAATGAGGAGTTTTATGCATAGGATGCTTATTTATTTATTTCCCAACCAACAGAGTGATTTGAGTTCATGTAGCACAAATCTTTGTCTGTAAAATTTGAGTATGACACTAAAAATGTTTCAAAACAAGTAGTATGATTTACTGATTTAGGGAAAGTAAAGCAAAAAAAAAGAAAAAGGGATTGAGTTCTTCGATAGTATATATATATATATATATATATATATATATATTTTAATTTAATCAAGTCTTTTAAGATATTAAAGATAAATTCAATTGAAGAAATAAAAAGTCACAAGATAAAAAATAAAAAATAAAAAATAATAAAAAAATCATAAAATGAAAAAAATTATCAAGTTATCAGCTCTCTTGAGAGCATTTATAATATACTTACTTAAAAAATAAATAAATAACTAAATAACTAAATAAATGTGAATGCACTTGGCTTTATTTGATTGCACAGTATGAAACTGAGATGTATCATAATTTATTGAAGTGATAGTATAATGTTTCTATTGATGTATTATCAGATAAATTATATTGTGAAAGGCAGAAAACACTCATACGGTATAATTTTTATAGTATTTTTACTATTTATTTTAAAAAATGTACTAATAGCCTCTTATTCTTTTAATATTGTGCGAAAACACCTCTCAAACATAAATTTAATGTAAAATAACGATGTAATGCTCATTTTGTCATTTTATTACTCTGAAAATGCTCAAAGGATGTGTGTGTTAATAATCTATTAACGATGTGTACCTCTTCACGTCGACTGGTTTCTGTACCTCTTCACGTCGACCGGTTTTTGGTCCTCATCTGTTTGGCTTTTCTTCTTCTACTGTGGCCAATCTTAACCTATTTAATGATGCTATGGGACATTTTGAGACTTTGGAATGATATACAAATCAAGTTTTGTCATTGAAATGAGTCATTAACTGCTTGCCCTTATACAACTCCGGATTCAGGTAAGGACTCGGATATCGATTAGGACCCTGAGTTCGGGTCGTTACATTTTGTTCATTTTTCATTTATTTTCTTCATCCCCTACCTTACCCAATTGTTTTTCGGTGGTTTGAGGGTGGCAACAGTACTTGTGTTTATGGCACGCTAAAGTAAAGTGTCAAGATCCAAATATGCCAAACAACAATAGTTTTCAGGGTAAAATGCATAAAATATTCTTATAATATGTTTATAGTGCGTATCACGCCCATCATTTACTAAACAATATCATTTTGCTTTTGCGTCCATTTTTGTCATTTAGCAAAATGATTAAATAAAATGTAAAACGTCTATATAAGGGTAATTTAAGAAAATTCTACCTTAAATGTGCAGATATGATATATTTGTACAAACGTAAAACGTTAAAAATATTTTTTATACATGAGGAATGTAATTCACCGTTATTTTTTATCCTTAGAGTACATGTATCAGTCTTATTAAACAAGCACCATTCATGTCACGAGTACGGTTCGAAATTGAGATTTCAACGACTTACCTCTCCAATTCCTATCAACGCAACTACGTCCCTGAAGAAGACATGATGTTTTCTAACCTCACCCTACTTTAAATTTAGTTTCAAATTGATGTCTTAAACTTAATTGGAGTTGTAATATATATCATGTGTACATTAATGTATCAAACTCTTGATCAGATGTGTCCTGCTATAGATTTGACTTACTGGGACTTTTATTTGACCTATCCATTATCATGTTAAGACTTATTAAGTGATCAATTGTCAAAATCTAAATTAGTTAAGATAGCAAATTTAAAGTAGAAGTGCAATTAATTATAAGAAATTCATTAACATTTGGTAACTTACACTTCGACACCGTCAACTCTCTCTCTTTGTCTCCATCCCAGACTCAAAACCGACTCTGCTCTAAATTAAACTAAAACCTTGCAGTTTTCCATTTTCTCTCTCAAACTAAGCCACTCTGTTCTTCCGAGCGGAGATCTCTTTCTTCACGGTATATTTTCTCTTTCTCTCTCTAGAACTCTTCTTCTTCTTCTCTCTCTACATATCAATGTATTTGGGAGATATATTATTCGCTTACTCAACTACATCTCAGTCTCTTCTAGGTTTCTCTGTATAATTTGATCGATTACCTAAAGCCACAATTCTCTGTTTTAGCTCTCTAAAAATCGACCAAAATTTGAAAACTATCAACACACAGATCCATCATTTGAATGTCCATAGGTCTCCTTTTATTTTCTCTCTGTGTTTCGTTTCTTGGAATTAACATCAAATATTATTACTGATTGATTTTTGTTGTCTTAAATTGAAACAACAATCAATTGTATCCACTGCTGTTCCCTGTGTGGGCGCGTGTCCTTTTCTCTCTCTCTACAGCGATCAAACTTTTTGTTAGGTTTGTTTTGCCATCAAAATCCACTATTTCTACTCTCCCCAACTCTCTCTCTACATTGTTAGGGTTTGATATTAAAAATCACATCTTTGTCCCCTAAATGTTTTGTTTGTTACAATCTGTGTTTTAATTCTGAAATTCTAGGGTTTTGTTGAAGAGGGAAATGAGGGATGTTTTCGTGGTTGGCAAGAATGGCATCAGCGTGTTGGCGACCGGTCAGGAGATATGCCCGTATGAGCAAGGATGATGATGAGTCGAGTGGCGCCGGCGACCCACTTCTGTGGTGCAGAGACCTCGAAAAACACTCTTACGGCGAATATTCATTCGCCGTCGTTCAGGCCAATGAAGTTATAGAAGATCACAGCCAGGTGGAGACCGGCCGCGATGCTACATTTGTTGGGGTTTATGATGGGCATGGTGGCCCGGAAGCCTCCCGCTTCATCCGTGACCACCTTTTTCTTCATTTGATCAGTGGGTTTTTTCTTAGCTGATTTCGTTTTCAATTTATGCTTTCGTTTTTCGTTTCTATTTGTTGCTACTTGCTAATTTGAATTAGTGTTAGACTTTTCACCATTTTTTCATGTCTGACTATTGATGAATTAATTTTATTATTATTATTATTTTTGTCACTTTTATCTTGTTGCATATAGGAATGCCTTTTTATTTTATTTTATTTTATTATTATTATTATTATTATTATTATTATTTTATGGTGGTTAGTATTATTATTATTTGTGTATAGTCATCAATTTGTTGGTCAGTGAGTGAGCGTGTTAGATTCTTTCTTTTTTGGTTGAAGCAAAATTTCTGATTAGTGGAAAGATTTGGAAGTTTTGTAATTCGAGATCCATTTCATGTCGACAAGTGTGTCTATATGTTTGGTATACTAGGGTTATATTTGTTTCTAACGCATAGTAGCTGGACAAGTGTATAGTGTATACCTATTATATAAATTATAAAAGAGTATATTCGCTCTCTGATTCTATATAGACAAGTGTGTAGACGTCTAATCTCCACGTTGATATGGTAGACGGCGTCACGTGTTGTCATTGTAGGCGGCTAGGTTTTCATGGTAGGCGGTGTTCTATTTCTTACTAAAAACTGAGTGATGACCGTCACGTTGTCATGGTAGGCGCTCACTCACCTGTCCGAGTTTTGTAGTGGTCCTCTCCCTTTACACATTTACTTGAACATTTTACCACCGCCTTTAAGGAAGGTAGAGATTACACCGTTAGTATTTTTACTACTCTACAAGCACTCATCAATCACATCCAAGACTTGTTGTTTAAAAATGAGACTCTCATCCTAATTATAGACCTCTATATACTCTCTAAAACATTATACTATTCTAGATATATATAATTCTACGTTGCTTTCTATTTCTGTAGAATGTTTTCTATGCTACACACAACTGCAACACACGACAACTTTCTACAATCCTCAAATAATCCATAATTCTTTGCACAACTCTACAACTCTGGAAGACTCATACTAAGCGGAGTCCTCCTCAACGCATTTATGTCGCTCGCATGCTGCAACCTCCTTTCGTGGGACATGTCATTCTTGATTGATTGTGAAAAGTAGACATATTTTATTAGGGCTTAAAACATGTTTTTCTATCTAGGATGCTAAACGAAAAAGAAAAACAGTGATGCTGGAGAAGACTTCTTTTATATTGGTAACTTTTCAGAAATTGAAATAAAAAGTCAGGATAAAAAAAAAAGAATTATCAAAAAGTAAAAGAACACTTCTCTAATAATTGGATAGGAAGCTTCACTAGCAGGCCTCACTTAATTTGACTGTCATGGATTTGCTTGGACATGCCCTCATAAATAGAGACATTTTTCTCTCCATCAAAAGATTTATGCAGAAGAAACAGCAATTTTCTTGTCACTTTGTGGTGAAGTAGTTAATGTTTTCACTCTCTATCTAGCATGAAGATTTGCTTTATGAACTTCAAAAAAAAAAAAAAAGAGGAAAAAGAAAAGTAAATGAAGAGTTGCATTATGCTCCTATCCTTTCCCATTTGTTTTCACCTCAAACACTTGCAAGGCGTTTTTCAGTATTTCCTTATTAATAATCTTTGTTAGTAGCTTTGAAAGGAACATGTAGAAGTTTTAGAATTTTATTTGGTGTTTTATAGGGCTTGCTCAAGAAAATGGAACAATGTCTGAAGGTATTCTCAGAAGTGCTTTTTCTGCAACTGAGGATGGATTTCTTACTCTCGTGCGTAGGTCATGTGGAATAAAACCCTTGATTGCAGCTGTGGGATCTTGTTGTCTTGTTGGCCTTATATGGAAAGGGACGTTATATGTTGCCAATCTGGGCGATTCTAGAGCTGTAATAGGTTATGTAGGTAGATCAAATAAAATTGCTGTTGAGCAGTTGACTAGGGATCACAATGCCAGTGTGGAGGAGATTAGGCAAGAACTCCGTTCCTCTCATCCAGAGGATTCGCATATTGTAGTTATGAAGCACGGGGTTTGGCGAATTAAAGGCATCATTCAGGTTTGCTCTTTTTTATTTTATTTTATTTTATTTTTATTTGCAGGGACTTGACTTTAAAAGTGCTTTACCACACTCAATATTCCAAGGCATATGTACTATTTCTAGTTTTTGATGATGTTGCTGTCAGCTTTTTGCTAGTTGCTGGCTTGCTTCTTCTTGGCAAGGATCCTTTTTAAATTGAGTGTAACTACAGAGTATCAAACTTATAATTTTTTTAACTTCATGCCAATTTTTGTGCTTTTGCTCACAAACTATAGCTGAACACTCTCACATGCCACCTCCACCCTTGCACCTTGCTGAACATTTTGATTTATAAGCACCAAATAATTCTAGCCATTTTAATTGCAATTAGCAAGGTTTGCTGAACTTGTTTGGATTATCTCAAGGCACACTAAAATGTATTTATGATGATTCACAAATATTATTATTATTTATTTATTTATTTATTTTGTTGTTTTACTTGTTTGAATCAACTTAAGACATGTTAGGATGTAATGAATGTGTACAAATATTCAGAGAATAAGTTCACCTGCATATTCTTTAATAGGCATTCATCTTCAATGGATGAACATCGATACATCAGTACAACCTCTTTATTTCTTTTATTTATATTTTTTATTGTTTTAAATAATCTTCGAAATGGTATTCAATTGCCCAAAGTTAAAATAACAAAACTGGAAATCCTTTTAGTTACTTTGTTTCTATTAATTAATATCTTCGATTTGTGGAATTTTGAATTGTCTTCAGAACTTTTATTGCCTGTTGCTTTCTTGTCTTTTTCCTCATCATTATATATGTGAAGTATTAACATACTTGAACACCTTTTTAAAGATGTTGTAAAGGTCTCAGACTAATCCAAATGGGTTATGGGGTTAGATGAAGTTTTATATACTAAAGCATAACACACTCTAGGTCTTTATAGGATTTCCATTTTCTTTGTTGGACGTGTTTGCTAAATCTATTCTTGTTGAGCTAAATCTATTCTTTGTGATTATTCTTTGTCTGATTGGCAACACTTGTTAAACCTCTATTGCTTTAAATGGTATTATATATTCTGTTTGTTAATTTACAATTAGTTCTGCAATAAATCTGAAGTACCCTTCGTTTAAAATAAGTCTAAGTAGTTCAAGTTGATTGGGAAGACAAAGAATTTCTGAATGTTTTCTGAACTTAATTCGGCCAACTATTTAAGGTTGGGTACATGAGACTTGTTTTTCCATTCCACTCTATCTAGGGGCCTTAACCTCATATAAACAACATGCTATTATACTTATTATTTACAATCCATGTTAGTTTTTTTTATCTTCTCATTTCACTAGCTTTACTATTAATTTGGACCAAATACCTTCCTGATTGGTGTAGTCATTGATCAAAACCATCTTATTTGTTTCTCTCATTTTATCTCCAATTTTATGCTACTTCAACCTTCCTTTCTTGTCTTGCTACACATCTATCTCAACATCCACGTTTGGGCATGCTTATTTCATGAACATGTTGTTCCTTATCCACCCAACACTTTGCCTCAAAGTATGGCTGGTTTTACCTTTCAATTTTATAGGTATACTATGCATTTCTCCATTTTCCTATTTTACTTCTATGATTAACATCATCTATAATTTCAACTCCATGAATAACCAAGTCCTGTCAAGCAAATGTTTGGTTTTTGTTATTTTTGTTGACCTTGATACATACTACAATGTAGTCCACATGTATTTTATGTTTTGCTAAAATTACATTCCATATATTCAGTTTTGGTCCACCTCTTGGTTCTAGAGCCTTGGTGTAATCCTCTCCATAATTTTCCCTGTTGGAGATGTATAACCAAATGTTAGTGTTGTCTTTGAGCAAACTGATCCATTTTCGTATGAAATCAAGTTTATTAGCATTGAAGATTACAAATTGACTGAAGGTTGGACAAAACTTAATCTTTGCATGGATAGATACTTTTGAGGATATTTTAGTTAAAGATATGATCAGTGCCTCTTTGGTGATGTTAGAAACTGGAAGGTGGCTGTTGGCATAGAATGTAAAGACAATCATTATAGAATGTACAGACAATCATTGGACAAAACTTAATCTTTGCACGGATAGATGCTTTTGAGGATATTTTAGTTAAAGATATGATCAGTGCCTCTTTGGTGATGTTAGAAACTGGAAGGTGGCTGTTGGCATAGAATGTAAAGACAATCATTATAGAACTTCATCTTCGCACAACATTATTTGTTAATGGTTAATATTAATTATAGCAGACCTAATCATCTGCTTATATGTGTGACGTTTCTGATATTTATGGATGTGCTATATGCTCATACTCATTTTCAGACTAGTAGCCTCCTTAAAATTTTTATTTTTCGTGATCAATAAGAATTTGTTTCATTGCAACATTAAATTAGCTAAGTTTTTACTTTTAGTTTGCTTGTGAGACTGATTCGTTTATGTTTGAGTCCATTGGTTTTAGGTATCTAGATCTATAGGGGATGCATACTTGAAGAGACCAGAGTTCACTCTTGATCCATCATTCCCTCGGTTCCATCTTGCTGAACCCCTCCGCCGGCCGGTGCTAACATCTGAACCGTCTATATATTCAAGGGCTTTACGACCCAATGACAAATTTATCATATTTGCATCTGATGGACTTTGGGAACACATGACAAATGAGGAAGCCGCTGAGATCGTGTATAATAACCCCAGAGCAGTATGTTCTATTATTGCATGCCATTTCTTTTGTATTCATAGTCCTTTTATCTTTTAGGCACTCACTTTTTTCCCCTTCTGCTTAAATATTAGGGCATTGCTAGAAGACTTCTTAAGTCGGCATTGGATGTGGCTGCTAGGAAAAGAGAGATGAGGTATGATGATCTTAAGAAGATTGAAAAGGGGATCAGACGGTTCTTTCATGACGATATAACAGTCGTCGTCATCTTTATAGACCATGAATTGCAGGGTAAAAAGATACCAGTACCTGAACTGTCAGTACGAGGGTTCATTGACGCAGTTGGACCATCAAATTTCAGCATGCTGCAAGGAATTGATGCAAATGCATAGTCTGTTATCTGAATCGGATTCAGTTGAGTTGATCAGTTTGTTTGGAAAGACCGGTTTCAGCAAGTTCTCATTTTTGTGAATGTTTTTGCTGCATATGATGGTTTTTCTTTTATCTGCTTTCCTTTCCAACTTTCTGGGTTTCTTCTATGTCAAATTTGTACCTGCTTTCTTTTCCATGCTGTTATGCACCTATGCTTATAATTTTGTTAAGAGAAATTATGGATTCCTTTGCGGTCTGTACTCAAAATCTGCGTTTTTCCTTTTATACCTCACTTGAATAATTTTTTTCTTGTTAGGCAAAATTTTAATTGGAGAGGCACAATTTTCATGCTTACTGCATGGTACCTGAGCTGAGGAGCTATGTTTGCTGATGTCTTGTGATTTAGAAAGTTGAATTTTATATTTTAAATGCAACGCTTACCAAGCTCATTGCTCATATGTTTACATTCCGACTTCAAGCCCTGAAGAGAGATAAGAATGTGATAATTGCTACATTTGAATTTTAAGCAGATTCCAAACTTTTGACACAATTAAAATTGGAAAAAGCTACGATGAGAGTGCTATCACCCTGATCAATCCAACGGCTAGAGTAGAGAGCTCACGAAGATATTGTTTTCATCACTGTTTTACTCTTCATATTATATATATGTCTCTTCATATTGTTGCAGCAGATTGCTCTAGCTACTTCTCATCCTTATATATAAACATGTGTGTCGACCGGCCTCTTAGGGCATTTCATAATCTACCACTGGACACAAACACCGGGTAATTACTTAGGGCTAACATGGTTTCTGACAGGACAAAGAGGTTTGGGGATGATCATCTGATTTTGAGCTGATCATTCTCATGGGACGTTTATATTTGATTATTGTATGGACTAAATGGAACATTCTATGCAATAATATGATCAGAAGTTTTGTTGCAAGACAAATGTACAAGGATCTTAGAAAACCTCTTAATGAGCATCCATTATTGCGAAGAACTATGGTGAATAATTGAAAGCCCAGACTTGTGACACTCTGCTTTGGCAATCCATAAGAAATGGTTATGTTTTAAATTTATGTGGCTTGTTTGGTATCAAAGCTGAGGGCAAACAGGGGAAAAAACATATTATTGTAAGATTTAGTGAAGGTGATGGAGAATTACAATTGTGAAGAGCAGAATATAGCCTATTATCAAGCTAGGGGAAGAAGGGCTTGGGGCAATAAAATCATCCATATCTTTAAAAACTTCGCATAAGAATAGTTACCAAAAGAAAAAACAATTTTCATTTTATCCTTTTCACTGATCATTTTATATTCCTATATTTCATTTTGTACCTACCAAAACGCACACACATACATATATTTAAGTGTTAACTAAACAATTTTTGTACTACTGTATTTTCTATTTTTTCAATTTCCTAAAATTAGAAAATGATACTCATAAAAATTACCCAATGTAAAATTGTCAACTTTTTTAAGGGTTTCAAAAGCACGAAAACAATGATTAGTGTCGCTTAAAAAAAACAAAAAAAAAAACACACACACACACACAAAATACAGTCTCTCTTTTACAAATTTTATTCTTTTATCATTCTACAAATCTTTTTCATTTTTTTTTAAATTAAAATATTCTTTCAATCACTCCACTTTCAATTACTATTTTATGTATAAATACAGAGATTCGAATTAATCAAATTATTCACTTTCTATTACTATTTATAACTCTTTTGCAATTTAAAAAAATTAAACTTTTTTTTTTTCAATCACTTCACTTTCTAATACTATTTTATTTATAACTATACAAAGATTGAAATCAATCAAATATTTTCTATTAACCGTTGGAATATTTTCAATTTTCGCAAAGGAATTTATTTCCGTTATAAAATAGCTTTCATGAATTTTCAAAATAATTTTTAAAAATAGTAATAATAATACAAAAACAAAAACAAAAAAAAAAAAAAGAAAAAAAAAAAGGAAAAGAAAAGAAAAGAAAGAAAAACACATTTCCCTGCCCTTTTCCTTCATTTTCGGTCTTAGCTTCGGTCGCGAGCCTCCCTCCCCTTGCTCTCTCTCTTCGTTGTTGCAGGAATGAATAGGGCCATGAAGTCAGCCTCAATAAACTCTCAAGTAGACCCTTTTCGTATGAGGATTGCTCTCTTTCATTCCACCCCTGTCATGGATCGGAAAAGACGCACCCATTGGGATTCTGTCAGTGTCTTCCTCTCTCTCTCTCTCCACACACACACACACACACAAAATCCAGATACGCAATTTAACATTTCTTTAGTGAAGATTTGAGATTTTCCCAAAACAAAGCAGAACCATGATTGTTCGTTTTCAATTAATTATATAAAAGTTATGGAAATGTTGTCAGAGTGAAATGAAACTCATGAAATGTGATAAGAACTATACATAATTGTAGAACATGTTTAAGCTATTTAGTGGTAGAAAGTCTTGCATTTCTGTTATCCTAGTCAAAGTGGTATGGAATTGAACCAAGTTCTTTTATTTTTTATTTTATTTATTTTCCTTTTCCTGCAGGGTGGAGGTGCTTATAAAAATTCATCCAAGGTAAAATATCACGATCAGTCTATATTTCGTTTATTGCAAAGTATTGTTTTTTTTTTTGAATGATTAGATTTTGTGAGGTAGATTATTGAATTACTTGTTTGAATTATTGATGTGTTCACGTATGACAAAGAATAATTACTCTGCTGGGTTCACTGTACCTTGGTTCAAGTTGAAGTTGAGTATCGACTGAGATGGATAAAAAGACAAGATACTATATGATTATATTAGGCATAAGATATGCCCCTAAATAGAGCATAATAGTGGAATGGATTTGAGTCATCAAGTAGTGAATGCCTGAAGCGAATGATTCTAATATGTAAAGCATCTGCTATGACAGCTATAAAGTATTAAAACCTTATGCAAGGAGTATCGGCATAAGAGTTGTCAGTTGATATATACACAGGTTGTCCTACACCCTCATTAGTTTGTATAGTTTGCGAATTATCATTGTTTGGGGTTTAGATAATGCAAGATAAGGGCTTGTGACATATATAATGCAGGGGGACATTATATTAACACCTTTGCCCACTAGTAGGTGTTTTTGTCACTTTCTTTTTTAGGAAAGTGCGTTTCCATCAAATTCTGCCATCATCTTTCTACAAATGGAGCATTACCTTTAACTTTCTAGGGTTCTTTCTGATTTTGTAATAGCATGAAGTTGAAATGGTGGAACTCTGGGCTATCATCCTCACTACCTTCAAGATTTTTTGGGTTATGCCTCAGTTAACTTTTAAATGCTTCTGCATTTGTGGATCAATGCTGAAACGCGATGAATAAAACAATTTGGAAATGTGTTCACTGTGCTTTGTGTTGCTTTCTTGATTGGGTCTAAATCTAAGACATATACTATGTATGAAGGTCAGTGTGGAAATGTTAAAAACTGTTATATGAAGGTGGGTGTAGAAATATTGTTTTACCCTTTTGACTATCACTTTGCTTGTTCCAAGCTGTGGAGAAATAGAAGTAGAATTAGAAATTAGTTTTTAATTGTAAACTATAATGTGGGGATAACATTTTTAGAGTTTAGTCATGGAAATTATCTGCCTCAGATGACATGCCTAATTTAGAAATGTTTAGATAGGAGTTTAGTGGTGACAACATATATGATTTCTAGATCAATTTGAGCATCGTTTAGATGCTTCACTTTTTTGTTAAATGATCGGTTCTTAGATCTCATGTCTTAAAAATGTGACAGATTTAAAGAATGTGTGAAGGAATATAGCTGCATTTGGAAGGATTAAACCTGATGGAAACAACATTCCTGAAAATTTGGGAACAGTGAATTTCATTGATGGATCAATTTGCAGACCGCATGATGGCGGTTTTTTTTTTTTTTTAAAGCCCAACATAAACAAGTGCGCATAATGCATACTTTTTATTTTGAAGTTATGATGGGCTATAATTATTATTTTGTTTTGTGTAGATCTTAAAGGTTTACTCAGTTTTAAATTTTCTTTTAATCACAATCTTTCATGTATTTTTTCTAGTTGAATGGTGTGTACTTTCTTTCCTTCTCCATTGTTGTTGGATCCATTTGGTGAGTATGCCTGAGATTGGATTCTTACTCTTTTCAAGACAAATTTGTGCATAGATGTCTATCAGATGAAAATTTGGTATGGAAGATGGTTCCTAAAATTAAAGTTGCATAATACTGAATAGAACTATACTTTGTAATGTAACGGAAAGTCATTTTGTCTGTAGGTTTCCTAATAGATTATTATTATTATTTTGTTGTATTTTACAACTAATAAATGAGCCATTAGGCTGTTAATATATGCAGCCAAGACTGCCAAGCCATCCGTGAAGCGATTGTCTAAATCATTGCTTTCCATTCTTTCACCATAACTTTTGTTATGCCAAATAGGTGGCCAACTCAGTGGCAAAGCGGTTGTTTATGTACTCGTGGATTCTTGAAATTGCCGTTTTATAATATTTTCTTGTGTTTGTTCCCTTAATGCAGGATGAAATCCACTTTGTCAACTATTCATATTTCAACTCTAGCACTTTACGGTCATTTGTTTTTCTTTGTTAAGTGAGTTATTTATGCTGTGCTGAATTGCTTATTTGTAGAGATACAACTATTATGCCAAGAAGTCAAGAAAGATGCACTCAAAAGAAACATTGTTTCGAAATGTCGGTGCCTTTGCGGAACACTTATTTCAGGTTATTTATGATGCCCATAACTTATTATCACTTCCTAGCCAGTAAAGTTCTATCACAAATTTCGTTGTTCATTTTGTTTACTTCCAAGTGGTTTACTTTCTGAGTTTCTTGATTGTTTGTTTTTTTTTTTTTTGTTGGGTTGGGGGGGTTTGGTGGTTAAGGTGTGAAATGATGTTGCAACTCTTGTTTTTTAACTTTTTTTCCCTTCTATTTTAAAGGACAGAAAGAATGTTATATACTATTGGTGTCTAGGATTTTAAGTGAATGGATGGGGAAACTGGTTAAGACTTATGGAGAGTGTCAATACCATCGTAAGAAGAATGGCCAGTGAAGTAGATACTGTTGCGTGTATGTATTAGGGGTGGTTACGAATGATTTCTATCTCTCTTAGATCCTACAATTGTTAGATATGCTTGTTAGATGCATGTTCAATCATGTATCATCCATATATTAGTGTCGTGTGTCCAACATGGGTACTTCCCGAATTTTTGAAAGGTGCGTGTAACAAATATGCAAAGTGATTAATAAGACGGGAAAATTGGGAATTCTACACGAAGCCTGGTAGCACCCTTGTAATGAAATATTGAGTTGCGTGGAGTCATTCCGCGATTTCTAGAGCTTCCCAGCATCAGTTTAGTATTAGAGCAAGTAATTGTGTTTTGCATTTGTCCTGCATCATATATAAGTGGGAAAATTTTGCACTTGGGCACTCTGCCCTGTAAGACTGTAATGCACCACATGTCTTTTTTACATGGCAGCCATACATGGAGGTCAAATTTAAGAAACACTTGCTCACACACACACAAACACATATATGGCAAAGTTCGATGTTAATTATTTTGGTAAATTACCCCAACCTCCCCTGAAATTTGCCTTTATTACCCTCAGATTAAACTTTCAAAATAATAACTCTGCCACCCATCATTTTTAAGACCTGTTAAGTTGGTTAACAACAACAATGAAATTACCAATTTTTCCCCAATCTTTAACACAACAATTGGGTGCATCATGCAAACATAACCAACCAAAAATATAAGATGACAATTTGCCCTTAATTTGATTGCCCGCTCTCTCTCCCTCTATGCACTCAGCCACTCCCCCCCACGCCGCCGCCACTCCCCCACCCTCTCTCCACTGCCCCCTCCCTCCGCCACCCCTGTGGTCCCCACCCTCCCTCTATCTCTCTATCCACCACCTGTCTCTTTTTCTTTCTTTATGTGGTGTGTATTACACACACACACACACACACACACACATACCGGTAGCAAAACAAAATTAAAAGTTTCGTTGAAATCCACCACGGCCGTTTGGAGTTTTCAACCATCAATCAACACAGCAGTAGAGAGAGATTGAGGCAGCAAAACCTTCAACGACAGCCCTCTTCGTCTCCGATCGAAACCCTAAAACCAATTTGAATGAAATTTCAGAAACATGATTACAATCAAGCTTCAATTCCGCCTAAACTTTTCCATTGATCCAATCTCTTCTCTCAAAACCCTAAGAAAATCACCACCCTCACCCGATCAAATATTCAGCTCTTCGCACTATTTCCCTTCCTTGTTCTAAGATTCCTCATAAGCCCGTCCGTTCCTCATAAGCCCGACAACACAGTTATACAAGCATGTAGCTGGACATTGTCCAATCTAAAACAAGTTCAAGTAAAAGATTAGAGCAATTCATATGTGGCATATAAACACGTAGCAATCATTCATTTCAATACTAGTCAATATTTCACACTGGTCTGAAAACAGTGCAGCTAATTTTGAGTTCAGAATCAAATTAGCACGCCAACATATAAAAAAGCCTTGGACTAGATCACCAAAGGGTCTTCACCTGACATCTAATGTTTGATCGGGTGAGGGTGGTGGAGAGAAAGGTGTCGCGGGGGGGGGGGGCGGGGGGGGGGGGGGGGGGGTGGTGCGGGGTGCGGAAATCAGTGTAATCTGTATATGTGTTTATATATGTAATATGCTAAGAAGCACGGACACAGCAAATCCAAAAAAATTAGGACACGGACACGGCGGGGACACGGCGAATAGTATATATATATATATGATGTAGTACTTTAAAAATTACTAAGTGTTCTTATTTTTCATCAACCTCACAATGAAAAAAAAAAACACAAATCATAACTCATAACTAATAAATTATAAAAGAACAATGTTGCAGAGTTATAAAACCAAATAAAAAATAAGACATTAGAATAATAACTAGTATCATTTAATCATTATTGCAACTTTACTCCAAATACAAAAGCATAGACAGAAAGGACTATTAACATTTATGACTGTTTAACATTCAGGACTTTCCTGTTAGCACTTAACATTCACAAAAATCTAAAGGCTAGTCTCCAAAAAAGATACAAAAACAAGTCAGTGTACTATCGTCTATTCCAATCCATCATTTAACCTAGGATTTTTCCCATTTACAATACCAAAAGGGTAATACAAAACAAAATACAGAACATATCAGCATTCAAAGAAAAAATAAAAAATTCCAGACAAACGGAGTGTCCGTGCCGTGTTTGAGGAGTGTCTGAGCCGTGTCCGAAAATTTTAAAAAAATAAAAAATTCCAGACACGTTTTTTGGTGTGTCTGACACGTGTCGGGGCGTGTTTTGGCGTATTCGTGCTTCCTAGGTAATATGTATGAAAATATATTTAATTAGTTATAAATCTGTGATAATTATATAAAATTTGTGGTTAATTTCATTATATACTAACTTATTAATAATTTGTATATATACGAAATTATATTCATGTTTAATTTCAAATTATGGTTTTAACATATTAGATTTTATTTTATAAATTAATGTAGTTAGTATTTCGAATTAAAAATATTAATTACTATTTATTTGTAATTAAAGTGAGGGCGATCCTTGGCGCAACACTAAGGTTGCTTCATTATGACTTGAAGGTCTCGTGTTTGAAACAAGGAAATAGCCTCTCCGCATGCGGAGGTAAGGCTGCATACATCTAACCCTTCCAAGTGCACTGAGTTTGTCCTTATTTGTAATCAAAGTGATAAAAAAGCAAGGGTATTTTTGTCCAAAAGAAAATAGTTTAAGTGGTCATTTCATATGATTAATAAGGTCAATTTCATCATTTTGCATCACATAGGGCATTTTTGGTATTTCATTTTATTATCTATCTAACTTTAAACTTGGTTAATGGTCAACGTATGGCAGGGGTGGTCGAAGTAAAGTCAACCAAACTTCAGGGAAGGTTGACCAATTGTTTTTCACTAGTTTAATCTGAAGACAATTAAGGCAAACCTCAGGGGAGGTCCGAGTAATTTACCCTAATTATTTTGGTGCCAGTCAACCCTCTTTTGTATTAGTGCTTGATAAGGCTAGCATGTGTTTTTTCTATATGTCCCCACTTGAGTCATTTGTCTCTCATTTTCCCCACATGTCCTCACTTTTAGAAATTTATTCATTCATAAATTCTTCTTTTCTATTTTGGTATGTGTATGTGTCGGCATGCCTTTGTCTCAGAAAATGTTCTAACTTTTTTGGCAATATTTTTTTTCTGAGGTTTCAGAGCTGGCAGCATGATTCTTATGATTATGACCCATCTTCAAGTCGAGGTAGCTCATGGTTTAGACAGGAACATCGGGCTAATGGATCCAGAGGGGGTTGGACCGGCAATCAAAGCTGGCAGTCTCGGCATAGGAGTAAGTGCACTTCGATTTTCTACATGCACTGTAAAGAAATAAGGGTCACGCTATGTTTGGTAGCACCGAATCGGCGCCTTGGATTTGGGATTGGAGAAAATTTAATATAAAGTTTGAACTAAACTTCCTCCAATCCTGAATCCAAGGCACCAATTCGGTGCCGCCAAACATAACATTAGTGTAGATTAATGGCTGATGTTACCTATAAAAATAAGAAAAAGTACCTGATGCACTATGAGAACTATAAGAATTATCTTGTGGAACTAGACACAGGGTACATGGGCGGTGTCGGTATTTTCTTAATTGAGTACACTCAACGAATTAGTTAAAACTTAGGGTTAAGTGCAAAAAACACCCCTATAGTATGCTTCCAGTGCATATTGCACCCCTCCCGTGCAAAAAACACCCCTAAACTATGTCATTTGTGCAAATAGGTCCTATTTATAAAAATTGGACTAAAATACCCTTAGCAACACATTTTATAATATATATAAAAATACATATATTTTGTGAAATGACTAAAAAGGGTTTGGCCCCCCTTCATCATCATCTTGTGGTTGTCGTCGCCGCCACCACCCAATTCCATTCTTTTCGGTGAAGCTCCTTGGCGTGTTCCCAAGCGACGACAAAGCAATATAGCTTCGATTCGGAGCTTGCCGGCTTCAATGGACGCTGCTGCTCGGAGCTTATCAGAACGGATCGGTCGTTGTATCTCTGCACATGTCTTCATCTTCGGTTGGGCCGGTGATGCTCAGAGCTTCTCACCAGTGGCCATAGAGTTTGAAGCCGGGTATGGAAAAATCAATATCTGGCAATGGCTTGTTTATTGGAGCTGTTGCAATCTGATATGGGTATGATTGTGGGTGTAGGAACAAAACAAACCCAGTACAAATATTTAGAAAAAAAATTCTGCAACTATGTTGTTTTAAACAAGCCCAGTACATATTGTTAGAAAGATTTCAAAAAATTTAAATTTTTAAGTATTTGAATGGACTGGTATAGCCCATTTAATCGATCATCAGATTCATCACAATAGAAAAAAGTTTATAAGCTTTAATGGAGAAGTTGAATTGGTTATAATAAACCACTATAATATATATATATATATATATATATATATATATATATATATATATATCGATGAACTGTAACCCAACAGCTAATTGGATCTTTGATCCTTTAGATGATATGGAGGTCACTTTCACTCAAATCATGTAGTGTAAAAACACAAGGTTGATGAGTCCTTGTAAGCCCAGTTCTCAAATTAAGGGTATGAAAACGGTAAGCTTTCTTGTTTCTTCCTTAAATTCGTAGTGGATGCATCACAGGGGAAGAAACTTACTACCATGTCGACTCCTTTAACATCTCTGACAATTTCTTCTGGCAACGAGGAAGGGGAACGGATAGCGGTGTCCAAGATGCACCGAGGCCGATGAAGTACTTGGGTTACCCACCGGCGATGAGAACGGCGGCGGGGATCCGCCTTTTCCAGAGAGGAAGCGGTGGTGAGGATCGGCCGTGAGCTTGGGTGGCGAGGGGTGAAGGTGATGGTTAATGGGTTTGCTTTATTTATTTATTTTTTTTGTTCTTCACGTTGAAGAAGATGATGGAGAGTAAGGTATGGTAGGGATATTTTTGGAAGAGTAAAAAGGTAAAATGGGCATTATATTAATTGAGGGGTGTTTTTGCACAAATTGAAAAGAATATGGGTGTTTTTTGCACTCCTTTTTAAATAAGGGGTAAAAGTGCTATGAAAGGTATACTTCAGGGGTGTTTCTTGCACTTACCCCTAAAACATCACTTTTTAATTTATAAAAGCTATAAAGATCAACACTTATTAAAGATCAACATCACTGCAATATGTTGTTGTAGTGCTTATATTTTGTACAATTCATAGAATTAGTGATGATAATGGGCAAAAAAGAATTATTATTTTTTTAATGGAAAGTTAAAAATCCAAACTGCAAACTCAAATCCAAATTAAAATGAAATAATTTATTTAGTATTCTTTTTCTTTTTCCCTTAATATTGTAGGATCTAAATATATTGGAATATAAGTTGCACAATAACTTTGCACAACAGCCTCATGAATCGATTGAAGTTATTATTCTGTTTTATAAAATTTCCTATCACCTAACCCTTGCTTCTTTGAACGATTTAGATGGGTCAAGTATAAAAAATTTCAAAATCTCTCTATCAGATATACCACATCTTTTTATTTGAATTCCAGTGCAATCGCTTGGCCCCAGTTAGCCTCGTGCATATGACAAGGTAGTGGGACATCCATTCAATAGTCTTCAGCTAGATGATTTAGACTGAAACTTGTGGGTGAATGAATCCTCTTGGACAGTTCCTTTTTTTACCCCGGGAGTCACCTCACAGAATATCTCAATATCTCAATTCCTAGCTCACCTGCTTTATTGGAAGAGCCCAATCCCTCAGAAGTCATCACTGCTTCAACGGGGACCGGGGTTGACTGCATCGCAAATGAGCCTAAACTAGCCTATTGTTCGGATTGTGAAGATCTTTGAGTTAATGTATGATGCCATTCTCCTTATTGAACTGTATATATAGAACTTCCAGTTGCTTCCTTTATTTTGATCGTGTTCTTCGTGGTCTACAAGTTGAGTGCATTAGATTCCCATTAAGGCACAAGAAAATAAGCAAGCACCTCTCTCTCTGGTATTCATTTAGTTATACATGCTTCTTAACTCAGGAGGTTTCCAGTTTTGTGAAGATGATTTCGAAGACGAGACCGAGACCATTTTTCGGTCTGCATTTGGTGGAAACAGACACTTCTATTGGTCCTTTGTGAATGAAGAAATTCCTCAATGGAAGAGTTCCTCAGGTTACTCTGCTAACTACAGGACCTCTTGGAAATGGAGACATCAAAATGAAGAGGAATATGACTCCTCAACAGAGTCGGACAGTTCGGAGTCAGATTTGGCGTCAGATCGATTGGCTCTTGGCTTAAGTGCTACTGGTCCTTTAAAATTGGAAGATGTTAAACATGCGTGAGTTCTCGTGCAGTTCCTGTTTTGTACATTCTTTTAAAACTTAAAGAGCCTTGCAACTTTTCATTTTAAATGTGCTTTTTGACTGAATTGAAGAATGTTAGTACTATATACGTGACTACCATGTAATCTTCCATTTTCAGATATCGAGCATGTGCACTGAAATGGCATCCTGATCGTCATGATGGCTCTTACAAGGTATGAATGTTCTGCGACCATCAATCTGTGGTTCATATTTTTGAGCCTTCACAATTGAATTGCACAATTATTTGGGACTTGTAGATGTTGACTTGTGGGAATATTAATGCAAATCTGTAGATTTAGAAGCACTAAACTGTGATGCACCACTCCCAAAAATTTTATTATTTTTATTCTTTAGGGTTCCCAGTTTTGGAAGCCACTTTTCCATGCTGGGACCAGCTTATTGACCATCACAAAATTAACAAGCTGATATTACATGAACAGGCTGTTGCCGAGGAAAAGTTCAAGGTCTGCAGTGCAGCGTATCAATCTATATGTGATAAGTTGGCTCTAAACTAACAACAATTCTCTCAAGCAACCCGGTATAAGCATAGATCCCTTCATCTTTCTTCAACTCTCTTGGGCCGTTTGGGAGATAAAAATAAAATAAAATCTTCAGGTTTTGGCCGAGTTATTTCTCAATTCAACTAGAAATGCACTTTAGGATAGTTATGCTCGAACTGCGGGAATAATTTATTCTGAGTTGCAGTTAGAACAACACTGAACCATCTTGTAATTCAATTAGAAATGTACTTTAGGAAAGTTATGCTCAACTGCAGGTATTATTTATTCTGAGTTGCAGCTAGAACAATACTGAAGCATACTGTAATGACAACCATATGTGCTCGGTTTTGTTTTTTATTTATATATTTATTTTTCTCGAGAATGCATTAGTATCATAGTAGTGTTTTGTTTTGTATTTTCTCAAGTAGCTAGATGGCATGTTAATTTTTAAACGGTAAGTAATTAGGTCTCAGGGAGATAATTTATTTGTATTTTTAGCAAACATTGCCTAATAATAAGATCTGGAGGAGCGAACCTATTTTTTATTTTTTAATTTAACATACATACATTGGCTGATAATAGTTTCTTCTGGTGCTACTTCCACAAATTTCCTTCAGGGAAGGATGGGTTAAAGGTAGTTCATGTTCGTGTTGTTGATAAGCCAGTTCAGTATTTGTATTTGTTGCTTTAATTGTGTTAAAACAGTTCATGCATGTGTTGCAAGTATTTTCATGCTCTTGTGTCCTTTTTTCTTCTTCTTCTTTTATTTATTTATTACATTTATTTAACCAATAATCATTTAATATGCTATCAATAATTAGCTTTACATGATCAAATAGCCTTAAGATCTTAACAAGAGTTCGTAAGACCTTTTAAATCCTTTTTTCATCGGAAAAATCTTCTGGCATGAAAGAGTTTTGTTTGTTTGAGTTGTGACACTGATTTTGCTTATTAAGATGAAAGGTTACTTAAAAAAAGAAAAAAAGAAAAAGAAAAATAAAAAAAACAACAACAACATTTAATCAACGATGTAGTTTTATTAAAATTCGAGTTTGGGGAGGGGATATTTCGCTGCTGAAACCTCAACTTGAACTCGATCAAAATTAAGTTCAAGGCGGATGTTTTGGCCTAAATCTAACCTAGAAATGGTTACCTAAACTTGAGAAAATCCGGACTGAACAGGACAAATACTTTTAGTCGTTACATTCACAGGGCAAGAGAAAATAATACATATTTCAATTTTTTATATTATTTTTTCAAGCAAGGCGCGCCCACAATTGCCCTGTCATATGGTGTTAAAAATATTAAAATGGCTAAATAATATATATATATATATATATATAAAAAGAGGTAGTCAGTTCAAATTGTCAATTTAACAGTTGTTTTTGGTTGGGACAATAGCGTTCTGTTATCCCACTTCACATATTCACATATTTATAGTTCTGTGTTGGTTCTATCCCACATCACATATTCACATATTTATAAAGTGGCAATAAGATTATTGCATGAAATCATTCATTTAAAAACGACAAGAGAAAAAATTAATGAGCTTTGAGTGTCTCAAAGTGGTCACTTTAATCTACATTATCTCGGTTTAGTACACATATGGGTGGTGCCAATATTGTTTGATGTTATCTACTAATGGGAAACTAGTCAGTTTCACAATTTGTTAGAGATATAATTGTTGGAGCATTATCGTTTGAACTTATTATTGTTAATGATCCTAATCTTTTAGCACCAAAGTAGAAACTGATTATCTTACCTTAATTTGCCTTTTCCACTTTTTTATTTATTTATTTATTTTATATGGCCACAAAAACTTGTGCGTCTATGCTGCCAAACCATTTGCAGAGACCTAAATACGTAATAAAATATTTTCACCTAAAAATTTAAGTCATGTGTTTATTCTAATTCAATCTTAGTTCACTTTGATTTTTTACGAGTTTGAGTTAGACTTGAAATCAAAAAATACTTGATTTGAATTTTATTAGAATTAGACTTAGATTAAAATGCTAACAACCCGAATCAATCCAAATTTAAATTATAGTATTATTTTTATATATGTATGTGTGTGCGCGTGTATATATATATATATATAATTTTAAAACATTATATATAGATTTGGAGAATTATAATTTAATTTTTTTTAAAATTATAATTATTTTTTGTTTAGAATTAATTATTCACGCAAATTTACGATTTGCAAGTCTTTTCGTTTACTAGACGCAGTCTCTCTCTCCCTCTCTAAATAGAAGTCTCCGTTGATTCTCTCTTTCCAAAATACACCATTTTTCACGACGAAGAGCATTCATTACATCGTCTAGTCTAATAACCCTCTCCCTCTATATATATGTTGATATATATATAGTATGTATTAATTTATGCATATATCGGTGAAGGTTTCAGGGATCTCACAACTCGTTGGTCGATCACTTTGAAGATCGTTTGTCGCAGAACCATAACTTCAATTTATAGATCTCTCTCGCTTCCAGGTGCTGCAATTCATGTTTTACTCTTTATTCTGAATGATAATCGTATGATGATGATGGTATTGATGAGCTATTGTTAATAGTTATGAAGCAATTCGATCAAATTTATTATTCAAATTGGTTTGATTTGGAATAAGATTGAGAATTAGGGGTTTTGAGTGAATTTTTTTTTGATTCGCGGATCAATGGAGAATTCCAGGGTTTCCGATCAAAACGACTCTAGATTTTCTTACTTGAAGAGCCCAACGTTTAATTATCAGAAGCTAGAATCTGAATCACCGCGATCGTGGAATGGAGAATTTGGATACGCAGGTAGCGATAGAAGATTTGCATTTTCCCGCCAAATATCTTCCAATCAATTCGCTGAACCTCACACTCCAATAGCCATGTCTAGTGATTCTGTGAAGCCTTTTCTTTCTCGGACCGTGTCCAGCATAGATATTCCGGCAACCGTTTGTCCACACGATGGAAGTGAGAGCGTTTGGAGAGAAGAGAAGTCATTTTCTGGAGAAGGAAAGAGTTTTGGTGATAAATTTTGGGTCTTATTGTTTGTGACATCGATTTTCAGAGTTATAAGATCAGGAAACCGGCCAATGAAGAGGTTGTTTGTGTTGATCTCGCTCAATGTTGCTTACTCAACTGCTGAATTATGTATAGGTCTTCTCACGGGGCGTGTCGGTATGGAACACTATCAGTCATTGCTTGTGAATTGATTTTATAATAAAATTAGTGTATATGAATATTTTCATGAATCGTTCACTTTCTAACAAAAGAGATGAAATTTAGTTTTGTCTGACACTGCAAATTGCATACCATACCTTCAGTAGTTTGGCTTAAAAAATCCAACGGTTAATGGTTCAATTGATATTAAATTGAATTCTGTTAAGTTGACCATATTACTTTCTAAAAGCTCATCTGTTTAACTATTTTGTAGTATTAGCTATTACACTCGGATGCACTCCCTCCCTTTGACAATGTTATGAAATTTTAATGACAGCAATACAGCATAGAATCAGTAATTGAAAATTGGGAATCTCAATTCGTAATGGGTCAAAATGATGGTTTCGTTAATGATTTTCACCAAACTAAACTTCATTTTAGTTTGTTTGCTACTTTGCTTCATTCCCTTTGTTTTTATTATTATTATTATTATTAATTTTTTTTTGGGTGGAATTCAGGTCTGGTGTCTGATGCGTTTCATTTGACATTTGGCTGTGGTCTCTTGACATTTTCGTTGTTTGCAATGGCTGCTTCCCGGAGAAAGCCTGATTCCGTCTACACATATGGGTGAGATAAGAAGTTTCTATTAGTATGGCTGTAAAGCAATTTAAGTACCTCAATGAAGTCTTCATAACTAATTGGGTCAAAAAAACTACTTTTTGGGTTATTATCAAGTCAAATCATTGCAGCTTCTTCAGAAACTGATGCATAAATACCTAGGGGAAGGGGTTTAATCTATGTATTAGGTGAATGCTATGGTTGTTTTCATGAAAAAAAAAAAAAAAAAAGCTTATTCGGTGGATGATGTTCCGTCCCCCTCTCCACAAATATTTGTTTATTGGAATTTAAGTATCTTCTATTTGAATTGCACGTGTAATTATGTCATTGACACAACCTCCCGAGTCACTACAACAAAAATAGATAACGAGAGTTCTCCTTTCTCAACAGGTACAAAAGGCTAGAAGTTTTATCTGCTTTCACCAATGCTGTAAGTACACAAAATTTCACATAATTGCAAATCCTATCTTCCATTTTCAAAATCAAACAATTTTTTTTTGTGCCACTACAATGTCATTATTGCAATTGTTCCAATCATGTCAGCACTTGGATTTTATTGTTTATGTACATGTTCTTTTGGTGGGCGTTGTGCGCATTGACGCATATCTTCTTGATGTTGTTTTTGGCACTGGCACTGGTGTCACATTTTGTTTTATTCTCGAAACGTTGCGTCAAATACCTTATATCTCTACAAAGTACTGACTTTTGTGTTAGGGTCCTTGATATATACACGATGTTGGTTATAAGAGATTTAAATTATTATGGTTCACGTGACCCCAAAGAAACTGAAGTACAGTGATTTCTTTAATAGGGAGATATGTAAGAGAACAGTATCTTAATATCACATGCAGAAAAAGATTTTTAAAATTCTCTTAACATATTTCATTTTTGTCATGCAGTTGTCGCATTTGTTTCTATACTCCGTTGTTTCTTTTAGTTTGTGTTTACTAGAATCACAAGCATTTGGTTACTAAAATGGGAGATGTCTTAGAATTTTGTTACCTAATATTGGTCCTGTCAACCTAAGGTGCTGGGCCTTCTTCCTCAAAATTGTTGCTCTTTTACTTGAATCCGCTTTTTTCATGCTTAACAGCTTGAAATTTTACTTTGTATGGAGAAGTGGCCTGTGGGGGTGTTGGTGTGTATTATATTCGAATTATAGTGAATGAAATTTCCAGTAAAATTTCTTGACATAGGTTTTTTTCCTTAAGATTTGTCTCTCTTCTTCCCTATGTATTTCTGTAACTTGCTTTTTTTTGCCAATGATTATCCATAAGGGTTAAGTGCGGAAAACACCCCTCTACTATGCTTACAGGGCATATCACACCTCTCGCGTGCATAAAACATCCCCAAAGTATTGATTTGGTGCAAATAAATACCACCTGACATGATTTGCCAAGATTACCCTTACTCAACATTTTACACATTATTTTAAAAAAAAAAACATGATTTTGTGAAATGACTAAAAAGAACACAACTTAAAATATGATATTATATATACACAGTCCACTCAAATCGGACCTTCTTGTCTTATTTGGTACTGAGAAGACATAGCTAAATCCTATTACTTTGCTCTCTTAATTAGAATTTTGAGTTTACTTCATTTTTCAAGAAAACGGATATTAGATTAAAAATTCTATTTTTCATTCATTTTCTCAGCGATCAAAGATAGGCTTAGGACTTCTGTAACATTTACCTTCCTCTTGAGATCTTGAAATCGGGAGACGAGTGAATTAAGGTGCTGAACGGCGTCATCTCGAGACAAGTCGCCATAGGCGGCATCTCTGACGCTGGAGATTAGAGCTGACATCTCCTTGTCGACAGTGTATGGTTGGCATAAATCATATTCTGGTAGTGCTCAAAGGGGATTCTTAAGAACTGGTGTTCGAGACTCTGCCAACTGAGTGAGCTTCAACAATGGAGCTGTGACGGTGGCGGAGCCATGGTGGTGGTGGTTGGTTTGAAAATGCTCAAACACGTAAAGAGAGTGAGTGTTAAAGAGAGAAAAAAGTAAAGGATGAGAGACCAGAGATGACATTGATATTAATACTGGTGACGCCATGGATGTCGACCTCAAAGATACAAACACAATGAAGAGGGTGCTGATAAACGTTAAGGGTACTTGTATGTGACATGGATTCCTTACAAATCTTTTTTCAATTTTTTTTAATTCACCTTACAAATTTCTTCAATCAAGAACTCTTAAATTGTGCAAGTGTTGGATTTACATACGGGGAACAATCTTTCCAATAGAGGCCAATGATCTCACTGGTGGTTTAAGTTCTCATTGATCCCAACTCATTAAGATCCTAATATTGATTATTGAACTCATTAGACTGCCGATACATATACATAAATTATTGAAAGTGTAATAGACCCAGCAAGCACAATATTTGTGTGTTGTAAATTGCAAATTTTTGTGTATTTGATAAGATGAAGGATGGACCTGGTGGACTACTCTATAAGATTTTGATTTTGCACAATTTTTAAAATGCACTTTTGCAATTGCAAATTATACTCGGCTTTAGAGAATATATATATATATATATATATATAGAGTGAGAGAATCCTCAAAAGTGGATTAAATTGTTAAAATATAGTTGATGTGCACATAAAACCCATTTACTTATCAAAAAAAAATATCTATATATATATATATATATAATACACACCCTTTGGGCATTTTCAGAAGCTAAAAGGGCAAAACGGGCATTAAAGTTTTACTTTATGTCAGACACCTGCAAAAATTATTTTGAGGGTTGTTTTCGAACATTTTTTAAATTCTAAGGGAGATAATAGCACACTTTTTAAAAATAGGAGTTAAAGTTGTATGAGTATACGTTAGGAGTGTTTTATGCACTTATCCCTTATTTGTAATTTGCTAACCTTTTGGTGTCTCTTACACATGCATTTGCTTCAGTCTCTCTCTGGTTGTACGTGCCTTTTATTAGTTTCATTTTGTTTATATATTTATTTGGCCCAAAAAATTGCCGTATTACTCCATAAGCTTCTATTGCTACTATTGTGACATGTAGAAAGCAATCTTCTCTGAGTTTTCTTGACATTATTTTTGTATCACATACAAATGTAAATTTCTTCTGCATAATTTTGTAGTTTCTTTGGGCGTTTTGTGGGAAAATAGTAAGTTTATGTACTAGGAAGAGTTTCTTACCTAATACTAAGCAGCTATGGTCGTTTCACTGCATTGCCTAGTTAGATCCCGTATCCTGTTATATACCTGGTGATAGTAGCAATGCCTTGCTTTGGTGATCGATCGAATAGTTCGATGGTGTAGAATCATCTCATTCTCTTTACTCTTGATTCTTAGACTTCTTTAATTTGGTCCTGCAAATGTTGGGTTGTTATATTTCACTGTCAGTTAGGAACTAATAAAGTTTTATATATTGATGTTTGCTGTTATGTTGAGGCTTCAAAATAACAAAAATGTTAAGGATATATTGACACAATGATGTCTTCAGAATTTTGAAGACGTACAAAAATTGTTCTTTCAGCCAAGGATAAAGACATTATAATTAATTGACTTAAAATGATATATGAAATGCTTGTAAAAGTATTTTGTGATGGTTATGTGGCTAAAATGTAAGCTAGCAAGTACAGTTATAGAATATCTCAATGATACAAGTGGGCCATTACTTGTACAGTTTCCTCAGCTGTACATTCTTTTACTCCTTTTGGTTTTTCTTTGTTCTTTATTTCTTTTAATAAATATTTTATAAATGTGTTCCGCGTATGCATAAACATATCTTATTTAGGTTATAATTATCACTTTTTCTTTTTTCTATTTTTTGGGTTGACTGATTGCGTGGGCTAACATAGCAATATTTGGATTATGTTGCTTGTGTAGACAGATTTTTCTTTTGTTTATGTCATTCTCCTTAGCTGTGGAAGCCCTTCATGCGTTTATACAAGATGAATCTGAGCACAAGTAAGTTGATCTTGCATGATTTGATTGGAAATCGTCTTTTCATGTTTTAGTGCCTTTATTGCAATACTTTGATAGAGAATATTTAGATTTTTTCTTTTTTCCTAAATGAAGAGAATATTTAGATTTTTTCAATGATATGGTCTGTATTTGTGTCAGATTATATAAATGTTATGATCTCTATTTTTGGATATCAAGCATACTTTGTTGTCTCTTTAGCATATTGTCATTCATATGCCTCATGAATCTTACATTTGATTATCTTCTATGGCTCTGTTTCTGTTTCACACATAAACACATTTAACTTTCCTTCTAGTCTCTATTGTGCTAGTTTGACATTTCTTTTTGTCTCTACTGTGCATTAGCTACTCTCTGTTTGATTTCAGTCTATGTTTCCTGTTGGTAGTCATGTAAAGTTATTTATTATGATCTTTGTTTGACTTTAATCCTGTTAATAGTAATTATTGAAACTCATTCATCATTCTTTTTACTATGTGGGATTTTTGTTTTGACTTTATCATATGTTTGTGTTTTACGGTAATCATGCAAATGTTGAGGTTTGCTCTTAGGGTAGAACATATCAATCTTTTGGTTTTGATGCAAGATTTATTTGAACGATATCTAGTATTTGGCATCGTTGAGAATCCATTTAGTGCATTAGTTAAAGGGAGAATGAGAGGAGAAATAGAAAATCAAAAAGAGAAATGGAATGAAGAGAAAACTTTATTGTTTTCCCATGTTTCCTATAAAGTAAAAAAAGAAAAGAAAAAAGAAGTGCTATTGGAAATTGGATGACGGAAAAATGAGACTTTTGTATTCGCAGTTATTGTAACTTGTCTGTGGATGATATTACCAAGAAAAACTTTGTAGTTATTTATTTAGTAATCAAAAAATAGAAACAAGCATCATGCATAGGAATGGCAACCGGGTGTCCCTTCCTTGACCCTGTCCTGAGAAGGAAAAAATTCTCCCATAACACTCCAAACCTTTCATAGGTTTGGGACGTAAATTACATCCCCATTTACAACTGGGGTTAGAGAGCCAGATTCCATCAAACCAGTCCAAACTTTTCATAGGTTTGGGATGTAAATTACATCCCCGTTTACAACTGGGGTTGGAGACCCGTTCGCTACCTGTTTAACCGATAAAGTGACTACACTGAAAACCTCCATTATTGCTTTTTTGAAATCGTCTCCGTTTATCTACGACATGTAATTATATATATATATATATATATATATATATATATATATGTATATATTATTTTATTCTGATTCGGTAGCTCATTTAGATTAGGAGAAGGAAAAAGCAGTTGACAGATGGACTAACGGTGCAGTCAGCAACATTGTAGGGCCTTCAAGGATGCAAATACAAGCGCGAGTGTCCTTGCACATAAAGGAGAACCAAAACAGCTCATCCTAATCTCTCTGCACAAATACAAATCAACCAACCCATTGTCAGGTGCTGTTAAAATCCATGAGAGGATAGAAGGGACTGATTAAGGGTTCGAGTGAGGGGGAAGGATTGCACTATTGAAGTCGTAAGGGAGGGAGAGGGGTGAGGAGGTGGTGGACACAAAGGGAAGTTTGGTGTTGGAGCACTATAGATGGGGTTGTTATTGGAGCCATTGGGCGCAGCATGTTGTGGGTGATGGGAGAGTGGGGCAGCCGAGAGCATGAAAAATGTAACAAAAATACAGAAACCCTAGCAGAGATATATATCTAAGAATATTTAAGGAATATTAAATCTAAATAAGGGTATAAATATAATTTCAATATGTAACATACCCAATCCCGCCTCGAGCCCAGATTTTGTTCGTGACCTATTTATCCAAAACCTGCCCCTTTCCCACTTAATGCCTCTGCATACCTGTCTGGCTGTCCCATTAGGGGTGGTGTGGGTTTGAACCCACTGGATCGGGTCAAATTTCACCCCTAATCTTGCATGCTCGACCCGAAAAAGAAAATCATCATACATCTAATTACAGCAATTTTATATTTCTAATATTAGTGTTGACGCATAAATATTTCGTCAAGATAGTGATGCTATATGTTCTTTCTTTTATTGTCATATGTTGATTTGATATCTGTCAATACTTTCTGATCATGATCTACTTTTAGGCATTATTTGATCGTTTCGGCAGTGACAAATTTGTTGGTGAATCTAATTGGTGTTTGGTTCTTCAGGAATTATGCTCGCATTAACCTTGGTAAGTCTCTTGCTGCTGTTTTAGTTTTTTCAGGTTATCACCAGTCATTTTCTATCTTGAGTTGATCGGAAGTGCTCACATGTCTCTGATGGTCACTTTTTCCATTGATGTGTGCTCAGTTTCTTACTCAGTACTAAAACTTTTTAAATATTGAAGTAATTTGATTTAGAATTGGTCCGCAACATATAAAAGATGGTAAAACAGCTGACAGATGCTAGTTGGCTTAAATGAAGTATCTAATCCTATGATTCTTTGTTGCCGTTTACTACTGAGATCCACCAAGGAACCATGTTTGCTGTGACGCAATTTCAACACACCTTCGCTGTGCATGGGTAATCCATTAAGGAGACATTGACTCGTTGTTTGAAGAGCTTACATAATTTATTTAGTATATTATTTTCTTTTCCCCGAAAGTATATACTGAATTTAGCATGTACTACGACCAAGGGAATTCTCAGAATCTCAGTGAAATGCTCGCTTTAGTTTAAGTTCTGATTAGAGGATGCAAGCATAGTAGGTTGCCCTGGCTTGGTTTGTAAATGTTATGACTCCAAGATGAAGATTGAATTTGGCTCAGTAATTTATTGGGAAATCTTAATCTAGCTTCTATCCTAGCTGTTCTCAGTTTGTGTTACAGTAGCCTGGTTACTTGTATTGTATTGGAGAGCTCGTGGACTTAGCAAGCTGAGCTCATTTTATTGAACATCTTCACAATATGATCAAGCTTGGCTTACTTATATCACTAAAGATCTCTTTGGTAGGCTTCAATTTAAGCTGATATCAGTTAGCTCTGGATATTCTTCTGATTTTACATGTTTCTTTGCAGTTTACAGAAAAGCAGAAGATATGAACTACCATTCAGTTTGTCTGCATGTTCTTGCAGATTCTATTCGCAGGTAAAAGTTACTCTCTCTGACACATGTTTTGCATACGTCTACCTAAAAAGCGTGTGTCATTACTTAATCTTGTTTCCTTATTCCTTGCATACACAGTTTATGAAAACCATCTTAAACTGGTGTGCATTTATTGTTCAGTGCAGGTTTGATCCTGGCATCTTGGCTTCTGACTCTCGGGTAAGCCTCCTTTAATTTCAGATTGAAGAACACACTTTTCTTCCATTCCCACTAAACAACCCCCCCTCCGGCGGTTTTTGCCCCCTCCAAGAATAACAAATTTTTATTAATAACACACTTCTTGTTGTCTTATATTTCTGTTTCCTTAATGTGTTTCAGGGTCAAGAATGCTGAAGTATTGTGTTTGGGATTGGTTTCGGTTGCAGTTTTTATGCTTGTGATGCCACTTTTTAAAACTGCTGGTGGTGTTCTGCTCCAAATGGCACCACCCAGCATTCCATCTTCAGCCTTGAGCAAATGCCGGAGACAAGTAATTATATTTCTTGGTGCATTAAAATCCAGTTTTCTTCTTGAAGAATTTTATTGATAATTTATCAAATAATTTAATCTTATTTCTGGCTCATTTGCATCTCATAGTATTTTTTGTTTCTGGTTAGGTTACGTCTGTTGAAGATGTTTTGGAAGTTTCTCAAGCTCGTTTTTGGGAAGTAGTGCCTGGTCATGTTGTTGGATCAATCTCGCTACAGGTAGTATTACTTAGTATTAATAAGTTCTATATGGATTCAGTTTTTGTCCATGACATTGTCTCCACAAATGCGCACACCGTTTTATTATTAATTAATTAATTTTTATTAAATAGGGCCATGTATACTTCTGGCAGGTCACTTTTTGATAAAGCCCTGTATACTTTTCCTTTTGTACCCTCTGTAGTTAGGCATTTTTTGGTCGTTCTGTATGTAATTTAGTGATTGTCGTTGGTGCATAAAATTTTTCAGGTGAAGAAGGGGATAGAGGACCGCCAGATACTACAATATGTGCATAGTTTGTACCATGATTTGGGGGTGCAGGACTTGACAGTACAAACTGACTATGCCTGAGCTCCTCCTTGGGTATCTGTCTAAAGAGTGATGCCAATATATACCCAATTTATTACATATTCTTGTTCATGTAATTGTTATATTTTTGCGGAAATCTGTTAGGTCCTTCCATTTTTGAGACTTATTGGAAGTCATCCCACAATTTGATCGTGCTAGACATTACTCAGCGACTGCTAAGAGGAATTTATGTATAACAACTTTAGACACAATTGATGACTTAGCCTGGTGCAAAATTTTTAACTACAATATGTTTGCCTTGTTCAACCTTTCTGTGCAATTAAATTTGTGGATTGGGAGCCCTACAGGAATTTTTTCTTCAAGTTGGTGGTATACATAGATAGATACAGTGGATTCTGTTGCTCTACCTGTTTGTACTGAATTTGTGTAACAGGTTATTGTGGAAAAATTGCAATGCTATTGAAGTACATGCAACTTCTCGTACCATCATGCATCAAAATTGAATCGAAAACTTTGGCAGCTTGAATTCTCAACCTTAGGCAAGACTTGCGGGGAGCATATTAATGTCACTTGCCTTGGATTTGTAAAGGCATGCCTGGATCTTGCAAGTACTTCTGCTGATTTAACCCTTTAACCTTGTGGATTATTTTGCATAATGATTCTTTTCAAACTCAAATTTTTGTTCTTATGTTTCTGATTTCAAAGTAATAGAGTTTCTATAACCACACTCTCAAAATGCATATTGATTCATTGAACTTGTCATATTTTCCTAATTATTTTTTATTATTTTCATGTTGTGCAAATAAATCATAAACCCATTGAGTGGTTGATGAGAAGGACATCATTTGAGTTTACACCTGCTTTTCTAGACCAAGGGAGTGTGTGAGTGTATTTTTTGTCATAAATAAATAAAATGACTGAAGAAGGCAAACCAAAAAGTGCAGTTACATAAAATAAAATAAAAAGAGAGAAAAAAAAATGTGGTATTGCCGCCGGAAGATGAGAGATGACAGAATCAGCCCACAAGCACGAAGAAGGACAAAGCCTTAAATTTGAAATACCAAACACTGGCAAAAAGATGTGGGTTTAAAATGTATTTTAAGCTGCTTAATGGTAGGCATATAGGATGGTATTACTACTGTACAGACATGATGCTTGTATATAGGATGACGATTACACATGATAAACCAAGAAAATGGAATTTAAAAAAAAAATAAAAAAGAAGAAGAAGAAGAAGAAGAAGATGGTGTAGACAATTAATCAATAATCATATATATTTTTTGATCATTTCTCTCACTTCATCCACCACTAGCCATGCTTTATGCCCTCCAATTACTTCTTCCTTCATCTCTCCATCTTTCCACAGCTGCAATATGGTTATACAAATTAGGCATCTCTATATGTCGTTATTCTCACTCATCAACAAAATTTTGTGGAAGAGAGAGAAAATTTCAGAGGGTGAACTCACCTGAATTGTTGGCATTTTCTGTGCCCACAAACAAAATCATTATTAATATTACTGAAAGTAACTCTAGTAACATACAATTTAGTGAATATAAAACAAACCATACGACTAATTTAAATCATACATACAGAAATATTTCCGCGCTTCACTAGTGCCTGAGGTACGTTGTTGACATCCACGCAATAAAATTTGATTCTATCATAAGAGAAAGAATGTCATATTTTACAAAAACTCATTAATGATTTGATCATGATATCAAAATGCTCATTTGGTTTTATTTTGCCAATGTTACCCCCATCCCTCATCTGTGTGTTCAGGGACGGAGCCAATTAAGGCCTCGGGCATGGGCCACCTGACCTGGCTTGTCCAATAGAATATATATAGTTAATTTGTAATTTTTTTAATATATATAAAAAAATATATATAGTGTTCCTCCTAAATTTTTAATTTTTAAAATTATCTTTAATTTTTTTTTTCTTTTACTCTTTAAATTCCTTTAATTTTTTTAAAAAAATTTAAATATTCCTTTTTGAATCATAGTCTAATTTTTTTCCTTTCAAATATATCTTAATTTTTTTTCTTTATTTTTTTTTTTTTTCTTAAAATTTTTCTTTTCGCATGTTGTAACAATGTTAGTTGATCTGAATAAAATTCTGGCTCCCCTGTGTGTAGCGTGTTGTCTGTTTTTTTTTTTTTTCTTTTTTTTTTTTTTTTTTTGTAATGAACGTCATATTTTAATGATGGATCCAAATATATCAATATGATAACAATGCAACTTAATATAATGAGATCATACTACATAATCATCATAAGTAAATGGGATTGAGGATCCTAGAATGACTCACTTGGTGTCGTACTCGGCTGCCAATTTCTCCAATTTAGGCTTCAAATATATGCATTTTCGGCACCATGCAGCCATCCTATTAATCAATTGAAAGAATAAGTTATAGTAATTAAGGCCAACAACTCAAATACACACACAAAAAAAAGAAAAAGAAAAAGAAAAAGAAAAAAAAAACTAATTTCGAAATTGAAGTCTAGTAAACTAAGATCCCAACAATCCATATGAGAGAAAATGTATTGACAGCAATATTAGCACTATATATGCTCTGTATATGTGTGTGTATGTATATATATATATCGAGAGAGAGAGAGAGAGAGAGAGAGAGAGAGAGACCAATCGATGATGATAGGTTGGGAGAGTTGTGTTGCTTGGACTAAAATCTGATCCAACTGATCACAATCCTTGATGGGTTCCATTTCTACAAAAGTAGGTCTCGACAAGTCTTGCCAAAAGGCATCAACTCTGAATTCTCTCTTTGCTATCTTCTTCCACTCACCTTTACTACGATCAAAACCGAACCCATAAGAATTCAACAGAACCAAACAACTCCCACCACTCCAAAACTGTTGTTGTGGTTGTTCGTTTCTGTGACAGATTTCTCGGCATAGAATGTGAGAATTCGGTGCTAATATTGACATTTTTGCTCTCTTTCTTAGCTGAAAAGATGACCCAAAGTAGTAGATAAGATATTTAGGACGACGACACTCAGAGAAAAATATCATAAAATATCATTCTTTTTAAATAAAAAAACTCTCTTTTAGATTTGGAATTAGAGTTTCAATTTCCTTTTATAATATATATATATATATATTTATACTTTATTTTGTTTGGTTCTGAAGAAAATGGAGAGGCTAAATCTTATCGGAAGCTGAGTCGTAGAAGGGGATAAAAGAGAGAGCTGTGGGCCCATGGATGAAGTTTTATATATAGAGAAACTGAGAAAGTAAATTAGGATAGTTGCACTAATTTTAATATTTCTGAGCTTATATATATATATATATTAACAAATTTGGGTTATCGAATCCCTCCCAATCTATTCATGTATAATAGTCTCTAAAGTTGGACACATCCTACTTTTAAAATGAGTGAGAAATGATATAATTTCTCAATCACATAAATACAAATATAGTCAAATATGTTCAATTTTCAAACTATGTATCACACCTCATTCCTCATTCAATTATAATTGCTTTAGGGACCACACCTATTAGGTTATTACTCAAATACTACTTGATGGGATACCTAAAAATACCCTCAAACCCTCTACGTTTATTGCGTGCATCTACCAATTCATTAAAGTATCGTGATCAATTCCATATGAAAAATCAAAAGTAAATTCATAACTAATTTTCAAAGTTTAGTGAAGGGGAAAGTATGAGCAACTTTTCAACTATGATAGACTTTTGTCCTTCATATGAAGAGCACTGAGTGATTCTTTTTGCGCGGCGATGTAAAGTATAAACGACATTTTAGGTTTTGGAGCTCCTAACATTGGAAAATTGAGAAAATACTTCTTGATGTTATCAAAAGTGTTTTGACAGGCTTGATCCCACTCAAATGGAGCATCCTTCTTCATGAGTTAGTTAAAGGACTAGTAGTATACGACCAAGTTTGAGATAAACCGATGAATGAAAGCAAGTTGGTCATGTAGGCTTCGAAGCTCTCGTAGATTCTTAAGCAGTGGCATCTTTCATATGGCGTCGATTTTGGACAGATCTATCTTGATACCATGATAACGAACCACATATCCAAAGAAGTTTCCTGAAATGATGGCAAATGCAAACTTAAGAGGATTCATCTTAAGTTAATACTTTTTTAGGCAATTAAAAACTGTACAAAGATCTTGTAAATAATTCCCTATTTTCTTTGTTTTAACTACAAGATTATCAACATAGCACTTGACAATCTTATGAAGCATGTCATCAAAGATCCTTTGCATAGAGCGTCGATATGTTGCCCCACATTTTTAAGTCTGAATAGCATAATTGTATAACAGTAGATGCCATTAGGAGTGCGAAATGTAACTAACTCTTCATCATTCGTAGTCATTTATATCTGATTGTAACCCAAATAACAATCCATAAAAGAGAGTTTTATGCTCTGTAATTGCATCTATTTGTAGATGGAAGGGAAAATTGAGCAACAAGAGACATAAACGTCGAACTTGAAAGAGGGTCTGATACATTTTGAGTTAGGAAAAATTCTACCACTGAGTCCACAACTGAACCTTTCCATGGTGAGAAACGTCTATCCCCTTGGATAAGATGCATGCGGTTAATAAATGAGTCTACACGTCCACATAATACTTCACTCTATTTTTTCCCGCCATTTCTTCGTATCCTTGTCCTCCTCTTCAACACCTTTATTTCAAGCATTATCCATCAGCATTTTTCATACCCTCATTGTCTCTGGGTCAGGATCAACTTTGGGCAACAATTTGTGTTTCTTAAGATGATCAAATAGCTCATCATAAGGAGCAAGTGCTTCGTGTTTGCTTTTAATAAAAATGTGCATTTTGATCATAAACTACAAGTTAGCGGTATCTTTCATCATTTCTACAAAAACACTTACATGCATGGATCAATGAGAATATACACTTGAAAGATTCGGGATCAGCAAATACTGCTTTTCGTTTTAATTGTGTAAGTAAAATCATTTTTACACGTCTATCCAGTTATAAAAAATGGCTAGCAATTCCTTGACACCAGTACATAATAGACTTTTCTCTCATTATCATTCTTTTCTTGAATATTCTTAGGATTTTGGTCCAAGTAATATACTATTTTTTGACATTTATTTACTTAGAATACCCTACGCTACATTCGCAAATAATCATATCCACAAACTTGATTTGTGATAGTAACAACTTCTCTCTTTGCCTTGTCATTAAAATCATTATTTTCCCTTATAAAATTGAGAACTCGCCTGCTAGACTTCATAGCTTGTTCATGCCCATAAATTTTCGGATCAATTGTTTCCCCTTGGATTGGCTGATATATTTTATTTAACTAACCTAATTTTCAAGAAAACAGGAGACCTGTTGGGTTTGCTTAGGGGTTTGGGGCGGTGCTAAAGAGAGAAACATCTAGAGAGAGAAACCCCAAACCCTTCAGATCCTCCAACTTTTCTTTCCATTTTGATCCAATTTTCTCTTCTCTGTTCATCAGAGTTTTCTTTTCTCCTTTACATAGGAGCTTTCTTTTTTCTTAAGAGATTCTCTGTTTATCAAAGTGTTTTCTTTGGATTTCCTCTTGTTCTTTTGTTCCTGATGGTTTCCTCTATGGTGCTCTTGGGTCTTCCTTTCATTCCTTATAGAACCGGCAACTGTGCACATCGAGATGTGAATCTAGGGGTTTTCCGTTTTGGAAGACTTGATGACCCATCAGTGCACAATTTTATTTTAGATCCGGGTATTGCTTTAAGTTCTTGTGTTTTTATGTTAGTGTTATTTTAGCTTGGTGTCTTTTGCCTTTCAGATCTCGTGGTTTGCCTCCCTTCTCTTTCTGGGTGAAGGCTTCACCGTTTTGGACTTGGTCGGCGAAATCAATTTCTCCTACTTCTCGGTTGCCGACACATCTGGGTTATCCTAGTGGGATGCTCTATTATTTGATTTGTTGGCCCCATGGTGAAGAAATTTGGGGTACATAGTTTCTGTTGGGTATTCAAAAATAGATGTTGCTATTGGTGTTTTCTAGTCATGGGGATCAGTTTAAGCAATCCGTGGCCTAGTCGGTGGTTCGATTCCTTTTGCTGGCGGCGTGCTCATAGGGTTTGCTGGTTTGTGATTGTCGGTGGCTTGGTGACTGGGTCGGCTTTTGCTTCTTCGGCTGGGGATGCCATGACATCATGGCTGATGTCATGCACATTTTCTCTAGAAGTTGTCTTGTTGTTTTTAGTGGGTCATGATCATGAGTGTTTTTGGACTGTGTGTGAGGCGGTGTAATTTGATAAGCACTCTTTTACGTGCTTTGGTGGGTCCAAAATCTAACTATTCTGGACATTACAGTGCTCTGTTTAGAGGTACTAACAATCCCATTCTTAGTTATTGTCAAGGATGATATCTTGACATTTGGGGGTGTTAGTTTAAATAGTTTTGTGTTATTGGCACTTATTGTATTTTTCTGTTGTGATATACTTTCATTTTCTTGCCTGTAGATGCCGTATGGCTTTTTTCTTGCTAGGGTAAAAAAAAAAAAAAAAAAAGAAAAAAAAAAGGCCCAGTTTTCAAGTGGGCCAGGCTAGTTAAACAATTGAAATTGGCCTATTAAAGTGGGTTGGGTTTATTGAACAATTTGAGTTGATCTATTATGTATGGGGCTTAAGCTGTTTACTAAACCGACCATGTTTCAAAATGGGCTACATTGATGGTAACCTACTTGACAATTTTCAAAATGTTAGTTTAACATTTTTTTTAACCGGAAATGTTAGTTTAATATGTGTGAATTAAAGAAAAACAACTACACAATTAACAATTTTTAGGCCAAGAATCTAAACCATTAAAGTAGCAAACACACTAGTGTGTGATATATATTACTAACTGAGCATTGATTAAGCGTGACTTGGGCACTAGGTTCCTGCGTGGCTACCTTGGGGGTAAAACTACCAACCCAAACTAAGCTCCATACCACCTGGTAGTACTTTTTCTATTTTCAAAGTGAAAAGTAGAAGGACCAAGAGTCTCTTTCTGTGTGTTAAAAGTGGAATGTGAGTTTTTCCCTTCACCTTATGACCTAAGCAATTCCTCGACTCCTGTGCATGATAACTGTTTTAAAAAAAATTTATTGTTGGAACTAATATATCGAACCAGTAAATATCAAAGCTTAGAGGTGCGCAATGTGTTTATTACCGTCTAATCAACTGAAAATATAAAATTCACACTCAGACTCAATAGTTTGAAAAATACTTTTTCAAAACTTTCTTGCTCACTCTTACTTATTTTGAGAGGTTGTATTGAAAGCATCATATATTGCCCATACAACATACTAGTAGAGATTTGGAATTAATTAACATTAATGAACATATACTTAATATGATCATAAATAACATATTAACTAGACTACTAATTTAATACATCAGTTGTAGAAAACTTTACTAAAAACTTTCACTAAAACTTCATCATAACTAATTAATTTGAAACATAACTCCAACGTGTAGTACAGCATTGAGATATCAATTCCCCACCGTTTGAAACGCTCATGTTTTTTCTGTTTTTGTATTGTTTGTTAGAGAGAAGAGGAAGCATCCATTACATGGGAAGGCCTAAAAATTACATAATGTGAGCTAATTAATTGGGCTGTGCTCGTTCCTAACCTCAGAAAATTTTATTTGGGCCAAGCTTGAACTAGCTTGGCCCATCATCTCAGCATGCCCGCCAGATTTCACTCCTGTTCATATCAAAGTCACGCTCACGCAATTTTGTGGCTTTTGCACTCCCAATCACACTCTTCCGACTCTTTAAGACAAATTGTGGCTTTTGCACTCCCGTTCCCACGTTCTCACACTCTTCATATAGTTCGACTAATCTCAACTCTCAAGCATGGCTCACAATCTTCCGCTCTTTAAGACATTAGTTCATATAGTTCTCAAGCATGATTCACAATATCAGTCGCGATCACAGTGTAATAGATTAGAACATAATCAGCGATCACGGTATAACAGATTAGAACATAATCAGTCAGTGTAGACAAACCGAACCAGCCGATAGGAGACCCTTGAAAAAGGGTCACGTATCGGCGTCGAACCATGCCTCAAGAGAAGAGAAGTCGGATCACACATACAACTCATATAGTTCAACATTTCTGTATTATTGCAAAATCAAGCACCCATTAAAATTTTATTGCAGTTTATTGGTCAAGTGACATTTACAAGAAGCATCCATTTAACATTTAAAATACATCACAACTCTTCTTCAACTTAAGCTCCCTCACTGCCTCCGCTTACTCAACTGGGGAGTCCGGCGTTTGTCTACTAATACAAATAACAAGTTCAACTACAAACTCAATGCATAAAGTTAAAGAGACAAATATTTCATGCATGCCAATACAAGAAATAATAAACCTGAGTCCTGCTCTCTCGCAGTTCAAGAGAATGGAAACTATGTGACAGGAAATACAGCAGAGTGTGTGATGAAATGCAAACCAGAACTGGTGTCACACCTAAACTCTACATGAAACATTGTCCTGGAATGTCTTGGAATCGCACATGATACAAACAAAATGAGTTTAGAACCATGTTTGCTAAAATGATCTTAAAAAGGAATACAGAGGAGACCAAAATAGAACCAAGAACCTAAATCACAAAACAAACTGAAGGCTTTCTCTTGACCCTAGTAAACAGGCCAGCGAAAAAATGAGAACCATCTTTTCTGGGGATAGCAGAAACCTTATATAAAATTTATACAATTTTTCTAGTGCGCCATCTTGGAGAAGCATTTCAACATATAAGCATTCTCCCGTGTAAAGGTTAGTCATAAATGTAAAACAAACAAAAAACATGAAAGTAGATTTACTTAAGAAATATGGAATCACCAGCACAAATAATAATAAAAAAAGAGTCTAAAAATAAAGGAAGAAAAAGGGCAATGCAGACGGGGGGAAGAGACGGAGAGAGAGAGAGAGAATGTATGTGTGTCAACAAATGAATTGGGATGGCATAAATGTAACAGATAAAGACACTACATACCCAAACCATTTTTGTTTGTTTATTTGATTTTTCTTGATAAGTAAGAATTTTATAGATGCAAGTATGCAACTGTGTAACACAATATATACTGCACAACAATCATGTGTAACAAATAATACGTGCATATAGAAAGTTATAAATAGATGCAAATATCTATGACTTTCACATATCATAGGCCTTTATCATGAAAAAATTAGCTTGTTCTACACTAAAAAAATAAAAATAAAAATAATAAAAAAACAACAACAACAACTACTACCAGCTAATTATTTCATTATTGTTTTAACAACTTCTGAATAATAACCCTAATCCAAGCTATTAGGGTGTGCACTAAGTAATGAATCAAGTTGTCCTGAATTAAAAACAAACACTAAAACAAAATGCAAGAAAATGATTTGCAAATCTTTCACATGTCATCATCCACTTAAAATGTATTTCGAAAGAAAAACAAAGATGCATCGTAATTACTATCTTGTGCCTATTCAAATGAAATTGAAGCCTTACTGGTATCACCTTATAACGAAGACTGCGCCTAATGACAGTCTAAGAGCATGCAAACTCATCCCAATGTTTTAGAAGGTTTCTTCAAATCACAAATATTAACTAGGTTCAGGTCATTAAAAGTATTTAAAAGTTCTTTAAGAAACTTTAATGTGGATAAAGACCATTTTGACAATTACTTCGCTTGCTCAGTAAACCATGTAATGAGAATCTATTAAATTTGGCACTTTTTTTAGCAGTCAAAGGGTTTTGTCAATTACACATTATATATCATACATGAGAAAAGTAAAAATTGTATGTACAGGTTTGCGTGTGTGTGTAGAATCTACAGACATTATGTAGATTTTGGAAGTCTATAAAATTTATAAGACAAAAAAATCTAAACTTTTTGACAATTTAGATGCACAAAAACCGTATAATCTTGCTCATGTCCAAGTCCAAGTCCAAGAACAGTATAGAAAGGACAATTGCCAGTGGGTTTATCTGCAATAATTTGTTGCTAAAGTTGTGATACACAAGAATGAGAACTACTGTCATTCGGATGGGGAAGGGGGGAAATGCAGAAAAATAAAATAATTTGGCTTCAAAACAAATTATCTCGCATCATCCTGAAAGCACTGAAAAGTAGCTCAATTTCAATTCTACTTGGAATGAAAAGGAAGAAATGAACCAACGCAACTGTAAATGCAATTTTTATTTGGCCCTAAAATGACAAAAGACATAGTACAAACTAGAATTGCAGATAACAGTTCAAACAATTCCTTGAGAATTTTTATGTTTTAAGCTTAATAATGTGACTACTACAGTAGTCAACAGAAAGGCCATGATGATGAGAAACTGAAGCTGAATTATGTTCGTTTTAATTTTAAGATATAACAAATAATTAACTATTTGAAGTGGATCAATATTTATTCACTTGATACTTAAATTCATAAATATAATTTAATTCCAAGTGGCAAACATTCATAAATTCAACCAAAAGCTTATTAAGATGACATAACAGAATGACCAAACTTTTGCTTGGCCTGTTTCACATTCACTATAATGAGAACTATAGAAGAATGCAGTACTTTTTCCGTACAACAAAAAAGGCAGTAAATAACTAGAGACACGGACTTACATTCCAATAAATATAAAGGTCATTACTCAAAGTTGGTCCCTGTTAATTGATGGTAGTGAAAAGGACGGACAAAACACAGATCTAACTTTGGGCATTACTCGTACAAGAGAACTGCCCCCAGACTCAACACTGCTTTATCATGCTAGACAGGCCTTACTTTTACCATTGCACCAAGCAATGGCCCCTACCTACTGCAAATATACAAATATAAATAAAGTTCACATGGTTGTACACTGGGGAATAAATCACCACATGTTTGCAATACAATTCTGAAAGCACAAAGTCCTACTAAAGAACGGTGACAATGTTGCAAACCACGTTATAAGCAGCAAAGTTCAAATGATTCTATTAGCACCTTATGCCAGTTGATGACTGTAGCAAAAAGGTGAATATTTTCTAGAACAAAATGCTATATAAAGGCAATTTGCACTTACAAAGCTGCTGGGAAACTGAAATCTCAAGAGAATAATTAATAGTTATAAGGGTGCTCATTTCAGTTCATTCTCCTCCTCCTAGGTGCTCGAGAATCCCCACTGTCCACGTCTGAAACCCTTGATGCATCATTTCTTCTTCTAGATGATGAAGTAGAAAGGGACACAATAGAATCAATTTCAACAGCAGTATCAACTGTCTGACTTTCCGAGTGTATAACAGCAGCAATGCTTGACATAGAATCTCTATCATCAACTGATGGAGGATTTCTTTCTACAAGATGGTTATGGAAATAGGACTCAACTATCCTCTCAGCGTTAACCAATGCAGATGTAAGATTTGTAATTGTAGCAGCTCTATGTGAATGTGACCTTCGAAGTAAATGGGATGAAAATCGGCGACTTTCACCCAACTCGGAGTTAGTAGGGCTGCTTAGTGTTAAGTCAACTACATCATCTGGTTGAATAACTGCATTCTGTTCTCTATGCATTCCCCTAGAAGTTAGAATCCGAGACAAATCAAAACTCCTTCTCTCAGGTGAACCGTGGGTAGCTTCATTGTTCTGAGGTTGCACTGGGGCCTGTTCGCGATTCAAATCAAATCTACTGCCAATACGCCGAATCATTTCCTCCATCGGAATAGCATATGCGTTCCTTTGAATGGTTTGCCTCCAGCTCTCAACCCGCCGCGCTTGGGGCCTATGTGGTATTTTAAGACTCGAATCCTCCTCTATGTTTCGGATATTGTTCCCACGACCATAAATTGGGGTCACATTTTTTATTGACACCTCTCCCTTGCACACTGGACATTCCTTGGCATCTGAATCAACATGCAACCACCGATAAAGGCATGGCCAACAAAACAAATGACCACAACAAGTCACCACAGGATCCCTAGCCAATTCCAAGCATATATTACAATCAAAAAAGCTCCCCTCATTGCCGCCACCCTTTTCCACATCTTCCTTTTCGTGTAGCACCTTGTTCTCCACATGAATTGTTTCGTTCTCACACTTTTTCACTGCCTCAGTATTTCTTTCCTCAGCAGCAACACTACCCTCACCAGTTTGCAATCTTCTAGCACCACCACCACCACCACCACCATCAACACTGGAATTGACCATCAACTCCAGGGCAATGTTCCTAGCTTCAGGGGGAACTGGAGGTAGCCATAACGAACGCCATCGCCGCCTCCACCGAGCAGATTCCCTCGGTCGACGTACACCCCCATCTACCATATCCTCTAAGTTCAATGATTCAGCGGACAATGATGCCGGCCCAATAAGCTCATTATCAGGTGAGAGAGGGACAAGAGATCCCAAATTCAAATCAAGGTTCATTGCATTTGGTATCTCGTCCCCCATCACAAATTCAACAATCCCCAAATCAAAACCCCAAGCTTTTCTGTTCTTGCTCAACCAAGTCAAAACCCGAGTTTCAGACGGTTGGGTGCACAAACATATAAAAACCCTATCTTTATTTGCTCACCCAGATTAAAAAGAAAACCCTAATTTGGTGATTTGTCAACCGAAAAAAAAAAAAAACAAAACCCTAATTATCAAGTCAACCCAATGAAAACCCTAACTCAAAACGGGAAAAACGGTGACCAAGATTGTGACACAATCCAATCAACCAACTATCTAAGTTGATATAACAACCATGATAAGATAAAAGAATGATGCAGGATTATTGAGAGTCAAAGCTGAAAATTTACAATTTAGAGAGAGAAAGAGACCTTGTGCAAGAAAGATGTAATTGTTGATAAGCTGAAAAGACGATCGATTAGGAGACTCGTGAGTGTGGGGAAAGAGGTGGCTTTAATCTCCGGAGCGGAGTCCCATTTCTTTATTATTCTGGATTCTCCATCTATGGTCTCCGGCGATTTGTTCTAGTGAGAGAGAGAGAGGGGAGGACGTAGAGAGATTTATGTGAATGGGGGGTGGTTCTTCCACTTCAAAGAGAGAGAAGTGAGTGTTACCATTGGGCCTGGCCTAGAGGGCTTGGCTAGGACGGCCCGTCTAGAAAATAATATGCCCAAGCCCACCCTGGTGAGTTGAGAAAAAGTTATAAATTTTTTTTATTTAAACTACATTTTCACTAAATTTATTGATATATTCGTCCTAAATACTGTTATGATTCATTACAATGCACACTCAAAATTAACATTATTTAAGAATACGTCTTCAAAATATTCTAAATTTATATTTCCACGACATACTTCTTTATTTTAGATTTTACCAATTTTCTTTACAAAGTACGAACTCTTTAAAAGTTTCTATACAATGATTACATAACCTGTCCGTTGTAAGATCTCAAAAAAATGTATCAACATTGTCCTGTTGTAGGGTATATGACTATATGTAATCTGTTGATCCTTCATGTTTCAAGAATCTGTAACATTTTAGTTTAAATGTTGGTAGACTATTTATGTGGCATCCTAAACTTTTCAAGAAAGGAAATAATTTCCTCAAATTTGAGGTTTTGTAGACTTCGGTGATGCTAATAATTATTTTAATTAGAATTACTTTTTTCATTTAAGACATCTGTTAATGATATCTATGTATCCCTTACTAGGCATTGCCTAATGCAATAAAACATATATTTAAAAGATAATTGTCTATTGAGTCAGTTCCTCTTATATATGTGGTTTTATACCATATTTATTTTAGAAATTAATTGACAGTTCAGTTGCAATCCCTTTTATAATATGGTTCTTTGAGTTTCCTCACAGTATATAGCTTCCTGTCTTCTTGCTCTATAAATTAAGCTACTTTTTATTTTAATCCGACACTAGCTAGCTCAGTCCCAAGAAAAAAATGAGAAGATTTCTCAACTCCCTAACATGTAACTTGGAGGACATGATTCTTTGCTAAAAAGGGTTAATTGGATGTATAAAACCTTCCTGGTTCATAAAAAGTTTACATATCAAGCCTTGAACTAAATTTCACCCCTTGTACGATATATCCGTCTGTCTCTATGGTTTATGAGTTCTCCATCTCTCTCCGTCCTTCTCTAGGGTTTCTCAGTTCTCCATCAAATTGCCTACACAATCGCAGCATGCTTTTCTCACTCCCATCTGTTGAGATTTTATTTTTTGTAATCCGAGATTATACAGATTGTATAGGCTGTAGGATTGCATTATTTTCTCCTTGAGTTAGGGCTAATTGGTAGATAATTAGTTTCCCGATTATTGTGTATTTAGTTATCTATTTTAGCTAGATATTACTCTATAAATTGAATGTAACACCATCGTGAAGTACTTGTTCAGAGAATTCGAAATGAAAGATCTAGGTCCTTTAAGATATTTTCTTGGAATCGAAGTATCTCGATCTAATAAAGGAATCTTTCTATCTCAAAGAAAATATGCTTTAGATCTATTACAAGAGACTGGCATGACAGCATGTCAACCAGCTGAGACACCAGTGGAAGAAAGGCTGAAGTTATGTGTTGAGTCCAACCAAGTACTTGCTAATAAAGGAAGATACCAAAGACTTGTAGAGAGATTGATGTATTTAGCACACACGAGACCGGATCTGGCTTATGCATTGAGCATTGTTAGCCAGTTTATGCATGATCCGGGAGAACAACATATGAATGCAGTTATGCGCATTTTGAAGTATCTGAAATCTGCTCCTTGAAAAGGAATTTTGTTCACTAAAAATGCTGGTTATCAAAACATAGATGCATATACTGATGCTGACTGGGCTGGAGCTACAGATGATAGGCGATCTACTTCTGAATACTTCACTTTTGTAGGAGGTAATCTTGTTACATGGAGAAGTAAGAAACAAAATGTTGTTGCTCGCTCGAGTGCCGAAGCTGAATTCAGAGGTAGGGCGCTTGGACTTTGTGAAACTTTGTGGTTAAGACTTCTCTTGTGGGATTTGGGTTATCTACCTGGGCAACCGATTAGACTTTATTGTGACAATAAAACAGCATGTGATATTGCTCATAATCCAGTTCAACATGCTCGTACAAAGCATGTCGAAATAGACAAATTTTTCATTAAGGAAAAGTTGGATGGAAAAATTGTGGAGTTGCCTAAGATTCGATCAGAGGATCAACTAGCCGACATTCTCATCAAAGCAGTCTCAAATCAAGTGTTTTCAAAATTTTTAGACAAGTTGGGCATGTGTTACATCTATGCACCAACTTGAGGAGGAGTGTTGAGATTTTATTTTTTGTAATCCGAGATTATACAGATTGTACAGCCGTAGGATTGCATTATTTTCTCAGGCTAATTGGTAGGTAATTAGTTTCCAGATTATTGTGTATTTAGTTACCTATTTTAACTAGATATTACTCTATAAATTGAATGTAACACCATCGTGAATAATATTGAATTGAGTTTTGTTTCTCATATTCTTTCTCTGAATTTGAAAACCATCGTGTAAGGTTCTCTCTCTGTCTCCCCCTCTATATATCTATAAACACACACACACACACAATATTATGTGAAAATTTGTGTTTGTGTTAAGATTAAGCAACTTGATCACCATCTGTGTGATTCCAGGGTTTGTGCTTGCTTATTTATTGAAATTTAGTTTGTATACTTCTATCCATGTCATGTCATGCATGTTGTCCTCAACTTAACTTTTGTGTGCTTGGATTGATTTAGCCCTTCAACTCATTCATTTACCAAAATTAGTCGTATGTAGTAGTCCCAGGATACTTCGGTGGATTTTCATGTTTAATTTGACCTTTTGGATGAAACTACTGCACATTACATATGCTATAGGATTATAATTCTCCTTTACTATATTTAAAAGGCTATAGAAAGTTGATTTACAACTTGAGTTCCAACAAATTTTGAATTGGTTATTGTCATTCTATTGACCATTGCCTTCTATGCAACCATTTTTGTGTAATAGTGACATCTCTTATGAAGTGCTGTTACATTGAAGAGGGATTATCTTATGTTCAAACTAGTAAGGATATATATTTGCATGCTCTATAAAATTGTGGTTGTAATTGAATCTTTCATATCAAACTTGTTCATTAATTACATGAACTAAGCATAAATTTAAGGTTCAAGCTTGAATTCTTAGTCAATCAAGCTTGATCAATGAAAAACTTGATCCATTGAGATTCGTGATCAGTTCGTGTGTCATATAACTGTAATGATAGTTACTTGCAAAAATAAAATGTTATTGTTGAGTATTATATATATAAAACTAACAAATTACAATGTGACAGTTAACCAAGATTCTTTGGCTGTATTACAAAATTATACCGTAATACTTTATTGTGTAATTGTGTCTGTTTCTTTCTTTACTCTCATCTCCAGCCATTAAAGTCTCTCTCCTGCAGTCATCAAATACATCAAGGCATGCGTTATCTAATAAAAAATAATAATAATGTATTCCCGGGATATTAAAAAAAATTCCATTTGGCACATGCTGATGAGGTTATTCCCAATGATTTTTTATTTTATTCTAGTTTTTGTGATCAAGAGAATATATATATATATATATATATATATATATATATATATATATATATTTATTTATTTATTTGAAAGCAAGTAATGTATTGAATTTGGTAGATCAAGTATTCTAAGTATGGAATTAAGGCAAGGATGATGATGAAGTTCTCAAAATATATTTACTAGGTATGGCCCTATGGACATTCAGTTATGATTAAATTTATTGAAATTTTCATCATCAGGTAGCAGTTTGTATCTAAGGTACTTGTGCTGTCAAAACAATAATAGTTGATAATCCTTGCCGTCCTTCATGTCTGCATGCTTCATGATTGGTTGAATTCTCTATCGATATTTCTTATACACGCCGGCTTTGTCAAAGGAAAGGGGTATGAAAGAAACAAAGGAAACATATCAAATTTATGATCAAAGAAGGAGTCTCTCTGATTTGGTGTCGTTAAGGGCTAATACTGTTGTAAGACTTATATATGCTATGGATAAAGCCACTGTATGGTACTCCCTATATATAATTTTACACTGAAAACAAAAATAGGACAATTTGTAAACCACATTGTCACAGGACAATTGGTAAATCACATTGCTGAACACCAGCGTAAAAACTTTTTAGATGGGTGAGAGGGATTGGAAAGGAACATGAATTTTGGTTTAGAAATATCTCCTTCTTCAATGACTGCTTTATTTGAGAATCAAACAAATGTTGATTAATATGGAAAGAACAGAGGCACTGACCTTAGTATTGATACTGACTCTTTGCAGTCAATGATGAGTGCTTCTATAGTTTCAGGATCAATGTATACATTAAAATTCTACTAATTAAAGTGCCATAAAAAAAAATTGTTGTTTCAAGCATTGCATGATCTTGGTGTTAATCCATCTATATTGTACTATGGATAGACATTTGAATCTCTCTCTCTCTCTCTCTCTCTCTCTCTCTCTATATATATATATATATATAATAGCATCGAAATACTGGCAAGTGAAGAGGAAGGAGAAACTAGGAATTACTTTTTCTGGCAATGATAGCCTTGTAGTCTGGATTGAACTTCACTGTCTTCCATCCTTGATGATTTTAGTACGTCTCCTCGGGTAATAGAAGCAAGAACATCCCGAACATAACTGCATAGATGGAAAACAGTACGTTGATACATATTCTCTAATGTGTTTGTAAATTATATATGCTCGTGGATCAGATGATGCATTCATGTACGATCCTAGATTTTAGAATGTGCATACAGTTTCCCACTACTATTTGCATCTTGTTCATTGATTCATAACCCAGAAGCCTCTTTTTGCATGTTTTCATTCAATTTTCCAATACAAGCAGCAAATTTGTGAGTCCCAACCTGAGCCAGCTGTGAACAAAATAACCCGGCAGGGCTATGAACAAGTGATCAAACAAGATACTAGGCATATTAGAAGTCCCTGATCATTCTGGCATAAAAAGAACTTTTATGAAAATTGAATGGTTGGAAGCGTCACTAAATTCATAAAGCATCAACCATATATAGAAAAGAACACCTAGATGTAGTAGTCTCTACCGATCATCAAACTTACAGTATTTGATTTTGTGTTCTGAATTGTAACATCTGATCTGACCCTGGATACATTTGCTTCTCTCTTTTCATTTTCTTTGCCCAATTCCATCCAAATGTGAGAACCAATACCGGTAGACAATTCGACATTCAGTCCATTCTTTGAACCTATATCATGAGACTCAAAATCCATCTTATTAGCACGAACAGGGTCTTTTTTAGCTTGTTCTGAATCGCCCATGATCCCATTGGGTAGGATGGTATAGTTGCAGCTTCCTTTTTCTTTGACTTTCACATTGTCCATCTCAGAGTGACTAGATTCCCTGCTAGCTATGTCAGTCTGATCACCGCCTAGAAGAGATTTAGTAAAATCTATTGAAAAACATGCATCACTAAACTGGTAGCTTGAGATTGTTAGATCCTCAGAAAGAGGGATTGATGGATTCTGAAATTTGGATTGATCTTGAACAATTTCTTGACCAGTCCTCTCCCCTATGCCCTTCACTCCCTGTATTAGTAACTCCATTAGTTCATGGCCTTTACTTCTTTCTCTTAGATCATTATCTGAAGAGTTGGACTGTGGCACAGGTTGATGTTGAAGCAATTGTGCCCCTTTGTTGCTAATGACACATGCAAGATGGGCATCAAATTCACAAAATTCGCAATGATACAGCCACCAGTTATTACCTGGTGTGCTGCATAAATCACATTGGAATTCATATGGTGGTGAGAATTCTAGTCTGAGTGTATGGGGGTGGAAAGGGGTGTTAACAGAAAGAGGCACCGCTGAGCACAATGCATGATAGAAGTCACCACACATGTCACAATTGTAGTAGAAACCGGTAACATAGTGTCCACAAGCCTTACATTTGAAGGAGCCTTTGGTGGAAGAAGGCGTCGCGAGGAGGGTAAGTTGGTGGTCTGGATCAGCAGGGTGTTGCACATTTCTGGGCATGTTGTAGCACACATGGTGGAGCCAAAATGGGCAGGCTCTGCACTTGTAGTAGTTCGTGCTGGACAACATGTTGAGCTTGCACCCAAAGCATGTGATGTTTTCTTTAGGAGGTGAATTGGTAAGTTCCAATGGATGATCATGGCTAAAATGATGAAACCGGATCTCGGGCTGTGGTTCTTTCATCTCTTACTAAGGGTGTTGAATCTGCAGTTGCTAATCCTTGAGTCCCTTCAATGATGACATGCTGTTTTCTCTAGTTTAAGCTGCTTCATAAATTACAGGATATGAGTGGTGTTGGGAGGAAGAGACCGGAGAGAGACCCCTTGCTGAAGGTGACAACCAAAGCATGGTTATGGAATATCTTGACTTGTCCATGGCATCTGTTTTATTTCTTTTTATTTTTTTAACTCATATGTCAAGCATGTGGATATATAATATTCTGCTCGAGTCTTCAAGGCATCCGGCAGGATGGTTTGGTCAAGCTAGCAATATAATTATTATTTTTTGTATATCGTATTTCTCTTGTTCTTTTTCTTCTTGTTTTCATTTTCTTTTTCTTTTCTTTTTTGGTTTAGTTGATGATCTTTGGGTAAAATATCTTAGGCATCACCATTATTTTAATTCGGTTTTAACAATGTATAGCAGATTTATCCATCAAGACAAACATTATTTGAGAATTAAGAGACTATTTGTGATTCCCAAATTTATCACATTTCAAGTACATTACATTCTCATAAAACAAATTCTATTGAGAAGATAGTTTCTTCAAATTTATGTACGGTAAATGTTGATTATTCCAACTAACAAATAACTTAACAAACTAGGTTAAAAAATAATAATAATAACTTAACAAACTTGTCAAGAATATTTTTAAATATATATATAATATTTAAATTATTATTTATATATTTGAAATATCAACTTCTGGTTGTGATGTCCTCGATCAACAATGGTGGAAGTTAACTTTTGACCAAATATCAATGCAGAATAGGCCAATCATCAGGACCATCCAAAACGTTGGGCAAACCTTGCCCCCACAATAAATAATCTAGAATAAATTACACTTACACCACACATGGTTTGGTCATATTTTACTTAGATTAACATTTTGATTTTAGATTTTACTTAGAACTAAATTAATGTTTTAGCATTTCATTTACATCCCAAATGTGAATTTTTGATAGGGTTGAGGCTTTTGAGATATTAAATGACTATACTACCCTTTGACATACTATTGACTATTTTTATGACCATACTACCCATCACAATCACCACCGCCCTGCCTGTGTGTGTTCCGCAACACCATCACCAACCTTGCTTCTCTCTCTCTCTCATCATTACCAACCCATTACAACAACCTTACAATATTCATCATCAAACATGAACCCCACTCTCTCTCTCTCTAGCCCCAAATCTCCCCACTTCTCTTTCTCTCTCCTCTCGACACATTTCCTCTCTCCTCTTCGAACGCCATTCTCTCTTTCAAGCCCTCATGCACTCCGATTCCTCTCTCTCTCTACCTTTCTTTTTCCCCTTTCTCTCTCATCCTCTCACACAGTTACAAGGATAAATGTTGTATGGGGTACCTTTATCTTCTTGCTCAAACACAACATGGATTCCAAAATTTTGATTTGAAGATGAAACCTGGATTTGAAACTAGAGACTAGAACTACCTGTGCGCAATCGAAGAAATTTGTCTTTTTCTATACTGGAACAATCTGGTGCTCCAAGAAACTCGTTGACCCAGTCATGGTCTTCTTCTTCGGGGTTTGCTTCTCTGTTTTTTTTGTCCCTAATTATTTGAGATGGTAGAAATCAATGATAAATGTCCTGACATTTTTGAGGAATTGTTTACCGTGTCCCCTAAAATAGAGCTGCTCAAATCTAGCCACCGTCGTCGTCAGAGTTGAAGACAACCAGACGGCCAAGAATGAATTGCCGCCATCGCCGACGTTACAGCGCATTCAACCCACGTGGCACCGTCATGAACCACCTCGATCTGCGGTAGTGGCGGCGACCACGCTTCAACACTCTCTCCGCAGATTCTTATCCCCCACTCTCTACACTCTGCTTCTTTCATGCCATCCGACGACACAGTGATTCCGGAGAATGATATCGTCGGACTCCTCTGGGCCGAGATCTGATACGTGTGTGGTGGAGGACTGTCCTTAGCATTCTGTTGTTGATTTTGGTGCGCGTTCTATTGTTGATTTCGGTGCTATGTTGTGACAGGGACGAAGGTGAAGGCTTGGTGGTGGTTGTGGGTGTTGTCAATTTGGTGGTGGAGCTGTGATTATGCGACGGCGACGTGGAGGTTGAGTTGCCGCCGGGGATTTTTATATATACAGACACAGGAAGTTGTGGGTGGTGGGGTTAAAGATGGTGCGGGTGCGTATATACATGGGGCATTTTTGTCATTTAAAATTATATTGTATTAAAAAATTAAGGGTAAAAAGGTCAATTTGCATTCGTCAGCGAAAGTTAAAAGCAAAATCTTCATCTAGCTAAAATATGACCTAACCACGTGGACTGTCGGTGTAATTTATCCAATAATCTAAGATCAAAATGTTTAGCACCATAGGAAATAAAATAAAATAAAAATTTGTTTAACCCCTTCTTAGCCCTCATCACGCGTGGAAGTGGGACCTTAAGCCTTGTGAATTGACGACAAGACCTAAGAATTTAAATGGATAAGTCAAAAGTTGCTACATTAAGATACAAATGTGAAAAATAGTAACAAAAAAAAAATGTTTATGCAACTAATACACTATATGATTTGTTTTTGCAAATAATAATTAATAATAACATGAAAAACAGCAACTCAAGTGGGCCTCATAGAGCCGGCCGTGTTTACAAATAAATAAAGTTTAGCATAGAATCTAATGAATACCTCCAAACACATTATAGTATCAAGATAAATATTAAAATGAAACAAGTTATATTTAGATTCTTATTATCAAAAGGCAGTTAAATGATTAAATTCAAATGAATTGTTGAATTTATTATTATTATTTTTATTTTTAGCATGAAAAAAATATCATATATTATTTTAAAAGTATAAAGGCCAAGCCAACGGTAGTACAGAGACAGAAAAAGTCAAGTCAGAAAAAGACATACATGAAGCAAAGAGGCTCTAGATCTCTTAAGAAAACAGAACCTAAAACTCTGCAACGGAACCACCATAGGAGAAACGCAGCAAATAGGGGTGACCCAAAGGTCAGGCCATCATCAAGGCATCAGCTCTAAAGTTACAGCCACAAGACACTCTGACACCCAAAAAATCCCGCACAAGATCAAATTAAGGAGAAAAAGTCAAATCTAAGCGGGGGAAAATCAAAACTAACTTAGACCGGAGATCTAGTTGTAGAAAATAATAGATCCGTCATGTAATTCGAAAACAAACCCAACATGAACAGATTTAGCTGGAAAAAAAAATAAAAAATACCCACGGAACGCACATATTGAAACACGTTGCGTTTGTTGTATTTATTACAGTCATGAAAGGCATCCATCATCTCTCCACTCCCATGAAAGGGAGCGGGATAGAGTGAAGAAGACAAAGGGGGTTAGAGAGAGAGAAAGATAGAGAGGGGTGGGAGAGAAATTCTATCCTGATTGATGGACTACTTTTAGTCACTAATTGTTGAATTGAATTAACAAACAACTAGTATGACTTAAAATGGAGTGAATTTAGCTTGATTTAAGCTTAGATTCATATTTTAATTTTTAGATAATGGAATTTTTAATTAGGTTTTATGAACATAATTAACATTCAGCTCTTATAATTTAAATATAATTTGATAAGTAAAATGTATTTGAAGACCGGATTCATTTAAAAATTACATAGGTCATAATCGATTTGAATTTTTCATGAATCTAAAAAAAAAAAATAGAATAGTTATTTTTATAAGGCAAAAAAAAATAAGAAGTTAAATTACTAAATGCAAAATTTTTCATGAATCTAAAAAAAAAAATAGAATAGTTATTTTTATAAGGCAAAAAAAAATAAAAAGTTAAATTACTAAATGCAGAGAGTTTAAACCTTACACTTATTAAATACTCCCGTCTAATAAAAACACTCAAGTTATTGGCCAGAGATATTCAGTAACAACTACTTTCAGGTACCCAATAACTTCATGGATATACGTATCTAGTTAAAATTAAAATTATACCATCTAAAATAGAACTGCAAAAATCCTTTAAAAAAAAACTCTAATTTAGTGGTCAGATGACAAATCTACACAAGGCAAGCGAGTGCTTGGAATTGAGTTTTTATTTTATTTTATTTTATTTTCTTCTCGTTGAATGTTCTTTACGCGTTGGAGTCTCTTTCTATACCAGGTAATTCAACGACTTCAAATGGTCAATCAACACACACGGTCATCACTACCAAAAAAATAATAATAATAATTAAATTAAAAACTCAAAAATAGAGAAATTTATCACCCGTCCAAGTCCAGGCGCGATAGTTTCAATTTGCTTATTTTCTGTGTTTGGTACCGTTGATGTTTTTATTAGGATCCCTCTTTTACAGAGAGAAGAGAGAGAGACAGAATAATTAAAGAGAGAGAATAATGGAGAGCACACTTTGCTGGCAACTGGTGTCTCTGTGTGGGATTGCCTCGTGGATTGTCGTATCTTCATTATTCAATGTGACCCAGAAGCTTAGATCCTTCACCCAACCTTGGGTCTCTCGTCAGGTCGTCTCTGGCATTCCTACCATCCTTCAGATCCAGGTCTGCACACCCCATATTATCATTTTCAGATTTTTTTTTTTGTTGGTGTGTTGTAAATTGTTTCTTATTTTCTTGATTCTTTTGTTATAGTAATTGAAGTTGGGTTATTATTATTATTATTATTATTATTTCAGAAATACCGGCATGAATTGTTGGATGCTTTATTCTCTGGGTTGTCTTGTGTGGTCTCTGTTCCTTTCTACACAGCTTTCCTTCCCTTGCTCTTCTGGGTATGTCCTCTGATGGGTTACTTTTAATCTTTTTGATAATTGTTTGTAGGTTATGGGTGTATGAGAATTTTTTTGTACCAGCATTTTTTAAGTCTTTGATTTTATTTATTTAGTTGTTTTTATATAATTTGTCGTAGAGTGGACATGGCTTATTGGCTAGGCAGATGACATTGTTGATGGCTTTTTGTGATTATTTAGGGAACTGTATAAAGGTATTGTTTTCTTGCTTTATTTAATTCAGGTTTATCATTTGTGTGTGTGTGTGTGTGTGAGTATGAAGATACAGATTATCATAAAGTTATTCCTGAATGGTGGGTGTAAATGTGTATAGGATGTGGTATCAGCTCCTAGACCCAGTTCACCACCTGTTAGGAGAGTGACTGCTACCAAAGATGAGGAAGAGAATGCAATGGAATATGGACTGCCTTCTTCTCACACTCTTAACACAGTTTGCTTATCTGGGTATTAAAACTTCGTTACTTTTTTTTTTTTTTTTTCAATTACTCTACATTCAGAAAATTTATATAGGTAGAATTTAAGATTTTTGTGTAAGCAAGGTTCCAGCAATGATTCCCAGTGCCTGAATAGATTTTAAATGGGTATATTATACTTTCAATTTTTTTTATCAACACTTGAAAGACATGAATATCCATTACTGTAGTGCTTTAATTTATATCAACTTATTAGAATAGATTTTGTGTGAGCTTTTATTTGTTTATAAAATTAAGGAGTAAGGCATGCACTTTATGCTACCAGATTGCTTCATTTGGTCATTTCATGCCTTATCTGGTGGTATATCATTAGACACTTACTAAATCTCTGTTGCATTTTGGGGTTTTGCAGATACCTTCTCCACTATATTCTATCCTACACTCAAAATAAAGATGCCTCCATGGAACTTGCAGGTTTCACCATGGTTTGCTTGATTGTGGGCCTCATTGGCCTGGGTAAGTCTCAATTCTTGCTCGAGTCTGAAGAACTTTTATTTGATTATCATCGATTTTCTTTTTCCTAAACTGAATTTGTTTCCTTGTTAGGAAGAATTTACCTCGGCATGCATAGTGTGGTTGATGTCATAGCTGGTCTTGCTTTTGGATTGGTGATACTTGCATTTTGGCTTACCGTTCATGAGTACATCGACAATTTTATAATTTCAGGACAGAATGGTATTTCCTATTTCTACTTGATACATTCAAAGTTTGGGATTTTCCATGATTTAGTTCTTGTTATCATTTTTAACTGTGAGTTGAAACATACTTAAGGCCACTAGAATGACCTAGCAAAAACCCAAAAGGGCCTCGATTTTTGCAAATGTAGACTGAGGTGAGAAGTGTTCAAAAGCTTTGAAGGCCAATCTGAATTCCAAAACGACCTAACAGCATGAGGGGGTGCTAACAAAATGAAAAAATCTTGCATCAAAGGATAGGCTTTAAGGGAAATATTGACCTTGAGGGCTAGGATTGGCTGCACAGGTGTGGTAGCTGTTTATCCCCCACCCCCCCAAAATTTTTTTTCTTTTTTTTCTTCAAACCTCTATTAATGCTACCTATTTATATTTATGGTATTAATGGTGATTTTCTATAGAAAAACTAAAGCTGGCCCCCCAACTTAAAAAGAAAAAAAAATCTTATTTATGGTTAATAACCGTTTGCGAAAGAAATTACTTGCGACCCTTCAAAGTCCAATGAATCATTTTACTCTCTCTTTTAAAAGTTCAAATATAGTACACTTTTATTACTATTGTAATTTTTCCTTGAACATATTAGTACTATATTCGTAAATACATACATACATATATATATATAATGCTGAAATCCTCATTTATGAGCTATAAATTGTTCTTCTCATATCATTTGTAGACATGCAGGGGAAAAAGATATTTATAGACACGCTCTTAAAAATATACATTAAAAATGTACTGAAATAAAAATTGGTACAAATTATTTTATTCTTAATTTTTTTTTTTTTGGGGGTGCGGGGGTGGATTTTTCAAATTTAATTTTAGATATTACCCCCCTGCCCCCAAAAAATAAATATTCGCTCCGCCCCTGTTATCACCTATTCCTTTCTTATAATAAAGGTTCAGAAGTCTACATAGGAGAAATTTAGCTCTTTGAAGGAAGAAAATAGAATTGAGATTATCAACAAAAAAAAAATAAAAATAAAAAACTGAGATAGGTCTCTCTTTGATTGTAAAGACCGAATCTTGCTTTCTAGATAGAGAGATGTAAAAGGTCCTTGACATCATGATGTATTAAATCTGAAAGGTGTCACCACTAGTGGTGTATATGAAAATTAATTTGAATTTTCTTTTTTATTACTTATGATTCCCTTTCCATATTGTATTACACAAAATAATAATAATAATAATAATCTTCCTCCTTTGTCTGGATCAAATAATTATCTAAACTGTGTTGATTAAAATTAACAAATTAACCAGAGTTGTTTTAGACTGCAACTATTGAATGTATCACTTTGAACTGCCCCTAGTTGATATTGGACTTCTATCCTTAGCTGGTTAAAATAAAGATAAAATACACGTTTTGAAAATTTTGGGTTTTGCCAAGATACTATGAATTCCATACAAGGAGAAGGTAGAATTCAGTTGAAATTTGAGCTGCCAAACATTTGAAAATTGAAATTGCTAATTATCCACACTTTTCCTCTGTTGCAGTTACAATGTTTTGGGCCGCCCTTAGCTTCTTGTTGCTCTTTGCTTATCCAACACCAGAGCTTTCAACTCCAAGCTTTGAGTATCATGCAGCGTTCAGCGGTGTTGCATTGGGAATCGTAAGCACAAAACTCTAATATTTGACCTCTTAAGATTAGTAGTATTACTAAGCTCGTAGCATATTTTTCTTTGCTTTCACTTGATGTTATAATTGGCAGTGCAAAAATAATTGAACACATTCTTTCCCTCCATATCTTTTCATACTTTTTGAGAAGAAGAAGGAAATTTTTGGTTTTAAATTCTCAGACACACAGAAACTCATGATATATAGATTTTTAGTTGTGCCATTAACCTTGGTTTGTGAATAGAGAAGGAAATTTTAATTTCTTGAGGCTATAGGGTAAAGGTTTCTTTCATTAGAATTATGTTTGTACTAGGTGACTTTAATGTTTTCATTCATGTGTTCTAGAGTGAGAACTAAGACATGTTGATCACCTAGCCAACCCCCAAAAGTGGCTTGGATTAGACTTCAAACTGAGGATTGGGCCCATGCTTGACAGTCCTCAACTTCTCCTTGGGTGACCTTGAAATGATGCTATCCCGCCCTATTCTCTATCAGTTTTACATTATCCACATCCTTTATGGCAAAAGTTCTCCTCACCCCTGATTAAGAACTATGCCAAACATATTGCAGTTTGTGTATCAACTGTTTTGAATATGCAGAAGTTACAAAATAATATACAAATATTTTTAAAAGAGTGCAATTATGTCCTCTTTTGGAGTATTTGATCACGGCAAACTTGCACAATATAACATTTATTATATGTAAAAAGAAGCTCAGGTTTACACATGCCCAAACTGCACAATAGCCTTGCATGTCCTAGTTCTTATAACTAGAATACTAGTTTCTGTTTTGAAACCTTATTAGCAAAAAATGTGTCTATATGGAGAGGGTATATATTCTACAAAAACTCGGTAGATATGCGAAATATGGAACTGCATTATGAGATTTCTTCTAAAATGTCAGGAATAATTTGTGTATCTTGTCCTTTGTGCAAGAAAGACTTGTACTCTTATTTTGAGATCAGGTTGTTCCAAAATCACATACTCAAACTGCTTGAGAGCCGTGCATGTTCATTCTTGTTATAATCTATAATACTTACCGGAGGATGTTGCCTAGTGGTACTTCCAAAGTAGAAGGTTAAGGATTCAAGTCGCCGAAAGGGCATGTGGGTGTGAGTGTGTTTCTTGCCAATGAAAAAATAAAAAAATAAAGAATCTGCAATCCTTCATATCGTAAATAGAAAAACTACATTGTTATTGCATGATGCAACTAAATTTCTGTACTACCTCAGAAAACTTCCTTGGTTTTATATTTTTGAGTTTATATGCGTTCTTGTCTTCCTATGCTCTTTCATATTCCATTTAAAATGTTGATTTTTACATTAAACAAAATGATGTTATACAGGTAACTGGGATCCAGCAAACCTACCATCAATTTCACCATGTAAATGTTGCTCGAATTTTTACACCTCAACTGACAATCCTTATGTTTGTGGGAAGAATGCTAGTGGGAATCCCAACAATACTCCTTGTGAAGTTCTGTAGCAAAGCTCTGGCAAAATGGGGTCTTCCCATAATAGCGAACACCTTGGGCATCCCAATAAGATCAACCGGCTACATCCCAGCACTAAGTGCTTCAATTACTGATAAAAAGTCAGATGAAACTAAGCAATCAAGTTACCTCCAAAAATTGTTCTTCTTCTCCCGTCAGAAGACTTTTGATGTTGACACTGGTATAAGGCTTCTTCAGTATGCTGGTCTTGCATGGTCTGTGGTAGATCTTGTTCCATCTTTATTCTCTCTCCTGAGTGTGTGATGCTCTGTAGTTGTTGTATAATATTAACCTTTTTCTTTTTAGCCATTGGTCTGCTTTTAGCTAAGATTAATGGAAATGTATTTTTATGTTGATTTTGTACAACACACCGCGTTTAGTAAGGAAACACCCGGACGATATTTTAGGCCACCACCCATGTTACTTCATATTTTTGTAAAGATTTCTTATATGGTTAGTGAAGCCAGTTAACTTCCCCCAATTTGTAATTAAGAATGGTGAACATGTTGTGTGATACCCTCGACTCCGACACATGGGTTGATCGGGCCCAAGTCTAAACCCGAGGGATATCAAACAGTTAAGTAATAAACAAACATTTGAATACAAAAGAAATATTAAGAACAAATAAAATAATAGAAAGAAACTAAATTATAAATCTTTGAATCCATAATAATTAATTCTCTACAATAATTATCCAAAACCTCCGATATCATTACAATTCGGGAATTCATCTAGTAGATCCTTAATAATATTCCAAAACAAAACATCTTAAATGAAATAATCCAAAACTAAAACATGATGAAGAATCCTACGTAGTCGGAAGAATGAATAACTATTTCTGCTCAACATGAACAGTCTCGATCTTTGGAGCTAACGGACACCTGAAAAATAATGGTGGGTCAGGCTCACAAACAAGTTCTACTCTATTACAGTCCAACCAGAGATTCGATACACATTAACTGAAAAATAACTATACATCTTAGTTAACTCAATAATAACTAATAGTCCATAAATATATGTATATAGGTGAGGACACCAAAATGACCCGGGTTTCGTGTGATCCGCATTGCAGAGGACGGGTCGGGTGTGGACAAACGGGATGGAGCAAGTTCGCGCGGGATGGGTCCAGGTCCATAAAGTCATTTCAGAAACCCATGTTAAAATAAGGGAAGTTAAGTCCAGGCAAAGGGAAGCAGATAAGGCCCAGGCCAAAGGAGGTTGTAACCGTCTATAAATAAGGGAAATCGAGAGGGAAAAGGAAAAAAAAGAGGATTGGGAGTGAAGAAATTCTCTCTCTGTAAAAAGGGGAAATTCTTTGTACTTTCAATTGGCGCCGTCTGTGGGAAGAATAGGAAGGATTGATTGATGTCATTCCAGATCGGATCGATTCAACGCACTCTGCGAGGAAGACAATTAATCTGCGAAAGCTAAATCAACATTGGTGATAATACGATCTGTTTTGACGAGTTCAGGCTCCGGTTGATTTAGGAAAATTGGCGTCCGATCCAAGCAGATCAGATCTGTGCTTGATCCGGCAAACTGCACAATTACGATCTGTTGTGATTACTGAATCCGGCCAATAGCGGACTGAATTCAGCAAGTGTAAGTTCAGATCTGGTGTGCACGCGTTAGCGGAACTCCGATTTGGTCAAGAAGTCTGCAGTTGATGACTTTGCTCCGATTTGGAATGATGATCGAAGAGGCGAACTCGAATCCTTTGGAGAACGGCCAGCAGACAAAGCTCGATGAGCTGATGAACATGAATGATGCTTTGAGGAAAGAAAATGCAGAGTTACGAGCTGGAATGGAGCATCGTGAGGCTCCTGCAATTCCAAGGCCACCTCCGGAAGGAGAGGGAGCTTTACCGTCCGAAGTTGATCGTCAAGGTGATCCAGAAGATGTCAATCGTGGTGGTCCACGTCGTGATGAAGTTATAATCGGTAATCTGCCTCCGAATGTCCGTCAAGTAGAGGATCGAGAAGGATCTGTTCGTTTGGAACCGCATCACGAACGGATTATGAGGGAGGAAGCACCGGCATATGAACATAGGATTGCGTCACCATGGCGGAGTGAATTTGCAGAGGACGGGTCGTTCGATTCGCCATACCGACCTTCATTAGCAACAGTTGATTACCATAGCTCAGAAAGGAGATCTGCCGATCGGGGATTTCTGTCACGGTTTTCAAGGGAAAACGAAGCATTGCGTTCATCAGCAAGGACGGTCGCATCGTCGTCCACTGATGAAATAATGAACGCGCCGAATCCGAAGAAGTTTTCCATGCCGATCTTCATTCTGTTTGACGGAACAACCGATCCGGTCGATCACATATACTATATTCAGTTGAAAATGGCTTTGAATACTAATAATGATCCTTTGATGTGCAAATGTTTCCCTACGAGCTTGGCTGGACTAGCTCTCAATTGGTTCAAGAATCTGGCTCAGGGCTCAATAGCCAGTTTCCAGGACTTATGCGATAAGTTCATAAGCCAGTACTACGGGAATAAACGTCCGGCTAAGGATGTATCAAGCCTTTTCACAATGAAGCAGCATGAGGATGAACGGCTCCAAGCTTTTCTCACCCGGTTCAACCTCGTTAAAAGCATGGTAATAGAGTGTCACCCGTCCACAACAGTCCAAGCATTTAAACTCGCAATGAATCGGGGGACGCCGTTCCAATCCAGCTTGGTGGTTAATACGCCAAAGACAATAGACGAGCTGAACGAGAGAGCTGACGGTTTTGTTTGTCTTGAGGAGGAAGAAGCAGCTAATTCGAGGAAGACGTCAATTATTTCGACGGATGAGAAGTCCAAAACCAAGATCCGGCAAAAACAAGCTCAACCGCAACGTCACCCCTCATGGAAGGCAGAGAAGAGGCTTAGGGAGGAGGAATCAGTCACTCCACTCAGAGTCACCTTAGCAAGGTTATATCAAGAGAACAAAGATAAGTTTCGTCCTCCTTTGCCAATCAGGCAACCTCTTGAACAGAGGGATCAGATTAAACATTGTGCTTTCCATAGTGATTTTGGACATCAGACTAACGAATGCAGGAACCTAAATAGGCAGGTAGAGATGTTAATCGCAAAGGGGGAATTTGCAAGCTATGTTCAAGGTCCGGCGCAAGAGCATAACCGCCCGACTGAGCAAATCAAGCGGAACCAGAGGCCGAACCAACACAACTTTCAGCCCGTCTGGATTATAAACGCAATTCATGGACGGCCTGAATAAACGACAGAGTCAGAAAAGTTGCTCAGAACGAGGTTACGCCAGGCCCAGCTAAAAAGAAGAATTGGCAGTGTGCATGCTTTACACCAGCAGAACGCGTCCACATCGATAAAGTTTGATAAAACGGACCTGCTACGCGTTCATATTCCTCATGAAGATCCACTAGTCGTCAGTCTGACGGTTGCGGAATGACTGGTTCGGAGAGTCCTGATTGATCTAGGAAGTAGTGCGAATGTCATGCCCAGGGTGACGTTCGACCGACTGGAGATCGAACCCGAAAAACTCAAACCCACAGGAAATCCGTTGCTCGGATTTGATGGGAAGCGAGTGAAACCCATTGGAATGGTGGAATTGATAGTACAAGCTGCTGAGCGAGTTTTGACTGAAAGTTTTGTGGTCGTGGAAATTCATCCATCCTACAACCTCTTAATGGGCAGAAGATGGATTCACAGAATTCAGGGCGTCCCGTCAACCTTGCATCAAGTGATGCGATGTTTGGATCCGGATGGGACCAAGGTAATAGATATACACGGGGACCAGGTTGCGGCTAAAGAATGTTATTCAGTAACTTTGAAATCTGCTGGAAAAGGAAAAAATCCCATCCGTTCAGCCAGTCCAAAATAGCAATTACAGAACCCTCCTCCCAGCAGGGATGGGGAGGAGGAGCCACCAGTTCTGACCACAGAACCCCTTCATGAAGTGAAGATTGACCATGAGAAACCAGACCGAACAACAAGGGTGGGAACCAGACTCACTGAAGAAGAGAAACTAGAGTTGACTAATTTCTTGATTCGGAATGCGGATGTATTGGCATGAAGCCATTCAGATATGCCAGGGATAAATCCTGCTGTATCCTGTCATTCCCTCAATGTGGATCCGAATGCAAAACCAGTGAAGCAGAAGCAAATAAGATTTGCTCCAAAACGAAATCAGATTATAGCTGAGGAGGTTGATCGGCTGTTTGAAGCCGGATTCATCAGAGAAGTTCAGTACCCGGCCTGGCTCTTTAACGTTGTTGTAGTGCAGAAGAAGAATGGGAAATGGAGAGTATGCATCGACTTCACTAACCTGAATAAAGCCTGCCCAAAGGATAATTTCCCATTGCCCAGGATTGATCAAATGGTAGATGCCACCACAGGATATGAGCGGTTAACCTTCCTGGATGCTTATTCCGGTTATAATCAAATTCCCATGGACCCAGTTGATAAACAGAAAACTTCATTTGTTACTGAACGAGGGACTTATTGCTACAAAGTCATGCCGTTCGGATTAAAAAACGCTGGAGCTACTTATCAGAGGCTGATCAGCAAGATTTTTAAGGGCCAAATGGGAAGCACTGTCGAGGTTTATATTGATGATATGGTGGTCAAGAGTAAGAAGAAGAGCGATCATTTAGCGAACCTGCAAGATGTGTTCGGTGTGTTGCGCCAGTATGGGATGAAGCTTAATCCGGCCAAATGCTTATTCGGCGTAAGCTCCAATCAATTCCTGGGACATGTGGTCAATCATAAAGGAATTGAGGTCAGCCTAGCGCAGGCAGGAGCCTTGATCAGAAATGCAGAGCCAAAGACAATTAAGGAGGTGCAGGCACTCACAAGCCGAATAGCTGCACTGAGCCGATTTATTTCCAAGCTTTCGGACCGCTGTAAACCTTTCTTTGATACAATTCGAGGGCACGGAAGGCAAACCTGGGGGGATGAGCAACGACATGCGCTAACCAGCCTGAAGGAGCACATGCGTAATCCTCCGGTTCTGTCTGCTCCAGAACCAAATGAGAAACTCTTTCTATATCTTGGGGTATCCAGTATAGCAACTAGTGCCGTTCTGATCCGTTGCAAAGAGGGCAAGCAGTTCCCGGTGTTTTATGTTAGCAAAACAATGTCTGAACCGGAAAGAAGGTACTCTAGGGCCGAACGAATGATCTTGTCGCTGGTCAACGTAAAAAGGAAGCTTAGACATTATTTTGAATCTCATCCAATCGTCGTTTTAACAACTTTCCCTTTGAGAATGATCCTGCACAAACCAGACCTATCGGGGAGAATGACCAAGTGGGCCATTGAATTGAGTTTATTTGATATTGCATACGAGCCCAGGACGGCAATCAAAGGTCAAGTGGTGGCGGATTTCCTACTTGACTGTGATGCTGAAGATGTGGTGGAGGATTATAATTGTTCCTGGTGGAAGCTCT